TAGTACGATGAATAATATTATCTCAACTAATGTTAAAATGGAAAAGAAAGATTTGAAAAAACTGACTTAATCTCAGCTGATCAAATTATTAATGGAGCAAGATGAAAGGATAATAAGACGATTGTCTAAAGGCTGGAGCTTGGGTCCCCTGTGCTAGACCACACTATGTGTTCGTGGTTAATAATTGTTGTCGTGAGACAAACAAAATCTGTTCTGAAGGAAGCTCTGAAAAACTGGATATCTACATTACATCACGGTCTGAATGTCTCAATCATGTTAAATAAAACGTCAATCAACTCATTTGTGATATTTTTCGCTTTCATGGGCCGTTTTAGAGAGAAAAGTGAGACAAGGCTTGCAACTTCATTTTCGTTGACCCCATTTTCAGGCGTAGAAGGGCCGTGAATATTACGGGTGCAGTCGCTGGAAACCTAGATTTCATCGCATAAAAACTGTATTGAGTTAAACTGTTTTGAACACACCTTTTCAGATAACAATCGTGCGACCGTATCGAGCCGCCAAGTTTCTTTTGTATATGGACCCTTATAAAGAGCGTCCTTTGTTCGCACCGAGATCTCGCGGTGTAAAAGGAAACCTATGGAGCCTCATTAAAGCAGGAATTTATCTCAGGAAAGGACTGAGTAAAACCTTTGAAATGAAAGTGAAACGCGCTCATAATAGCAGGAATTTATCTCAGGAGAGGACTGAGTAAAACCCCCTTTTCGTCACCAAACGGAAGCGTATAGCTTTTTTTCAGGAGCTTATTCTCTTCTCTGTAGTATCTTGATTCTCATCACATTGGTCAATAATAATAGTATCAGGATAACACTTTCATATAAAATCAAATATCTCGTAATGGAAATCAGTCTCTGTTTCAATTTTAATCATCTTACCATTTGGATTATCAAACAGCTTGTGATAACCATATTCCCTTATGGATGGAAGTACAACAGGTGTTACCCAGTGTTTGAATTATTTAGCTCATCCTAATTTTGATGATAATAGAAGAGAGTAAAAACCAGACTAATTTTTAAAAAATCGTGTTCCGGACCTCACCAGTCGTTTTAATGGGATAGGTTTTATAGTACTCAGAGTCGATATGCTTCCTGATGTCTTGATCTGTGTCTACATAGCCAAGTATCTGAGCCACTTTTTTACCCCTGAACCAGATATTTTTTTGTCATCAATATAAGAAATCATTTCAACATTTAATTCAGAATTTGTAAATTTCGTTTGTTTCATATTCATAATATTTTATATTGTATTATATGTTTAAATATTGATCAAATCTTTAATCGGTATCCAACTATTGAAATCATCGTCATATCCCTTCCACTTTGCCAGAGCTTGTTTCTTTTTATGAGCTCTTCTTGTGACTTTATCAATTCTGAAAACTTCTCGTGTGGCTTTCAATAATTCTGGCTCATAGAAACTTCCTTCTATTTCTTCATTTTTCAGGCCTTTTATTTCGTATGTGATGGGATAAGTATACAAAGCTTTGTCGGCAATAAACATCTCTTCTGTCCAATTTGGAGTGTACCCTTCATCAATGCCTTTCTCTTGCATTTTGATATTCTCACCTTATCACCAACTTTGAATTTTGGTTTTATTTTTGTATGCATATCACCAAACATGTTGAAATATATAGTTCCCTTATTCCTCTTTTTGCTTTCCTCTGTTGGTGTCATTTCAATGCTTAAATGTTTTGTGTTGTCGTATTTTGTCAATATTTGTGGAAGCATGTTAACATACTGTGTTGCCTTGAACTGTGAACTGTTTCCACACTCTCTGTTCTATTGTTCTAATCCATCTTTCAACAACACTGGATTTTTCTTCATTTTCTGTTGAGTACATTGTTGTGCTGTGTTTGTCTAATAAATCCTTGAGATGTTTATCATTAGAACTATTTACCATAATCAACCCATAGATATTCCGGTTGTCTACCTTCTTTGAATATGCTGTTGAATGCTCAGTTGCAGTTTCACCTCTCTTTCCTTTTAAAGTTTTATCCATCCTTATTACTGAAAACATCAATAACCATGAGCAGATACTTCTACCCCTTGTTCCATTTACTATTTAAACCAAATCTGCACTCCATATTTCATCAATGTGATTCACAATAATACGCCGTCGAGTGAAATCCCTCATTATGAGTTGTGTAATTCCTCTGCTAGTTTTTCCTGCTAGTTCTCACTCGACGGCTTTTTCCGTTTTTTGAAAAACCTAGTCTCAGTTTCTGTTTTGTGTTTATCATATTTCCTACCAACCAAGGTCCCCACTCTCTTTCATTATAAGGTACTGCATCAAGTGCTTTCACCATTTTTCTATCTGCTTTATTTTTACATTTTTTGTCATCTTTGCACGCAGAATAGTTAACATCATGTTGCATTGCAGTGGCATTTGTTTTCCCACTTGGCTTGTCATAGATCTCATCATCTTTATCATATCTCAGTTCTTTGCCAAGTGGGTTGTATGTTCCTGTGTATTTATGTCCAGGAAGTGTGAAACCTGATTTTGGTTTTGGTAATTTACCAATTCCTTTATGGATATCAAGACTGCCACATTGATGAAGAGGATTTTTAATTTTTTGATACATCAGAAGTGAAACTATCAAGGGCTTGATCAATATATTTATCAGCCATTCCTTTTATCTTCTTTTTTGCAAAATCAGATTTGATAGCCTTTCCAGCACCAATCCTACCAAGATCAAACAAACCTTTCATACTTTAGAAGTTTTTTTTGGATCATTGAAAAATATCACACTCCACCTCGTTGTGACTTTTTTTTCATTCCGGATCCTTTCTTCATTTTACGATAATTTTTGAAATATTTGATATACTGATTCAAAATAACTCTGGCATCATCTACTCGTTTGATTTCCATCTTTCGTTCTGCTTCATTTACATTTCCCTTTTTATATGATTGAACAATCTGGGATTTAACACCTTTTAATTGATTTCTTTTAAATTTTGCTTGATTGATATTTGTTGTAAGAATTTTTTATTACGAGTATCTATCATATTATCCCTTTTTAGTTGTTTTTCTATATCATCATAATTTTTATATCCATTTTATCTAATACCATAGTAACCTAGTCTTCTTCATTAAGAGCGTAGTCAATCTCTTCTGATCATCTTCTTCATATTTTGGTGGTAACTCTGGTTCATCTGGACAGCATTGAGGATCAACATAAATTTGTTTGTTTCTATTTAACATGTCAGCAAGACTTTCTTCATATTTAGGTACTTTGGGAACTAGTTGCTTCTCATGCTGAGGTTGAACACCTTCATCGAATAAGCCTTCTAACCCGATATTTAGAATTTCATCTGGTGTATGACGATCAGGAGTTTCACCTTTCTTTTTTAACTTTCTTTTTGGTAATTTAATATCATCAACAATTGCATTATCCGATATATCATCCAATTTTGCGGTTATTGGTTGGAATATTTTCTGAAAAGATGTTTGACTTGTTCTCTCTCCCAATTGATTATTTGAATTGTGTCATTTACAAAATTGATTTTTTTCCTGGCTCGGTTTTCTCGCCATTTAAGCAAACTCATATACAATTAGACTATATAATTCCACAAATTTTATATATAAAAATTTAAGGTGAAGTGACAGTTGTACTCATAGTTAAACTGTATTTATATAATCTTATTATATATTGTAAATGCCAAATTTCGACATAGAAGATGATGCTGTCACGGATTATAAACAACTGGATGACTTTATGCCAGATCGATGTTTAATAACGCTTATATGTGCTCTCAGTGCTGCTGGTAAAACGAGCCTCCTTCTCTATAAGATCTATCAATTGTTACATTATGATAAAATATTTCTGTTTGCTAAAAATCTCGAACGACAAAAATACCAAAACCTTATAAAAACATTTAAACCAATAGGCGATAAAGTTTGTTACGACGTCATTGAATCTGAAGTAATGACAATGATAATTCCAGTGTCTGAGATGTCCGATGACAATCAAAAATTGGTAATATTTGATGATTAAATTTGTGAAAAAAACCTAAAGGATATGATCGATTATTTCATCAGAGGTAGACATAAAAACTTAAGTGTGATATATCTGAGTCAGTCATATTATAAAACGCCAAAAGATATGACCTAGTTGCTCGCATTTGTGTTTGTTTGATTTCCCTAACAGCAATTAAAATTCACTCGTATACCGTGAAAATAACATATCCAAACAACAGTATGCAAAAGCCACTGAAGAGCCATTTTCATTCCTTTATACTGATAAACCAAGGAAATTCATCATGAAAATTTTCAATGAATCAACATAATCCAATGTTATAATATATGAGTTATTCTAATGGTTTTCTCAATTTTAACAAGTGCCATAGGGCTTTAGGTGGAAGTATTGGGGGATCACTTGGTCCAAAAGGCGATAAGGGTGATGAAGGTGATAATGGTGAACAAGGACCAAAGGGTGATACTGGCGCATAGGGTCCTCAGGGTCCAAAAGGTGATACTGGTGCTCAGGTACTACAAGGACCAAAAGGTGATAATGGTGCATAGGGAACAAAAGGAGATACCGGTAAACAAGGTCCAAAAGGTGATAAGGGTGATAAAGGAGATATCGGTCTTGAGGGGCCTAAGTGGGATAAAGGTGATATAGGGCCACAGGGTCCACAAGGGCCATCTGGTAGTGCAGTTGGTGGTGGTTCTGCAGACCTTTCAATTTGGTCTTTTGATTTTTTTTTTTTTTTTTTTTATCAACAGGCACTAGGAAGGGCACAAATATGTTTAACGGTCAAGCAAATCTTAGGAAATTTCATCAAAGGAAACGCGATAAATCTTGTTTTTTTGAAAAACATTACGCTGGTGCGCGTGCCAACATTGAGCAAAAACCCTATGGGGCCTCCTTAGGGGTTAATAAATTGAGCAATTTTTGCTGCTCGCACTCGATCAACAAACGTTTTGTCTCAACGAGATGTACCTTGATAAGCGCAAAAAACTTTAGCTGCCATGCGAAGTTGAACTATTGAATAACTTTCTAATCCTTCTGTTTGCGTAAAGATTTCTGGAATCGCCAAGGGGCAAACATTGCAAGTCGCTAGAAGGAAATGCATGGCGAAAGATCATTTCGGCGTTGAAAAAAAACGATTTGGGAAGAAATTATCGCTCCTTCGCCTCGATTTTATGAGAAATAGATTAAGCTAGTGTTGTTACGAGGAAAGGATACGTTTTCGTTGGATTTACCACGAAATAAGTAATAAATTATTATGATGATAATATAGTATAATACAATATATATAATAATATAATATAATGATGATGATCTTATCTCCTAGCACAAATTTTATTGTGAAATTGTCACCGCGTAATGGTCTCGAAATATTACAAAATTAACCATAAACCGCAAGAAAATAACTTGATAAAGCCTTTTCAATTGTATTTACGTTTGTAAAGCCTCTTTCTGGCTTTTTTCTTGGCTCGGTAAGACAAAGAAGCTCTACAACAGCTACCCCTAGGCAGCAGGGGATTGAAATAGTTTACTTGAGCATAATCATCCTGATTCATTAAAGTGATTAAACACCAAACACCTTAGTTCATCGGGTTCCGTATACTAAATCTCGGGAGAAACTGCAAGAATTATTTCAGAGTGTATGCGTGTTGTTTTGTAAATATAAACGCTGCAACCTATTTTAACTTGTTTTTGTGTCCTTTCAAACAACGCGATATGTCTGTTATGACCAGAGTGCCAAATTTTATTCTTTAATTTTGATCTTCTCCTCACTGTGCATAATTCATGACCTGATATTTCAACGTAAATTATCGAGAAGGCGCCTTCCGATCACCTTTGTCTACTTTGTAAGTCACGCAAGCGCGCTAGCTTTACGACCGATCACCTTTACGCAGTGTTTTAGGACAACTCGGCATCTAATCGCCATTCACTTGCTGCGAAAACCTAAAATCCTCAACGTAGAAGATAAACGAACGAAGTTTGAACTGTCAAAAGGAGATCTTGGTCAATTCCAAGAATCATGCGAATGATCTTTGACACGAGCGCAATTGAGCAAACACATGGATTTGCGTTGTTTTTAAGAAGTTGGTGGATGGAAGCTAGAGATATACCCGCGGGTTTGAGGCAATCCGTGACCTCATTGGTGTATAAACTATGCACTGATATGCTTTTTCGGCCCGATTAACGCCTGCATTTTGAGAATTCTTTCGTACAAAGTAGTGAATTTTTGATATGCAAATTAAGGTCGAAGAGCAGGGTCTCCTCTGATCACGCTGGTATGAAAAATATTTCAGCTGAAGTTTCCATATTTTGTCTGTGAACTAACTGAATACATCTTATAACTTGTAGCAAGATAGAATTCCGTGAGCTACATTGTTGCAGTCGCTGCGCGCTAGACAAAATCTTTGAAATTGAAATTTTCGATCGCTGTTCACAGGGGTGGTCTGGCCAAAAATGATTTTTGGCTTGTGGCGAGGCAAAAAAAGAGAATTGGAGAAAAACTAAACTATTCTTGAAACATGTGTCCTAAACCCTTTTCATGGGCAAAAAATAAAAGAAAACGTTTTTCCGACGGGAAGTCGAGAGGACCGCTCTTAGCGAGAGTGGCACTTAACAGTCACCACCACCCGACGAAAATCATTAATCATAAGCATATAACGATCAGATTAAACGAATTCATTCTATTTAAAACAGGTGCAAAATCACAAACAGGCCGTTAAGACTCGATCAGTGACCTCGACCTCTAAATAGAGATGAAAGCGATAGGGAGACAAGAGAGGGGGAGCGGTTATATCTGGCATCTTTATGTTTCTCTAGAGAAAACGAAGCTATCTGCGTAATTTAATAATAGCCAACTGAAATGGTGCAAACTTGGCGTGTTCCAGGCGTTCACGGAGCGAATTAATAAACGGCGCGATAGTAGAGTAAAAAAACGAATGGGCCTGGGTCGGGCGCGTGAAGGACAGAATAACGCGGATAAAACACACAAACATCCTCAAGCTATGTCTTGATATCGTGGTTTTATTTTTTTTTTTTTCAGATCACTATGGTTCTGTGGCAGACAAGTTCGATTACTTCTTTAAAGAATTTCATGAAGTAAATATTCCAATTCTGATAGAAGGTTTGGACTTGCAGCCACATCACATTGTAGCTGACATTGGTAGTGGGACGGGGATCATTGCCGAAAAACTCTATGAAAAGTGCGGACTGACCAAACCAATTTGGTGCGTGGATCCCAGCGTAGAAATGCAAGAAAAAGCCTGGAAGCGAAAAGGAACCTACCCAGTTCTGAAAACTGCTGAAGAATTTTTTTCTCATCCTGAAATCACCCATTGCTTTGATAGAGTGATATCAATTGGCGCCGCGCACCATTTCGCAGATCCTGTCGCCGTCTACAAAAGCATCTTTCACTCTTTGCGCCCCAGAGGCAAATTTATCGAAGTGACCACAATGGATACAGGTTATCCATGTTTCAAAAGTGCGAAAAGAGTCGAGAAAGCAGCGGTGGAGATTGGCATCCAAAAGCGAAAACGTCTCCGAAAGCTCGTTGCAGATCCAAACGTACGTGTATCAGAGAAGGAGTTTTGCTGCCCGATGTCTCTGACAAAATCCAAGTTGTATGAGATGTACCGATATCGATACATGAGCATGCTTCATCAGTTGAATGATGAACAGATTGCAGAAGGAATCAGGGAGCTTGAGGATGGGCCGTTGACGGATGTTAAGAGTTATGATCACATCAGCTTTACTCAAGTCATCCACGTAACAAAATTTGACCTGAACTGACTGAGTATGAAGCAGAAACGTTGTGCCCCTTTGCAGGAGTATTCCTTGCGTTGTGAGTTTGCCCTCATATTTACTTAATAGTACCAATATTCAAACATGGCTATTTAAAAAAAATTATGCTTCCCATTTTAACGAATATCTTAGTTCGATACTTATCCAACTAGCTTGAATGTGTTATCGTAATAGATCTTTTCAACATTATTGACCCGGTCGAACGAGTGGCTATATTTACAAAATTTTGTAATAAAATTTTTATTTTTCGAAAATGGCTCCATAGAAGACAAAGTTTTTTCCCCGTCAAACCGATATCCAGCCCCCCACCCTGAGTGTTGATTTCCAACCAGCAGACAAAACTAGAATTGCCTCGATGAAACCAAAGGATAGAATTTTGTCATGACAAATTTTTGTCGCGTCAGTTGCATCCGTATTAAATATTTCAAGCTGTCAAATCCTGATCTACTCATAAGAGCTGCCGGCATAGTTTGCCAGCATTCATCTTAGATCGTTTTAAAGTTTAATAATCCACAAGTTTCTCACAAAATTGGATCGAGTGGTTACAAGGTTGCTTCTTGCCTCGATCGATGAAACAAAATTCCGCTGAAAAAAAGGGGCTAGAGTCGATCAAGATGCAAATTTAAGTTGGACAGATGACGAACTTGAAACTACTGCTCGGAGTCGTTTGTGAATATTCCTCCCAAAAGGATCCCGAAGGTTTATAATTAGAACAGGAGAGTTTCAAAAGCAAATACCAAGAGGAAATAGTTCGTCACGTCATATGAACAGAATGGATTGCCACAAGATCTTAGCCTGTTCACCTGAGAAAGGATGGCAAACTCTAAAGATCGCAGGCGGGAAAGTACCCAAATTCGTTCTTCAAATCACTTTCACTGATAAGCTTTCCGGATTCAAAAGCTTCCGGAGCCACAAAGTTTCAACGCTAAATTTCGGATTTAAAATTTCCGGAGACACGAATTGAGAGGGAGTTTTAATTTCGGATTTATTTACTTGTGTGTAAACGGCAAAACCAAACCCGTACGGATTCTTTACGAATCGGACCAATTTCTACGAGTGTAAACTTAGTGTGAATATAATTGTTTGGTATTAAAGTATAAAAAGACCATTCATGTTTTGGCGGCGGGAAGTCTGGATACTACACTAGGACCCAGACCATCACTTCGAGACTAACATCACTAGGCCTTAACATCTCTGTAACATTTGCTTACAGTCCCTGCTCAAAAATTCTTTTCAAACTTATATTCCATTTTTTTATATTTATATTGTTTTATACATATAAAACATCGACAGCTCGGCAATTAGTTTTCAGAAATTCAAAACTCTATTCAAAATTCTATGTGATGAATATTCTTGCTGACTCCAACAAGCCTGTTTGGATGTTCTTTAGAGCTATTCCAGCACCGTTTATTCGGTTCGCAAGGAAGGGTTCACGAAGCACCAGTTATCGTAGCCTGCGACCAAACTCCAGGTCTCCACGGGGCTCCCGGGGTTGGAGGTGGGATGTAAAGGAGGAACCTCGCCTTTCGGCACCCTCATCCCGCGATCGCCCGAGAGACCTTGATGGTGGGTTACAATCATCGCAGGAATAGTTCACAATCTCCTTGAAACAAAATATCCCTCCCTGCATCATTTTCTCACCGATCCTGGTGTCGTCACGCGTCAAGACTCGCTACATCAATGCAAAAATCTCCCTCGCGTTGTCAGGGGAGGTCTACAAAATGCCGCAAGTACTTCGCCCACGTCAACGGGTGTGTCAGGTGTGGCATTCACAATAAAATAAATAAAACGTCGCTCTGTCAGATATCATGACTATGTAGTGCGCATACGGACCCATACGGTGAAAATTGTGTTATAACTTCTGTAGTCGTGAAAACGCTCTTTCTTAAGAGCAAGAAACTCGGTTAAGAGGGGCAGTTTCAGACAAAGTGACGTAAGCGACGATCGATAATTGATCAAACTGATAAATCGATAAATGACGTTTCCTAAAGCACCAGTGTGTTATGCTAAATTACGATCTGTTTCCGACTACAAAGAGTTATTTCGTGACAGTAATTTGATCCTGTGGGTTTAGATTTTTCGACATCAGGGTTGAAACGTCAAAAGCATCCATTCATCTCTAAATCACTCTGAGAATGTGCTGATCTTCAACGTACCACGCGTCACTGAAGATTCAAGAGCTGCTTTAAACACCTCGATGTGACAACTGTTCTTTAGTACATGGTTACCGTTTTCACAATTGACGGCGATTTGGATGGAATCGAACGTGAACTGGCTTTGGAGTGTATTCGTGCGTGCTCTGTTAATTATTTCTTTATGGAACATTTTACGAACAAGCGCTCAAGGTAAGAGATGTATCCTTCACTCAACTTACGTTTTTTATTAGATTAACAATGTGGTTTTCTAGCCTGAACGACGAGCATAGGAGTAAAATTGACTTGTCTTTTACAGTCGTGACTTCGTTATCGCTCGCTACATCCAGACTTTAGCCGTATGTGGTCGCGGTATTAGCTACTGGTATTTTCTGAATTGGGAAAATATTTAAATACCGCTTAAAATCAACAGGATATCTGCTCAGAGGCGTGACATGAAATATTCAGTACAAAGGAGTGAAAGCGCGATTCGGTTTATTTGTAGTCAACTAACAACATTTAATTACTCCAGAGATCGGGAAGGAAATATGTCTCGTGTAAACTAATCAGAATGAAACTGAAACAGGAGAGGAAATAAAAACGTAACGTTAAGAATTCCTCTAAGTTTGCATTGCTTGAGAACACTGAACCTATAAACATCACTTGCAATTAAAATTTATTTGTAAGTGTTTCTAATTTAACTTACAGGCGAGTTTTTTTCGTAATCAAACCTCTCTTCAACGATGAAATAAGCAGACATTTGAAACATGCCGCAGATAAATGATTGCGTTGAATACAGACAAAAAAATATCAACTCATCAGTAAAACAAAAATTCGAAGATTTTAGGGGGTACGGGGGGCTAACTAAATGATTTACCCACACAGATAACTCCAGAAATTTTGACTGATATCCAACTTTAATTTACGGAACACTGACGGTCATTTTACTCAAACAACAAAGACACTTGAAAGCCTTTATCCCACAAATTGCACCATGGCTTGCAAAGAGGAAATTTTAATTTCCGGTGAACCTTTTTTAATCTTTGCTAAAAATTCTTTGGAACTTGCAATAATACTACGGTGCTGATATTGTGTAGTTGTCATGCAGTATACTGCATCATGATTTTCTTATCTTTTGACATGGTTTGGTCAGCGGAAATCGTTTGACAGAGCTGCAAAGAGGGCCAAGCAAGATTAGCAGAACTGTCAAGTTTGAGAGTAATATGTTAAAAAGTAAAGAAATTAAGACCTTGTGAAGTCGCGACATTTTAGAGACATCCGTATTTAGGGGGGCATAAACTTGCCCCCCACCGTTCAAATGTCTGTAAAATTTCGAAAATTCGTCGAACCATGGCACTGGAAAAACTTGCCAATTTTGCTAATCTTGTGGCACTTTTAATTTTTAGCAGTGTCGATGGATTTCCGCCAGGACAGGCACTTCGTTTATTTGTGGTCCAAGTTAAAGCGTTAAAAACGCATTATGAGTTAGGGGTTTGGCGCTAAACAAACAAAAGAGACTCAATTTTAGGTGATTATGTTGGACGCTACTCTCATTTGAGAAGCATGTTACTGACAGGAAATTGAGCTATGATAGAATAATGAGTTTTTTAATTGTAAATATCTGTTTCACAAGCTTTTGGCTCGGCGACCCTTGGCTTTTTTTCAACGGCTAACCAGGTGAGGCTAAGGAAAGTCTGATAACGATAAGAAGGGATATAAAATAAATCATGTCACAAATTCACAACGTTTCAATGTCGTGAAGATATCATTATCGAGGGAAAATTGAAAAAAAGTCAGGAAGTTAATATATGCATGCATCAAGTAGAGTGTCGAATAACCTTCCACTCGAAATAAATATGTCTCATTATGATGAAACTTTATTTAAAACACGGTAAAAATATCAGTATGACAATAGAAAACAAAGGAGAAATTTATCTTAAGTAAAATTTTCTATTAACTGGTTTACATATTTGCCGTGTGGGAGTCCGATACAGAGAGCCATTTATCAATTCTTCTCTTGAAGATTAGACACTTTGGTGTGTGGTATCGCTTAGTGTTTTTGTGAGTTGTGCCATATTTCGACGAGCCCGCAGGGCGAGTCAAAATACAGTCATGCTACACACCAAAGCGTCTAATAAGATGTATTTACTTGAAAATGATATCATAACACTGTCAAAATGTTTTGCCTTTCTAGGAAGTTTTAATCTTAAACCGTTTACCGAATATACCCTGATAAGAATGGATTTGTTCCAAAAACACGATAATTCACATCAGAGCTTTGTCTGAAACGTGACGCATTTTCCTCGCAAAGGGACTGTAAATGGCGAAAAGTAGGAAATAAAATAACTAAAAAAATATATATATATATATTTAGCTTAAAGGAGATTGTACTCGTGCCCACTGAACAAAGTCACGAAACCGCTTGTTTGGATCGACGCCAATGATATCAGGTTTGAATGACGCTTTAACATAAGCGAAGTAGCATTGCTGAACGAACAGGTCACAAAAACTAGCTAGATATTTGTTTAATCTTTGTCAATGCTGGTGCAAATGTCGAAATACAGATACGATGCTGAAAAATGAAAATATTAATAAGTGCATAATAAGCCGAAAACAATGAAGAGAAACGTGAACAAAACTAAATACTGCTTACATTCGTGTTAGCTTGAGTTTTCTCAATGTCCAGATGTAATCTGAACAAGATCTAAACTTTTAAGAGATCAGCCTTCATGTGATCGTAATTTTGCTCTTGAAAGACTGTAATTTGCCCTGCAAGAATAATGCTTTAAAGGCGAATTTTGATGGAGTGTTGAGAAGCCCCACATCAAAGTAACCAGAGTGGTCGATTATAACAAAAAGAAAACATTTCAGGGAGCCAATGAGGATCAAAGTAGAAAAGAAAACTTACTAAAGGGTAGGAATGCGCGAGAACGAAGCGCTTGATTTTTACTCGTTAGAAGTCTGATTATTCGAGAGGTTATGAGATTTTCAAAACAATCACAAAGAGAAGAAAGGTAAAGCCAATAAAATCGTTGATTTTTTTTGTAGAGAAATTTTCAGTTGAGTATCAAAAGTGATCTTGGATTGCTTTCGTTTTGCTTACTACGCTCTGTGGTTGGCCTGAAAAAATTCGCAGTACCATCTCAAACAATCAAATGTGACACGAAAACCAACTTGCGTTTTCCCGCGCATCAGTCAGGTTGCCCGTGTCAGAACCTGTGTTGTGATTGGTAGTTGTGATACTTCGGTTTTGGTTTTTACGACGCTCATTTGAAAACTTGCTCTGGATGAGATGATTAACCAAAACAGACAAAATTCAAATACTTGTTATTAAAATTGATATTTTTTATTGGCTCTTTTGTGGTTAACAACTTGTTGTTTTGTTTATTTCTTACCGGGATTGCTAGGTGGATCACTGCGGCACATAGGAAAGATAAACTTCTATCGTACGGTTCCTGAAGGCTCTTCCGTCGATCTCAGCTGTGAGCTCAATAACTCCACAGTGGATGTGAGACTGTGGCTGTTACGATCTGGGGGAAAGTTTACACCGAGAAGAGGCGTGGTTAAATATGGGCAGTTATTTACTCTTCATGGAGTAAGCAACAAAAAGCAGGGCTCCTATCTATGCCAGGCGAGAAGTCGCGGATTTTCCAAATATATTGGAAGAATTATTGTGACACCAAGACTGCAAAGTAATGTGAAAAGCTTGTAGAATTTATTGTTAACATTCTGTCGTTACGTTTCATGTATTCTACATCACCAAGCTATCAAATTCAGGCAATTAACTTCTGTTGTTGCAAATTGTGTTATTATAGTTATCATTACTGTTGTCACTTTTGGCTTTGTTATTTTTTAATTGTTATAACTGAGTGGATATCCGATGTTGATCGCTCGAGGAAATTAACAGGACACAACAACTCTCGGACTCAATCATAACTCAAGTAATCATAACCATTACAATTTCCTCGAATATGGTTGGTGCAGTAGCTGCTTTATTTTTCACAAATTAAGTTCACTCAGCCTAATCCACCAATCACAGAATTGATCATAATAACCATAGCAACAACCACTAATCATAAAAAAAGACAGGGTAATTTCAAATGGGAGGTATTATTTACTTTAACACATTGTTTCTACCAGAGATGTTTGTCCTAAATGTATTCTTGTTTTTGGAAATTGTAACAGTTATGATTAATTGGTGATAGGACTCTGTGTCGTCCAACTCTGTCTGTAATTATACTCGCGATTTTGTTAATCTCTCGTATGATTACGGACCAAATTGGACTCCACTTGGTCCTATTAACATTATTCATTAAGCTAAGTTGGATAGGTAATGGCCTAATAACGGTTTGTGCGCAACTTATTGCGTCAAAACAGATTTTGTCATTGAAAGCTAGACTACGAGCAGTCCTTCCTTTTCGGGAAGTCTGTCGCGCGCTTCTTTCATGCGCTTAACTCCCAGAGTTCCACCCGGCGCACGAACTTTATTTCCTTTTCCTGTTTTCTTTTTGTTCGCGCACAGTTCTCCGCCGAAAAGAAGGGACTGCTTGAAGTCTAATGAAAGCAAGAAGCTTCATTAACATCAACAAGATAGATCGATCTTCGAGTAAAACTTACCTCAAGTCTAGTAAGTTTTGATCTCCAATGTCGGGTTACAATGACGTGGTTGCGAAATTTGTATTTTGCAGACCCTCCAAAACCAAACGTGACAGCAAGATATCAAGGAGTCGTTGTCCATAGAGATAAAAATCTAACATGTACTGCAAAAGGCAAGAGCATATCTTCGGTTCAGTGGTACAAGAGTGCACGACCTCTGTCCATGCAACAACAAGAAGTCAGGAGACAGTATGACATCGAAGAAGGAGAAATATGGTCCAACACTTTATTGTTAAAGAATGTCACAAAGAAACAGGTTGGCTGGTATGAGTGCCGTGCGTTTTTAACTTCTCAGAAGTTCGGGTTTTGGTCAGCTCATGTCAACTTGAGTGTTTTGGGTAGGAGATACCATTATTTCCTTCAATTTTACCTCAAGTCAAACGTGCATTAATCTTGCTTGATTTAACTTATTATTTCCTGGGATGACCGAGATACTTATGAGTGCTGTTACCGAACTCAAACAATGACACCTTTAAGATAGGTTCGGCATCTGGAGGGAAAATGCAACTAATTCTGGCGCGTTTTTACCTCGACTTACCAACCGGAAGGTTTTTACTTTGGTATTTTATTTTGAAATAAAAGCATCAGACACACAAAAAAATGGGTATTTGGGAGATCACGACGATCATTTCCAGTAGCTTTTGGCTACAAGTGAAAAAATGCCACGACTTCGATATGGAATAGTTCATGGAGTTTCAGAAACGACGATTGTAGCATATCAGAGCTTATATTGGTGTTTCATTTCCCTTAAATGAGAGTTAAGAACATGAGTTGACTCGAATGTCTGAGATGTTTTTAAAACATGTTCCGTTTAATCATCTTCAGAATGCCCGGAACCTGATGGAAAGTTTGCTGATCCGCAGAGCATTACGGGATATCTTGTGTGCACGGGTGGGAAGAGCACTAGAATGAGCTGCTCAAAGGGACTGGTGTGGAGGGACGTCAAGAAAATGTGCGGCACTCCAGGTAAGGTGTTCGGAGAAGTATGATGTGCATAGGACTGTGGATTTGCTAGTACTGTGATATGAAACCTCTGGTCAAAGCAGCGTTCCTGAGGGCGCAAAGGAAACAAAAATACCAACCTGTACTTATGACTTGAGATCGTAGATTAAACGATTAAATCTTAGCTGTGTCTACCGTTGTAGAAAATTAAGTTATTCTGGCCGGGAAGCGGTCTGAGCAATTTAGACATAGGGAAGAAACAGATATCAACTCTCTCAGTTGGCTGGTAAATCTGAAGAGAAAGCCGAAGACCGAGCTATAGTCTATAGTCTTGACCAACAGAAGCTCCTATCCGATGGTTTGTTAGGCTCATAAGCTTTCATTGACCCTTTATTCTTTCAGCGAAGGTTCTTAAGTGGGAATCTTGGCCTCATTCACTGCAGCAGAAAGACCGTACTGTTGGGGAATCCGTAAAAATAAGCTGTCAAATGAACGATCCTACAATAAGAGTCAAGTTAAAACAAAAGCTTCCCTTTGGTATGATAAAGGAGCGAATGGCGGATGGCTGTAGAGTCATTCGAGATGGTCAGAAGTTTGTTATCCATGCTGTGGATTTTCATGATGCTGGTATCTACCTCTGTGAAGCACCATCTGCCTCTATAAGTCGAAAGCAAGAAGTTTTCTTGATGATCAAACCAGGTAAAGCGTAATATACTTTTTGAATGAATGAGCTTTATTCATCACTACTGGAGTCAAACTGGAGAGTTACGTTTTGAGCTTTTTGCCACTCATCGTAGCCCCGGGAGGGGCGGGGGGGGGGGTGGACCTTCCCAGTGATAGGCTTATGAGGATGTGCCGCTGGATAGGATCACATTGCCATGATTGGATTGACTATAATGGGGTTACATCTTCAATAGATTTATTAGAATAGGGTCGCACATTTTCGGGATTTTCGGCAAAGAAAAGTTTGGTAGTTGTGGTTTAAAAATGGAAAATTCGTGGTGAAAAAGTTGTTACCATATCTTGTCTATGTGGGTATGTGCCATGCTGGGTATATGTCAGCGGAACATACCCAGCGAAAATTAACCCAAGTAGCCCCCCACCCCTTCTCCGGGAGTATTTTGTCAAACATCTAACATGGATCTAGTGGAGACCACAAGCAGTCTAAGTTTAATAAGTTTAAATATTGTCAGAATTTAACATATCCTTTGTTATACCACGACAGACAAATAATACCAGATTACTAAATTACTCTACAGTGGTTCTCAATGTCAAAATCAAGATTGATCATACTAACTCTAAAAAACTTAACTAGCTGATAGTGTAATTTAGTATTATCAACTGAGATCATAACGTAAATTGACCACCATAAAGAGTTTCAAAGCTGACGTTTCCAGTTTTAGCCCTTCAACAGAGCAAATGAATAATTCATTCTCTCTGACGAAGGGCTACTCTCCAACGGACGCAGCACTACAGTTTCTTTAGAAACTTACCCCCTTTAACTCGTTGATAACTGAGAACTCAAACTTTCAACTCTCTTAGTTTAGAGCTCATGTCTAAAGGAAATAATCCTGAATTTCTTTCGTCCAGCTCCGTCATCTGCCATTTTCACGGGGCACAGAAATTTATTTGCTTCCAATGGGAGCTCTGTAGATTTGAATTGTGGCGCCGAACACATCTTTCAGCCAATGATATTCTTGGAGATCATTCGCACAGACGGTATAACACAACTGATCCCGGACGGGCAAGGGATTGTCCTGACGGCTCGAACTGTGACCATACACGGAATAGAACGGACCATGAGAGGGAAGGTTGTCTGCAGGGTTATTTCATCCTGTAATCAAGCACGAGAAGATGTAGACTTGGGGTTTCTTCTTCCAATTCCCGTGAGAGGTATTTTCCAACTGTTACTGTATAAGGTGCTATTCATTGGTCATCGCGTAGGAGATGGGAAAATTCTGGGGGGAGATCACAAGGTTTTCAGGGGGCAGGGAGAGGGCATCAGTTGTCGCCGACTGAGTATAAAGGGGGACTATAAAAAATCGACAGCTAAATTACTGTCAATGAGGGGGGCGATCATGTAAATCGTCTCGTGACGCATTCAAAATCCTTTGACCTCACCGCCCCAATAACAAGTCTTAAGATCAACGTGGATATTATCACATTATTCGGCAATTTGGTGATCTAAAGACTTTGGTCTTGATTAAACGATCTAGAGAAAATCATAAGACTTTTTTACGATTTAGTCAATATTTAAAGGATACTTTGCCTTTCTTTATCCTTCCTAGTGTGTTTTTGCCACGAAATCGCCGGAAGCAATTTGGAAACCCACGGGAGGAAAATTCATTAGTCATAGGAATTCTTTTTTCAGTTTAAAGTGAACGAAGTTCGACTAATTTTTTCAGGGTATGGATCCAAAGGAAGGGCACCCAGAATTAACTTGGCTGATAAAATTTTTCTTTCGAACCTGGATCACATTTTTCAAAGGTCCCGGTAACTTGACGGGACCTTCAAATTTTTAAGAATAGAGAAGCAGGTTTTGGCACCCTAACCAGTCCATTATGGTACTTTAGCTGATATTTTTATTGCATAATTTTCAAAACTTTTGAAACCCCCATCTTGAATGAAAATAGAACAGCTTTAGGGGCACGTTTAGGTACCGGGACCTTCGAGAAACGGGCCACTGGCCTTAAAGCTTATGCGGTTTAGTGTCCTGTTGGAAGCACCCTTTTTCTGTATTTTTTTTCTCGTCAGGAAAACCGCCTGTCCCAAAGTTATCGCAGCAAAATTCCGAGGTAGAAAAAGGCAACAACCTCACCATTACATGCTCGGTCTCTGGGGAAGAATCACGTGACATAGCGTGGTTCAAGAACAAAGTCCCTGTAGCAGAGGAGAACGTCTTGACATTGGGTTTTCGTAGCCAGCTTAAGCTTTATAATGTCAGCAGTTCTGACGCTGGGGTTTATGAATGTAGGATCATGGATTTTGGCGTTGGATATTTTGTAAAAACAGTGACAGTCAAGGTCAAAGGTCAGTAAGGAAATGAAAAGTTTTGCCGCTAAAATTGTTTCCATGTAGCTTAGTTCAGTCTCTGCCTTCAAGTGAGCTGTGCTTGTATCCTTTAAATCTTCAGACAAATTCTATCCCTCCAAAAGAGTATTCTTGTTAGTGATAGTCCTTTAAAAGACAGGTAGAGTAATGCAATATTTCAAGCAAGGGGTAGGAAGTGTGTTTATGACAGGCAGCCGGGGACCGAGGACATAATTCCCATAAGAGAATCTATTCAACATTTAGACCTGTCTTCCGTTTAACATGACATGAATTGTGGAATGAATTTTCATGGGTCGTTCAGCACAGGGAACTCTTTCGAGGAAAATTGGCCAATCCATTTAGAGGCGCAAACATTGTAATTTATTGATTTATCATATTTTTCATCAAGATTCGGCAAAGGCAGTGCCGACAGCATCGACAACAACCATTTATCCGTCGGCTTCACTTGAAGTTTCGTTGATCACAATAGTCCCAAATCAGTTGGTAGATATTAACTGCTCCATGTTTCAAGCCGACATTGAGTTGAAATTATGGCACGAAACAACTCCAGGATTTCTTAACCAAAGGATACCTGACGGTGTCTCCGTGATCCGCCAAAATAACACGTTTAAGATCATGCAAGGACAGCAGAGCGATGAAGGAAAATATTATTGCCAGAATGCCGACCAGAAAATTCAAGTTGCCATTTTAACTTTTTCAGGTAACATACAAATTTATGTTCTTGGCATGTTTTAGTTGTAGAGACTCGTCACGCAAGCATGTGACGTGCGAATTATGACGCAAGTTTGTGACGACAGTTGCGGAAGAGATTTTTTCTTATCAAAGTCCTGGAAGAAGCAGAACTTAAGATATAGCCTTCGCAAAATGACACTTAAAGTGCATACAGTAATTTACCAATAAATATTAATTTTGCAAATGTAAGCTAAAATAATGCTAACCGTTACCACTGCTTTGTTCACAGCCAACAATAAAACAAATCTTTTTGTTGGTAAGAAGCAAGGGTGTCTGGTTAATGTACTTAATAGTACGTAATGTACTTTTAGACAATTTTGGTCGATGATAAGAGGACGTTGTAAAACAAATAGGTCTAAACTTCGTTTTAATAAATTTCTAAACAATTTTTCTTCCCATTACAAGTTGCCACAGCAACAGAGTTATTTCCATCACTGCGTATGATGCTAATAGCCCGAAACAGCCTGAGGTTGTTGATCCCCATTTTTAGCTTGTCCTAAATCGGGAAAAAAATCGTTGCAAGTAAGGGATAGACGGCGTCCAAAGCCACCTTAAAGTTGCGCAGATTCTGTTTTGTTTTGTTTTGTTTTTTTTTTTAATTTGGGTGAGAAATAGCGTTAAGCGTTCTGCCTTATCATTCTTCCATGGTTTCATGAATGGCTTCTCTTTGAAAACTTGTCAGATGAAAAACCTCCAAAGATAATCAACTTCACGACACGGGCGTCTGTAAACGCTTCCCAAAATGTGAGGCTGTTTTGTGAAACGGAAGGTAAACCTCCCCTTGCGTTCAAGTGGTTCAGGAATGGGCGGCTAATCGGAAGCTGTAAGGGAGATCTGGAACGAAAGAGGACATGCTTCCTTCACCGTCAACAAGGAAAATACAATGTTTCATGGAGGGGATCTGGTACAGAGCTGGTCATCAAGAAAGCGTTTCATCCTTTTGACACTGGAGTCTTCACTTGTGTCGCCATGAACTCAGCTGGAACGGATAACAAAACTGTCACGTTAGATATCCATGGTAGGTCATTGATAAAAGCAATGTGACCTGGAGACTGTTTTATAGTCGCGCCTTGTACTTGATATCTCAAGGAAATTTGAAAAAAAACCGAATTGGTGGGGATTTGAATCCTGAGGGATCATGATTTGTTTCACTTGCTAATTTACAATTTCAGACAAAAGCCATTTCTAGTTCATTGATGCTAACATATTGCAGCATGTTCGTCGCATTTGAAGTATACATAAAGTAGTTTTATGGTAAACTTTCGAAATAATTTCTTGACGGCCCGTTTATTTTATGTATATCTACAACTTAAGATGGCGATATCATTTAATGGTAGCTTTTACTCATTTGTGTTAGGACCCCATTAAATAAAAACTTATCGCATTTTAGACAGGCAGTTAAAACTCAGAAGTAGAGTGTGTCTTTAGCCTAAACAAGCTGATTCATGTAACATCGACAGAAAAGCCTGTTCTTAACAAGAAAAACTACACAGACCTCTTTGTGTTGTCTTTTGGGGACGCGACTACGATCCAGACCACAGCGCTGCGCGGTCATCCAGTACCTCACTTCAAGTGGTATCAACAACCAATCAGAATCTGTAATTCAGGATGCAAACCAGACGCCAAAAAATGGCGACGAGTTCCACGTCATGTGATCGATCCATCAGAAAAAGTTCCTTCAAGAATAAGCAGTTTGTTTCTTCCACCTGCGAAGTCTGGATATTTCTTCAGATGTATCGCCGAGAATTTCCTCGGGCATGATGACGCTGTTTTTTCCGTGCTCAGAGTTGGTAAGTTTACTAAAATTGATACAAATTTTACCGCACTTGAATTTTTGACAAGCAGCTTTTTTTTTGTCCTGCGTTTTATACGTAAGACTTTCCCGAAAGTGGGTCAGCGAAAACCATTCACCATTCGAGATCACTGCTCGCGACATTTGCAAAAAAACTGTTCCAATTTTTAAAAAGTAAACACAGGTTCGGGAACAAACAGAGTGTGCATTTTACTACGTTCAAACTCCATTAAATTTTTCCTTCTCATGATTTCCCTTTCAGACAAGGAAGCTGTTTTACCAAAAATCGTCCCTTCATCTTTCCCTCTACAAGTGGATGAGTTGAGCTCTTTTACGATCTCATGTAAAGCTGACTTGGGAGATTTTGAGTACCTCGAATGGAAAAAAAGAAATTCAACTCAGATGTTATCCAACACATTGAAAAGGAACAAACATAACATATCAACGACATTATCTATCAGCCATGCGCAGTTGGGGGATGCTGGGGATTATTTATGTTACGGATGGACTGCAAACGAGACAAAGATTTCAGTCATAGCAGTTTCTGTTGCAGGTAGGGGAAATTATTCATCGCGGGGAGGGGGAGGAAGGATTTTTGGGGAGATTCCATGGTTTTCAGAGAGAACGGAGGAGGGATCGGTCGTCGTGAACTTAGAATAATTAACTGCCATTGAGGAGAGCATCAGATATTACAGAGTCTTATGGGGGAATTGGATAAATTTAATCGTGATACAACCAAATCCTCTAAACCCCCCCCCCGTTCCTGGGTGGGGTAACCCGTTCGCTAAAGCGGCCTTAGCGATGTGAACGCCGGGAGGGAGTAACTCTTTCAGGCTGGTAATTTGTTTTAAGCGTGTGGAAAAATCAATAAATGACAGGACACGTTTTCTCCATTCGAGTTTTATCACCTATTGAGCATTACGTTAATAGGGGCTGAAATCACCATTGGGAGTCTCAGTGGGATGTTCAGGGAAGTTGGAATTCTTACGAATTTGCATAAAAGGTGTAAAAAGGGTTTTGGATCAAGGACCGGGTTTGGAAAACTGTCCGGTCGCAGTCATGTCATAATTGGCCCTGGTTGGCTTCATCTTTACCTATAAATCTAATCGTTATTCTCTTTCTATTCCAGAATTAGTTCGTCCCGTTGTGTCGCTCTTAAATCAAACTATCCAAGAAGCAAACGTTAACAGCACAACATTAAAATGCAACATTGCATCAGGATATCCTGCACCAAATGTCACTTGGTACAAAGATGGCGCACAGTTGCGCCTGCTCTCCCTCGGGTCAGTGGATGACTGTAGAATAAATGGATTTCATTATATCGAGAGTGACCGCCCGCCCTTCACGAGAGAGTTGCTGATATGCAAACCAAATCACGTCGAAAACACTGGAATTTATAGGTGTGAGGCCGAGAATATCAAAGGAAAAGATACGAGTGAAGCAGTTTTGAATGTATTAGGTTTGTATAAGGAATGTGTGACAAATTTCCAGTCCGTTGTTAAGTCCATCTTTCTTTGAAAGATTTGTGAGGCTTCAAATCTTACTTGGTTAAACATCTCAGCATGGAGACCATTCATAATATTTTATAAAGGATGTTTTACCCTAAAAGGGAAACTTTTTCAGATTTGTTGTTGTAGAAGGTTTGAAATTTCAAGAGTTTTGTCATTGGCATGAGAGGATAAACTAAGATGTAACATCTGAGTCATTGGGTAATTATAGCCGTTTCTCACGAGGAAATACAAACCCTTTTTTTATCTCTGAAGTCCCTTTCATGCATATACCAAACTGCTTCCAAATCATCTTACACCGCACAATTGTCTTTCTTTTTCAGTTTTTTTTTTCTTTTCTCTTTCCTCCTCAATATTATTCTTCTTTTTCCGTTTAGCGCAGCCAAAAATTTCCAACATGGTGGATGACGACCTGACCATGGAGTTGGGCGAAAAAGTAAATGTCAGTTGTGAGGTAACAGGTAACCCCCCTCCCTCAGTTAAATGGGTCAAGAGAACGTCAGAGGGTGACTATGTACCTGTCGTGAATAGGGGCAAAGAGAACCGCACCCTTCTGATAAAATCCTTGCGACAGCAGCACTATGGGGACTACATATGCGTAGCTGAAAACAAGTTTGGACATGATTCGGTGGTTTTATCTGTTGGTAAGTGTGCTATGGTACGAGACTTTCTCTGCTGTTTACGGTAGTTACCTTTTTCTTTTCCGTCGCTACCCAAAACTTGCATTCTAGCTCAGAGGAAGACGATTTCCGTCAATAAAAGCAAGTTGTAATAAAATCACCCAGTCTATGTATTGAGCAAAAATATTTTAACTCTGCATGATTTGACGGAAGGCTATATCAGTTAAATTTTTCCAATCTGTAAACGGCACCACGTGGTTCCCTTTAACGCCTATGTGCTTTTGAAATTATTCGAGGGAACTTTGACGGAACGACACGTTTGTAGTGATCTTCATCAAAGCAATAACACCCTCCCTGACTGCCCCTCCCCATCCCTCCACCCTACCTCATTTCTCCCCCCTTCCCTCACGCCTCAACCTAGTAACCTTTCTAACATACTTTCATGCCTCAATCTTGATAACCACAGTTCAACCAGAACAAGTTGGCGCCATTTCGAGCCTGGGACCTCACTCGAAGATCCCCTTCATAGCAGCCATTGTCGTTGGCGCAACTCTGTTTTTGTTACTCTTGGTCATCGCTGCCATTCTGGTTCGCCGGCGTCAGATTTATGGAGGTTTCTACATCTGCACATCTCCTCCCCTGCCAGACATGATACCGAGGCTGGATTCCTCCATTCCTCTTATTGAACAAGTACATAAGCTGCCACTGGACAAACGCTGGGAGTTCCCAAGAGAGCATCTACGCTTCTGTACGATTTAAATAGATAAATAGTTTCTTAGGTTTAACCAATTGTCGCCTTCCTTTTAGTTACGCAACAGATCAATAACAAGGAAAACTATACTCCCTCGATCTATTTTTCAGCATTTTGGACATGAAAGTACACGAATAAGCATGTTTTCACTTGTTATGACTATGATAAATATTTCGTAATGCATAGTGCAAGATCTCTCCAAGGATTATAAGAAAAGTAAGCGATGTAAATTGTTAATTCTACACTCGCGTTTGCAGGAAATGTCACGATAATTCCCTCTACTTCCAAAATGTACATCTAGTCTATCCAACTCCACTTCCCCTCCCCCTACAATGAACGTGCCCATGCTGTGGAGCCTGGTGTAAGCTTCTTAACGGCCATTTCTTATGGCGAACTTACCGTTCAAATACTCTCACGGATTGCAGGCAAAGTGCTCGGCTCTGGTGCTTTTGGCGAAGTGTACTTGGCCGAAGCAGAAGGGAACATCATAAGTGATAGCGCATCAGCGGTAAACTCGCACAAAAGACATCGATTGTCGACTTTAAAGGACTCACGAAGGGGTTCCTCTATATCTCATGGGCCTGTCAAGGTGGCAGTCAAAACATTGAAAGGTGAGTAAAAAATCGTTTCGCCTAACAGACGTGAACTTCGCACGCAATCCAACTTGCCCACATTGTGGTAGCCTGCAGAACAGGCGTAAATTTTTGCATTCTACGGGCGAACTAAGACAAGCGCTAGGCGAGCATGAAGCGGGAGGCAAGCGCGAGGGAAGGAGCGCAAGGACACGTGCTCCTTCCCTCGCGCGTGACTCGCACTTCGCGCCACCTTACACCGTTCGATTAAAGAACGCCAAAAAAATTACGCCTGTTCTGCTGAAGAAAATTTTGGGAAACAGAGCAACTTTTCTGCACATAAAGCGACCAGATAAAATGCTGAACCCCACTTAAAGGAATGCTTATCTTTCCCAAGTCAGCCCAATGATTTTTGTTAAACAACCTCGTTCCCAGGGTCCTTTTCCTTCCCTCCTCGAGAAAGCAAGAGATAGTTCCCTAAGAACGAGGTTGTTTGTCATGTTTCTTTGACAGTTCATTGATACTTACACACACTACAGATTGGAGAAAGGCAAAGAGGAAATCAAACCCAAGACCTTAGGATTTCACTGTGTTTACCTTTAGGCAACTATGTCGCCCACACTCATAATTTCTATCTTAAACTTTGCCGGACATTGCAGTTCGCATGAATGACCTCTAATTCAACTATAATTAAACACGTGATTTCATTATTTTAACTCCAAATCAACGACTTTCCTCTTAAACAGAGGGGGCAGAGGAATCAGAGCACAAAGACCTGATCTCCGAGCTAAAGATATTGATTCACATCGGATCTCACAAGAATATTGTCAACTTATTGGCAGCTTGCACAAAGGGTAATAAAAGCTAGATGTTTAGGGGTCCAGTTATATGTAAACCACGAGCAGTACCTGTTTTGCAGTGTCTATCTTTTGGCGTAGAATCAATGACTGATTTTCCTTGAATCGCGCGACAAACCTAAGACAACTTTATAAAAAGGATCACGTCACTGATATTCTGGCTTGATCTTTTTCCGTTATCTTTGGTTAAATATCAACTTATTGTTGTTTAACGCTCACGTAAACTATTTCTCAATGTAATGTTTAAAGGAGAATTTTTTTCCTAATATTAGACCACTTAGTTTCAATACTACACTTCGCAGCCCGGTTAGTTGAACACCAGTTTCATAGAAAGCATAAATATAAATCTCGTTTACAACCAGGAGGAATGATGCTGTTGTTCCTCTAGTTTCTTTGTTTATTTTTGTTATTGATTATTTTTTTTGCCGTTATTTTTGTTACTTCTGCCAAAGATGCACAAACTACAACTTTAAAACGTTAGTGGAAGGAAAGATAGTTTTGTCTCATCCATTCCATATTGTGTTTCGACTCCAGTTCCTTATAATATAATTTATTTTACCAAATTACATATCCAGGTCGTTACAGTGATTTTTGTGTGATCATCGAGTACTGTCCATATGGGAACATGTTAATATTTCTGAGAAACAGTCGAGGGATTTATGACCCAACATGGTTGCCACCCACCGAAGATCCTGACAAACAGATCAGCTTGACAGAACTAGTGAGTGCAGCTTTTCAAGTCGCTAGAGCCATGGAATTTCTTGTGTCTAGAAAGGTAGGTGATCCTTTAAAATAATTTCCCCCTTTTTTCTTTTCCTCATCGTATGATTTACGAATCGTGGTTGATAAACCAAATTAGAGTATAATTGGAAGGGTGACATAATTAGGAACTAGTTGAATTGAACAGTGAGATAAAAAGGTTGTGAGTCGGTCACAAGGACCGATCGTTATTTACACGTGGTTTTCACATGGGGGGGGGACGGAGGGGAGATCAGCCGTCGCCTATTTACAATTGACTTCCAAGAAGGGGAAGGAGGCGGGGGGGTCATTAGAATACTGCAGAACCTTGGAGGGGGATCAGATAAATATCATTATGGTACAATCAAAATCGTCCGACCTCCCCTTCCTCAGGCAATCGATGTTGACCAGTCTCTAACTGTTATTTTCTTTCCAGTGTGTCCACAGAGATTTAGCAGCCAGGAATGTTCTCATTGGGGAAAATTATGTGGTGAAAGTTGCAGACTTTGGGCTAGCCCGAGATGTGTATAAAGATGACAAGTACATCAAAGTCTCGCCGGTGAGCCAGCTCAAATTTATTCTGTTACGCCTAAATTCAAATCCATTTGAGAGGAAACTCCTTCTTTCAGACGCTGAGTATTTATTAGTTGACATAAAGAGGGATGACTTTTCGTCTCTCCGCGATCGTGGGAAAGAGAAAAAAAGTTGATTCCCAATCAGGAACCGCAACCTCGTTCCCAGGGCCCTCTCTCTTCCTTCCCCGCTGAGGACCCTGGGAATTAGGTCGGGGGAATGGAACCCCAGAAGTGAGTAGGCTTTTGAAAGAGACAGACAAACACAAAAGGAACAACAGTGTACTCGTGTTTTAAACTTTCACTGGTGATTTATTTTTCCACCAATCAGTCTTTTCCTCATACAGATTTGATGTTTCTTTCTAGGGCCTTGTTCCGGTGAAATGGATGGCAATTGAATCGCTAGTTGATAGAGTTTACTCCGAGCAGAGTGACGTGTAAGACGGTTTTGAAATGTATAATTTTAATCTAATGTATGAAATATAAGTATATTTTATATATATATGTGCAGGTGAAAAAAAGCAAAAAAATTATTCCAAAATCCAGAGGCATGAGTACGATATCTAACCCTAGGGAGCCCATGAGTGTTTTATTACATGGAAGGGGTCAATTGTCCTCTGCTACCCCTCCCCCCTTACTAAACCATTGCAATCGCCTTTGAAGTAAAACTTACTCGCGTTGGTTTGCAATTTGAAAAGGTTAAGTAGTTCACACAGTAATTCACATTCCTTTTGATTTTATTTTGTAGATGGTCCTTTGGAATTTTTCTCTGGGAGCTGTTTACTCTTGGTAAGACTTGACGATTTTAAAGGAATTCGGATTCATAAGTGCGCCATCAAAATTATAACCTCCTCAGTAAACCCCCCAACCCCTCACCCCACGCCACCCTACCACCCTTCCAAGGTATTATCCCTTTCACTTTGAGTTACTCGTCTAGCACAAAACACGTAAACACTTACATTTAGCAACAGGGTCTGTTGTCCAAAGGGAAATCGACTTTAATTAAAAGAGAAGTCTAGAGGTACAAAAAATGCTAAAATAGATCAAAATAATTTCAGTTCTTGAAAGAGTAAGGCTCGTAGTTACGTTCCTGTATTAGTGTTGGCCGGTTGGCCTTTGTGAGATTCGAATCCAACGTATTGTTTTCATTATACTGTAGGAGGAAATCCCTATCCTTCGATACCGCCGACAGAAATTTATCAATATATCAAGGACGGAAATCGTATGGAAAGACCCTTGGAATGTCCAGAAGAAATGTATGTGCCTCGAATACGTATGATACTTTAGACTACGAGCAGCCCCTCCCTTTTTACGAAGTCCGTCGCGCGAATCAAAAGCAAACAGTGAAAAATGACAAAATGATGTTACCGAACAGCGCGGAAATCCGAGAGTGAGGCATTATCCCAGAGTTCTGCGCGATGCGCTAACATCAGTGTTAATGTTACTTATAACAAGAGATATTGAAAATTTTCAGCAAGCGAACATGGAACAAAGATAAAGATTTCTTCTCGAAGATTCGAACCTCAGACCTTTTTTGGCAGTCAGAATCTCCACCAACTGGATCACAGGACACTTAGTTTGTTTTCTCCTGCGCCTGTCTGTTCGTCGTTTTTCCCTGGCCGTCATCTCCTCTCCTTTTTTCCTCCTCGAAAAGAAACTTAAACTTAAAATCCTTGGTGTTACCTTGGGAATGTTCTAGAACGAGCGTAGTTAGACAAATGCTTGTCACAATAGCATGACGATTACGGCAGATAGAGGAACTCAAATGTCTCCCACTGCCTTGAGGCATTTGTTTATGAGCTTAAAAAAGGTCAAAACATTTAACTTCTCTGTAACTGAATGAATCGAGTTTCAGCATAAGGAATCACTTGAGTCTCGCTGCGTGATTCGCTTCTCTCTTTTAACCAGCTAAATTGTCGATCAAAGTCAGCAAATTATTGTGTTTGTTGACAGGTATGCCATGATGACAGACTGTTGGATGGAGAAACCCGAAGACCGACCGAACTTTACCGCGCTTGTGCAGAGGCTGGATCACGTGATGGAATCTAATTCTGCTGCCATGGTCAGGGCATCGTAAATTTCTTTTCTTCAGATGGATTCTTTCGACATATATGGATTAATTATCTTAACTGGATAGTTTCCCTGAACGAGAACCTGAAGAAAACCTCAAATTAGTTATTTGCAAGGATACAAAAGCGCAAAAATATGCTCACATGCCGTGTTCTTCACGCTTTCCGTAACACTAAGCAACCGGCTTGAATTGGGAACCCACTTCATTGTGCGTAATCCCCAGGTGTTTTCCAGGTTTCCAGACACTTTTCCAGCAACCATTTCTACTCCTGGGTGTAGAAACAAGGTTAACGATTGAACCCAGACCTCTCCATTCGTAGTCTAACGCGCCAAATCCTTGGCCATTGCGTCTCTTATAAGAATCGCCAAATATTCAAAATATAAAGAAAGATCTTCATTTTGTCACAAACGTGGAAGGGACAAGGAAAAAACTCATGTCCCCATGAAAAATCAAACACAAGACCTTTGGATTTCGCGCTCCGATGCTCTACCATTTAGTCAAAGAGACTCTTTAGTGAGTAAGGCGATTACAAGGTTCATATGTGTTTCACGTGCCCTGCATACTGAAAGGATCAGCCATGTGGAAAGTGTCTTGCACAAAAAAGAAAAATGTTGAGCTCGGTGATCAAAATTGTCAAAAAGTACTTAAAAAGAAACAAAGGTTTAGACGGCGATTATCACAGACTCATGTGATAAAGTGGTACTTTTGTCGCTAAATAATCCTAGCTGACAAGGTCATGCAATGAACATTTTCATTTTTTTTTTCGATCTCATAGGGCCGTGAGGGATATCTAGAGCTTGAGGACGAGCCTATGTCGCCAAATGAAGAAATAGATGATGATGGTTATTTGAAGCCAACAGAGATATCTCCCCTTGGTTGCAAGTCAGCGCTTCTGAACGGAAACGTTAATAATGACAGAAACAAAGACTTGTCAGGGGAAAACAAAAACTGGACGAGCGAGCTAAAATCCAAGGATTTACACTGCGAACGTTACATAGGTCTGGGCTTCAAGCCTACAAACAGTTCAAATGACATAGCAGAAACTGTGCTTTAGGAGAGTGGTTGTAACCGAAGAACTCAGCTGCTGTAGGATCGCTGTGATCATGCCCTTTCCTTAGCTTTTCCCTGATTGTCTCATACAGAAGAAAGGTTTTCCTTTTTACTTCTTGCAATAATAGAAGACAGAATCAAGCCCATTCGCAGGAAAACAGCCATGAGACTAATTTTTTTCAAGACGGCGGTATCCGGTTACAAATGATTAAACCCTAAACCTACTCACATCGTATTCGTAACTCCCGCACTGACCTTGTTTACATTTTCTTGTGGATCAGTTGAGAGAATTTGATTTTATATCACGATAACACCCTCTACTTGATGAGCTTGTCCACTCATAACCTAGTTGTGGGATTATGTCTTGAAACTGTGAAGAGAAGCAAATGTTGATCACTTCATAGAAATAAAAGGTCAAGAACATTAGAAATATGATACGTTGGAATGATTCGGAAGTTATAATGGAGCGTTAGATATGTTAAGAACGATCGCCCCAAAACTCGGGGGGAGAAGGTGAAAAAAGTTGTCTCTGTAAAAGGATGGAGAGTGGCCTCAGAAATCATGCACCAAAAGCAGACAGGCTAGTGTAATTTGAGAAATATTAATATTTTAGTAAGCCACATTCGAAGTAGGGTGTACCTCTGGATCATCATGATCTAACAAAATAGGTGGTAATACTGTAGACAAATCGAACGTTGCAGAAATTTCTCATAATCGTCGATAAATTTCCCCCGTGACTTTATTGACTTGACATATCGAGTATTACCGCTGGACGAATTGATAGCGGGCACAATAGCCGTATATATTTTTGTAAAGCAATAACGTATCACCGCTGACCTAACTTGATAGAGGGCACAAATATATGTTATTCACCAGACGGGAGGTCCGTATTGGGAAAAACTGTGCCCGAGGTCTTGGGTACACAAGACAGAGGGCACAGTTTTTCCTATTACGGACCGACCTTGGCTGGTGAATAACATTTTAATTTTTTTCTAAAACCTAACAAATGGTTGGTTGAAAAGAACCTGACTCCCGCTTGGCCGGATGGGGAGAATACTGCCCACTCTCGGAACCAATCAGATTGCAGGATTTGTAGAATACTGCCCACTCACGAACTGAGATCTTAGCGTAGTCCCTGACTTGAAAACAGCACGTACGCCTTGTTGTTGTAGGCAACGGCAAAGCTGTTCGGACAGACCTTTAACATAAGGTAAAACCGCAGTAGCTTTGAACTCGTTGGCGGGCTCAGCACTTTTTTAAGCCTCCCCCTACAGATATCTTTGAGCTGATCAATTTATTAATTCTTCTTCTATGTATTTTTTTAATTTTTTTTTGGTACACTTGACTATACAACTACAAGTCGGATATTGATCACTTCTTGGAGTGAAAGGGTTTAACAAAATTTAATTGGGAGCTGAAATAATTATGCATGCTTTAATTTAGGTATACAAAACTTTCTCATACAGATTAAACAATCTAGTCTAAGGACTGATTGTTAATTCTCCCCTCTAGCTGCTACACATTTCCATCTAAATAAGTTGCAAGAATTTGGTGATAGATCAAGACAACTTCTACCTGATAAGTTTGAATATTCTCATGACCTGTTTACTGGATAAGTTTTAGATATTATAGGGAGAAGTTACATGTTAATCACTTCTGGGAGTCAGAGGGTTAAATGTGTCCATCGGTTCAAATCCTCAAACTTCATCAAATCTCTAATTTGCAGCATTATTATCAACCTCACTTTTGAAATCTTGATCATCATCATTATTGAAACAGGTCTGTGTTTGTTTCACAATAGCATCTTGGTGTTTACAAAGCCCGTTATTGCATTTAAGCTGTTGTATTCTTCTGTGGTTAGAAAATCATACTAGCTTGCAGATGTTCATAAACAGAAATTTGGATTCAAAATGATCAAAATTCCTTCAAGGCCTCCCTTTTGGAGGCTCACTCATGATCTAGCACATCACCTGCAGGAAGCTACCTGACCAATGAGATGAAAGGCCTCCTCTTGCATGCAGATGTAGCAAGTGTACAAAGTTTCATTAGCTACACAACATTGCCAAACTTTCAGATTAAATCTCTGTAGCTAAACTTATTCACTGCCGCAAGACTAAGTTGAGAGGCCACGTTGAATAGAAATTTACACAAGCACTCAACAGATATAAAATTGTAAATTGCATGAGAGCAGAGTGGCCCATTTAAGTAGCTCTACCAGATGGTGAGGTTATGAAGGATCAGGGATCAATATGAGAGGGGGAGAAGGATGGAGTCAGAGATTAAAGCACAGACTGACCACCCTATGAGTCTGTGAGAACCTACTAACCATAAAAAAAATTAGGAAATTTTGGATGAAATCTTAAAAAAATGCGGAATAAGGTGTCAGGTCACTTAAGTGTACCTCGTTTTGCCAAAAAATTCCTTCAGGATCTCAAAGTGTGGCTGTTTAAGAGCAGCTCATTACTATAACCCTTGTACATTTTCTCAGGATTTTTTATTTCATTTCTCATGCCATCAGATCTTTTGGTCAGAGGAAACCCCACAATCCTCATTGACTGATAATGTATAATTATAACTGCATCCATGGTTTGTTGCCCTAGAAAATAAATCAGCATTACCATCCTCTAACACAGTCATGAAATGATTAGTTTGTAACTTTTGTTTGTCAATGAACCTCATTTTATTGACTTATACTGAATTTAAATACCATAGGGTGACTTTACAAATTATTTTGTTTATTATTTTACATTTTATTAGTTAATTGTAGGTTCACATCAGCCTCGTGGCTACCACCTTTTTAACTTGCATCACTAAATAAAAAATGAGGGATGGATTGTTCCAAGAGTGACGAAATATACTGTGCTCCGATTTATAGGAAAAAAAAACAACTCTGTATGCTATTCCTTACCATGTTCCAAACAGATATGTGTCTATAGTTCCATAGTTTTATCACAATTTAGAGTCCTCGCATTCAACCAAATCTTTCATCCTCAGCAGCATGATCTTCTTCACTTCTTCAATCCCGCACTCTAACTCTTGATCTCTGTCATTATTCAAGCGCGATTTTATTCCTTTCAAAATTGCATCTTTATTGTTTAAACGAGCGCAAATCACAAATGGAAATCCAAACTTATTACTATAGAGCTGGTTATAATGTTTTAACTCTTGAATCTCCTCTTTTGTTAGCGTTGTGATACCAGCGTGTGTTTGTTCTCTTTGGGATTCGGGGGTAAGTGATTCTAAACGATCGGCAAGATCAGGATGGTTGCGCAATATGCCGGCTCTTCCATCTTTGGGAAGCTCGTCGATAAACTGGCACATCACCTCCACGAAGTTGTCAAATGACCTAAAAGGCCTCCTACCACATACAGCTGCTGCACAAATTTTTGTCTCCTCGATAACATTGCCAAACGTACGGATAAAATCTCTGTAATAAAGCTCGTTCACTGCAGAAATGCTCAGTTTGGAAGCCATGTTTAATTTATCCCAAACGTGATCTTACATAAAGGAATTAATATAATTAGCTTTGTCGCTGGTTTCAATATCAGGAGGCTCAATTTCGGAAAAAAACACAGTTTACAACAATTTTCCCCGCTATGGCGGTTCACGCACATTTTACCGTAGCGGATTTTGTTGTATTTTCTCTGACTTTGCTGGCATCTATGGGTATTGGAATATTCTATTCTAGGGCGGGTGGAGCACAGCAGAATAACAACGAATATCTCATGGCTGGGCGAAGTATGGCTAGTATTCCGGTTGCCATCTCCGTCCTTGCTTCCTTTGTTTCGTCAATCGCGATCCTAGGAAATCCAGCCGAAGTTTACACGTATGGCTTTCAGTACTGGATCAATTCCTTCACGAACTTTATTTCTGTTCCAATCATGGCGTTGGTTTTTTTACCTGTGTATTATAACCTTCGTTTGACTAGTAGTTACGAGGTAGGTTGTCATACATGAATTAATGAATCCCGCTGCATAATTAGCACCGATCGCTTCGTACCAAATTTCCGGTTTATCTCGATTGGAATGCGCGAAATGTAGTATTCAAATGTGCAAGTTAAAATGTATTGGAGTAATCGCACAGTTATGATACAAATACCACGAACAGTTGAACAAACAGAGTTTTCATCGTTTTTCATTGTGAACAAATGTTTACTTGGTGTAATCATCTGTCATGAGCAAGTAACATTCGCTTTCTTTTCTCTCGTACAAATTTTTTTTTATCATTGAATGGAATCGAAAAAGTGAAATGACTTAACATCAATTCAGTCTTAAATTAATTTAACATGGTTAACCTTTTCTCGTGTGAAGTTCTATGCCGGTGTGTATGTTCCGGGGTAGCTCAGTTTGAAAGGTTTAAATATATTTTTTTCTATCTCCCCCTGTTTATGCAGCCCGTCGCTGACTAATGGCACTGATTCGCACGAACCAGTGAATCCTAAGGAAGGATTATTTACAGTTTAATTCAACTGTTCGAAAACTTCAAATTATACCTACTATGAACAAGTCAAATAGCAAAACTTTAAGATTTGTGAGTGTGTGTGTGTAACTCTTGGAAGAAATTGGACAAAAGAACATTTCATTTATGAATCGTACTTATTTAACGTCACGTAATCTTTTTTTTTTCCAATTCATTTCGTCGTATTGTAGGTTTTTTTCATACGTAACGTCTTTTGTTTTGTACGATAATTTGTAGGTTTGTTTTCGTTTCGTTTGCCATATAATTGTAAAAAAATTCATTTAATTTGTGTAATTCGTTCAGGGTTATTCGAAGTCGTGTTCGAATTTATACGAGGTCGTTCAAGATTAGTTCGCTCGAGATCAGTCATTTTTTGCTCAATTTAATTTGTTAATTAGTTTGAGTCAATAATAAAATGTTCAACTAGTGAACAGAAATCCCTTTAGTTAATTTCCAGTACGATTATTGTTACTGTCGCACTTACAGAAAAGCAGCCAGATCCAATGACAGGAAATGAATGAAGAATTCCTTATAGTTAATTTTGTGACCTTAGTAACATGATTGGCACTAAATTTGGATTTATAACTTTATAAATTTAAGTATTTGAATTAGTTCTTCCCTGCCTTCATTTTAAGCCTTCCCTAAAATCTCCACTCTTCATTTGATTGACAATTGTTTCTTACATCAGTGTACATTCATTGGGATAAGAAGTACCCCAGAAGTTTGTGCAGCAGGAAAGATGCTTCAGGGTTGCTTGAGGTACAGCCTACAGCATCTCTAGCTTCTTGAGCACCCTCCAAACTTTCCAAGTGCATCATATCTTGATGAATGCACAGCTGATGTATGAACCAATTGTTTTATAACTTTGTCAGTGCAGTTGTTTGAATATTGTTCTCTTATAAATTAAAACATTTTAGAAAAACAGTGCACACTAAATCTGAAATAAATCATCTTTTAGTCAAAAAAACTGTAATGATATAATTTAAAACTTGTTTATAAATAACTTATACCCAAAGTAAAATTAATTACAACATTAGTCAAAATATACTCAGACATCAAGATCTGTTTGATAGTGTGGCACAAGCAGTCATTTACAAAATGAAATTTAGATATAACTGACTTTATTCTCGTGGGACTAAGTGCTTTGTAAAAACATTTTCTTTCAGTATCTAGAAAGAAGATTCTCCTTTAGTGTCAGGATGTTAGGATCTGTAGTGTTTGTTATACAAACGGTAAGTGAATATTGATTTCTAGTTAGCATTTACTGGATCCATTTTTCTCTCTGTTCAAGCTTAGCTAGCTATTAAATAAGTTATGGTATTAGTAATGTCAAATCAAAGATTAAATAGGAAAAATATTTATTGTGTTGTCTCAAGTGCAGGACAAAGAAAGTCTGAGTCCTCATAAGGAATCAACCTCAGACCTTCAGGTTCTTCTCTGTAACCCTTTCACCCTCATGAGTAATCAAGACAGAGCATCTCCTTACATTATCAGTACCATACCAAGCCAACAAGCAACAAGAGTAAATAAATATATCAATGAGGGGATACTTGATCCAATACTAAATTCTCCAAATTGGCATTTTAAGAATTGTATGGCAGACAGTAGGGAGAATTGCTGAGGTGATCTTGGGAGTGACAGGGTCAATGCTTGACCAGTGAGCCACAGAGAACTCCTTGGAGAATAAATAGGTCATAGTTAGTAGGCACGAGTCTTGTATACTGAAGGGATGAGCAATGTGGAAAGTGTCATATGAATTTAAATTATAATATCATTTCTTTAGTGTATACATCACTGTGCATAATAATCAGTTTATGAAATCTGTATCACAGTTGTTATAATTTCTCATTTAAAATGTTGCAACCAGTGTTGGTTCCTTATGAAAGATTTTGTCGTAGGACCCCACAGACACAAACTTAAGTTAACTTGTGCATCCCGCATGCTTGTATTAAAGGCCATTTCATTCATTTGTCATCACCCATGTCATGCTATTTTTCTTTCATTATTGTTGGTCAAATGAGCGCAGTTCTCTAAATTATGAATCTTATTTCAAAAAAAAATTTTTTTTTCAGGTTTTGTATACTGCTATTGTATTATATGGACCATCACTGACCTTAGAATCAGGTAAAAAAGTATTTGATATACCAACTGAAAATATTTATATGTGTAGAATATAGAGTGGTTTATTTCAAATAAATATTGTAATTCACTGATCATCCAGTTAATATTTGTGGTATTTTGTATTATTAAGTGACAGGTTTCCCACTGTGGCTTTCAACGGTTGTAACTGGTCTTGTCTGCACTTTCTACACCACAGTAGTAAGTCCTTTTTTAGTTATTTGGTTTTGTTTGTGAAGAATAATTTTGAAAAAAAGTATTTCAAAACATCTACTTCTAGCAAAACATTTGATAGTAATAGTAATCTTTAATGAGGATGCCAACATCATGTAGTGATTAGCATGTAACTTCTCCCTAAAATATCCATACATAGTCCAGCAAACAGGTAATGAGAATACTCAAAGTTATTATATAGAAGTTGTTATCTTGATCTAACACCAAATTCTCATCACTCAATCATAAGGAAATGTATGGTAGCTAGAAGGGAGAATTAACAATTAGATCTTGGGAGTTAACGGGTTAAAAAATCTTGCTGGGACTCAAAAGAGCTGTAATTGCAGTAAATTACACTCAGGGGACACCATGTACAGTCTCAAAAGAGTGTAGTTACTTAATATACACATACAAGAAACTTACTTTTATGTGGCACATCAAGACTCATTTGGAACACATCAAGTCCAGCAGAGACACTTTGGTGGTAATCCAAACAAACATGATAGTAACATTGGTGGTAATCCAAACAAACATGATAGTATTTAATAAATTTTTTTTCATGGTTTCATACAGATTGTGTCTATTTGTTCAAAAACCAGCTGAAATTTAAAAATACGAAAGACAACCTTTTTTTTTGTGGAGTCTTGTTTAGACTAACAGTCAATTTGCTACCATTACTATCACAGCCTACAGTTGTAATAAAAGCATGAGGGATCACACATTGTGTACACCGCATGTCACAAGATGCTTGTATAAAGGGCTTGCACTAATGATGTTGTAATGTTTATTACTGTCACTGTCCTTAGGGTGGCATGAAAGCTGTAATATGGACAGACGTGTTTCAAGGCATAGTCATGTTAGTTGGGCTGACAACAATTATTACAGTAGGAACAATAAAGGTTGGAAGTCTGAGCAAAGTTTTTGATATCGCTTACAAGGGGCACAGACTTGAGTTTGAGTAAGTTTGTTGAAAAAAATCATGATTATTATCACTATTACAATACTATCAATTTCACTGATCTTGTAATAACAAAGCAAAGAGAAATAATGGTTTCAGTACAACTAAAAATCATTTCTCTTTACAGTTTTTCCATAGATCCTACACACAGAACCACATTGTGGGTTTTTCTGATAGGTGGTGTATTCCAAATGCTACCTATCTATGCAACCAACCAGACAGCTGTCCAAAGATTTCTGACCTCAAAGTCCTTTAAGTCTGCTCAGAGGTATATACCAGTAACATTCTGATAGTTATTTTCAATAGTAGAAGTAAAGAAATGATCTTGACAAGCAAACTACAATTCCCTTAAGTTACAACAAAAATAAATTACTGAAATCTTTCTTTTTCCTATAATGATGTTAGTTTAATTGCAGTGCACATTTAAGGTTCATTTTAGTATGTGTGCTATATTCTCAAGTCCAAATGAGATTTATTACAGCTTTGTCAGGAAAATCCTGTTTTATTTTTTTAACCATGAACACACTAAACTAATCTTGCAACCATAAAACTATAGTATTGTCCAAAATGACCTTGTCAGGTTATACAATATTCCAAACATAATTTTTTTTTTTTTACTTGTGAACAGTTATTTTCTTTTTAAGAATCATCTGATTGAACTTTATATTATGTATTAAGTAGATTGCCAACACATAACAGGTAAAGAATTATTTATAGAAGATAATTTGTTCATATCTTTCCATAGGGCTGTTTGGTTGAATCTTCCTCTGAACATATTCAGCACAACAATAACAGTCCTAACAGGATTGGTGATTTATGCATACTTTGCCTCCTGTGATCCTCGTAGTATTGGGGAAATATCCAAAGATGACGAGGTAAACTAGTGGCTCTTAATTATTGATCTGCAAAAAAAAAAAAAGTGATTGGCTTGCAAACAGAATATTCTGACTTTGGAGTGTGGACAGAATAAATGAATAAGCCCTTAATATTTAAGGGAATTCTCCTGTTCGGCACCTTAGGAAATTTATAGAGAACAGTATGGAGAATGTGCATACAGATGTTACAATGTAAAGGGTCTAACATATCTTTTGATCTTTTGCACTGTCTTCTCTAGATTTTGCCATATTTTGTGGTTGAAGTTCTGGGAAAGTTCCACGGTATTCCTGGAGTCTTTGTTGCCTCACTGTTCTGTGGGACTCTCAGGTATTATTCAGTACTTACCCTGCATTAGATGAAATGTTTACAGTTTTGTGTTCCTTTAATAATAAAAGACAGAGATAGGGTCATGTCCGATTTCAGTACATCCAAGAGGTATCTACTTCTATTCATACCCACACCAAGAAATTTTTATTGGAAAATGAAAAAGGGAAGGCATGAGAACATAATTTTTCAATAAAATTTAGTGTTATCTATTTCCAGCAAAGTTAGGAGATTGAGATATTTGTGCATATCTGGCCAAAAATTTGTTAAACAGCACAATCCAGCATAAATGTTTTTTTTTCAGCACTGTAGCATCTGGTCTTAATGCTCTGGCAGCAGTAACAGTGGAGGACTTTGCTCCCTTGGTTGTTCAGCATATTCCAACTGAGAGAGAAACTCTTGTGTCCAAATTGCTCGGTAACAATTTTCATTATACAGTTTTCCCTTTTTTTTTTCATAATGATTAAAATTTCCGCAAACTTTGGAGAAAATGCAAAACAAATAATTCAGTTTTATAAGATTGGATGAAAAAAATATAACAACAATTCAACATTGACAGATCAAGATGGCATAAGGTTGGATGAGGATGAAGAACATTTTTTTAGACTATTTTTAATCTAAGTTAAACCCTTTCATGCCCAAGTTGCAATAAGTAATTCTCTTTACTGTCTGCTATAGAATTGTTATGATTTTAGTTAAGAGAGTTTGGTATTGGATCAAGTGATAATGCCATGACTGATGTTTTTCTTCATTCTCATCACTTGTCTGTTTGATATCACATTGATATTGTGAGGAGATATTATGTCTTGGTCTCTTACGGAAGTTTAAGAGTTGTGGATAAATCCACAAAAATTAAGCCATAATGCACAAATCTTGTTTCTGTGCAATCAGAGGGCAATACTGAATCTGAATTATTACTTTTCTGTTTCTTTTAATTTATAGTATTCGTATATGGCCTCATTTCACTTGGGCTGGCATTTCTGGTTTCAAAATTGGGAATGATATTGCAGGTCAGTGTTGTTTACACACATGTGTAACAAATGTTCATCAAAAAAAATGTTCATTTGATGGTTCACACTATAAATAGATTATTTCAATTTCCACTCTCACAAATCTGGTGCTTTGTCTTCTCCAAGTAAGGTAGCATTATTTTCTCAAGATGCTAAGTTATGTCAAGTTGTGATTGCTTGAAAATATGTAGGTGACACACCTTAGTCCAAATCTGACAGATAAAAAGAACATAGAAGTGGCATTCAAACCTATGACAATGTTGCATGTTTAACTTATTTCTTATCAGTGACCATAATTGTCCTCCTAATGTGCTTACCAAAATCAACATCAAGTTATTGATTTTTACAGATGAGCGCAACAATGTTTGGAACCACAGGTGGGCCAATGTTGGCCTTATTTTCTCTTGGTATATTGACGACCCATGCCAATGCTAAGGTAATGCTCCATGCTCCATGCTCCATGCTCCCTGCTCTGTTCATGTAAGGTGTTTACAGCAACATATCCCATTTAAGCAAGTCTTGTGGCACATATTTTTCTGACCTCACTCCCCCAAAGACTTTAAAAATTAATCCATTAATTTATTATTTACTCTGCATTACAAGATTTTGCAAAACTCCCAATCTAAAATGGTACCAACCAGTTGAGAAGTTCTTTGCTTTGATTAAATACAAAGATTTCTGACCTCACAATTCCACTAAGTTTATCTTTTGTACATTTACTTGAAATGAACCCTTTCCACCCCAACATCAGTCTGTATATTCTCCATGTTATTCTCTAAACAGTTGCTTTGGTACTGACAAGGAGAATTTTTTTAACGATCAAAAGCTTCTTCAGTTGGTGATCATTTTCCTTAGTCTTGGAACCTTAATGTTTGACTCAGTAGTGATGTTTTAGGGAGAAATTAGATGCCAGTCACCCCTTGGGGATAAAGGGTAAAGATTTGATGTTGTTGTTGTTACATTTAGGGTGTATGGATCGGAGTCGTGGCTGGATTTTGGACAGTCACCTGGATCAGCATAGGAGCTCTGGTTCACCCACCTGAGTACCCTACTCAGCCTATGTCTATATCTGGCTGTCCAAGCAATTTCACTAATGTTAATATGTCATATGTAGAACCAGCCCAAAGGTAACTTATAAACAAGAGCGAACTTCTATGTTATGTTACCATTTAGAACAAATTGTCAGTATGGTGTTCATTGTAATGATCTTGGAAAAATAACTTGTGGAAGATATGGAGCATGCATGATTTCTATAATAACATAGTTACTGTAATGGAACCTTGAGCAAGAGAGCAAGCATATTTTTTTTCTGTGAGCCAAATTCCTCCTTTATTTTCCACATCACATAATAATTAACAACTGTGTGACAAAGTGGAGGTGACTAGTGGTGTATATTTCTGAGCTACGAAACTGTGAGGTAAATATCCACTGCTAGCCACAGACACTGAAGCGAAGAGTTGTTTTAGTTTATATGAAAACAGTGAGATAACATAGCATAAAAAGATGATTTTAGCTCATTTATTCCTGCAATGGTTAAATATTTTCATGCAAAAATCACACATGCATTGCTCGTAGGTGAATAGAAAAAGACAATCATAGTTTGAATAGCCCATCAGAGCTTGTCTTCTGTGCCATCCACTGTTTTAGTACACACTTACTGTGACTGACTTTTTCTTTTCAGGATACAACCTAGTTCTGTGTACGAGATTTCATTCTTTTGGTATGGTGTCATAGGATTTGTTATCACATACGTCATTGGATACCTTGCCAGTTACATATTTAGTGAGTGACTGTGGGAGATTGTGCCTGCTAAAACTGAAAAGTCTGCAAAATTATATAATGATCTTTTTTTAAAATAGAGGCTCCTAGCTTCCATTAAATCTATTGGCTCTCACTTTTATTTTCCAATTCAATTATTATTATTATTTTAATTTTTTTTTTTGGAGTTACGTGTCAAAATGGCTGTAGATAGACCTGTCTGGTGAGGAGTTTCTTTACTGTAACTTTGACTGCTTAACCCTTTACATGTATCTTCTCCCCATAATATCCATACTTAATCCTGCAAACAGATCATGAGAATACTCCAACGTATCAGGTAGAAGTTGTTATCTTAATCAACAACAAAGTTTTCTTTACTGATTTACAACAAAATGTGTAGCATCTAGAGGGGAGAATGAAGAATCTGATCTTGAGAGTTTAAGGGCTTCATTTTGATTAAGATTTTCTGAGGTTTGTACGTACCTGTATCTCATCATCCTGTCCTCCTCCCTTCCTTTCATGTAAGTTTGTTTTTATTTTTCTGTTTTTTATCTCTATCTTTCTTCAAACTTTCTTTAATTTTTGGTGCACTCATCCCTTACCAAGCTATGTTACTTTTCAATTGTAGAAAAACATGACGCTGAAAGAATAGACCCAGCCTTGTTGTTTGATTATTCCAAGCTCTCAAACTGCTTTGGAAGATGCACTAAAACATCTGGAAACATGGCTCTTAATGGTGCTCATTCCATAGAGGTAATTAATATAACAATAATTTATTTTTTGTTTGCCCTCAGGAGGTTTTATTTTTTGGTTACTGCACGTACAGTTTCTGTAGTAAATGACTGTACATATATGAAAATCACATGTTTGAACTGCTGACAAAGAAACAAATATAATTTGAGGGATCTTCATTGTAATGAACACTACTTAAGCAGCAGTCTTTGTCAGTACTGTAAATACATTTTTACAACTTTTTCAAAAGGGAATGCTAAATTAAAATTGTAGTAATTTATTTACCTTTCTTCATAATTTGAATCTTAAAACTGCCTTGCTGTATGGACTTGTTCTCCTTTCATATATCTGCTTATAACCAAATAGAGGCTCAAATTTCAGGATAGGAAGTCATATTTCATTGAAAGGTCCCACACACAAGGCAACATTCTGTATGGACAAGCTGCAACAACAGCTTTCTTCATGTTGCAGTAGTTTTTTGTTTTGGCAACATTTTCCCCCTAAATACTTTCCACAAATTGCTTATTGTTTGAATTGCATTGTGCAATGGTAGCAGCAATGCAATAAGTGACACTAGAATTTTTGTGACAGCAGTACATGCAAAGCCCCTTTTCACAAAGCTGTCACAGCAGGCAGATTCTCGTGGAAGGTGGCTGACAACTGATTCTTTAAGGAGCTATTATTTCAACCGTTGAGTGGTTATTTCTGTTTTACTTTCACAGGACAAAAAAGAACATGACACACAGACATCTGACTGACTGTTACTAACATTATCTACTGACCAGCCTGAGACATTTCTGTGTTACAGTTCAACAAATAAAATGAATAAGCCTAATTTTTTTCTGATTTAAAACTATTACTGAACACTTAAATATCTCATCAAAATATGTGCCAGAAACCAATCAAAACTATACCATTAGTTAAATAGTGCTTGCTCCTCATAGGCTTTAAAATGATATGTTTATCTCTGGAGTTCCAGTATGTAGTGTGAGTTCTGTAGCTGCACAGCTTTCTTGTAAGCATATTTTACCCTAATTGTGGGATATGACCACAGTACAACACTGTAGCAGCTCTACTTGGCAACAACCACTTGCCCCATAAGTCTGTTGTTCTAGCAAAAAGACATTGTTTGTATGTGTGAAAATTCGGATTTACCTCCCTGGTATGCCAGTTATCTCCTTAATTACATGTATTTACAAGTTTCTTTATTTTTTTTATTAATATTCCTGAATTAACACCTAGTTGTTCATGTTAAAATGATCAGGAGGAAGTCAATTGGAATTACAATTAAAAATAGCTTTAGGGTCAAAATTATGTTATTGTAAATGTCTTCATCGTACAACTTTATAAAATAATTCAAATAGTACGCTCTGATTCAGTTGGCCATAAAACCATTTTACATGAGCGTATGTAAACACGGTTTTCATTCCTCTTTCATTAGTTATTTTATAAAAGAAATGTAAAATGGTTTCCGTGTTTACATAGCCTGATATAAACACTCAGGAGGTTGGGAGAACACAAGATAAGCTGGAAACCACTCTGCTTTGCGTCATGGTTTCCTACGCTTATCTTGTGTTCTCCCAACCTCCTGCGTGTTTACATCAGGCTATGTAAACACAGAAACCATTTTACGTTTCTTCAGTATAGTAGAGCATCTCTAACTCTTCCAAATGTAGAAAAACTAAAACTACATGGCATTCAACATTGTGTCTTGATCACCTTATTTTTTATGTGTCAATTTAACAATTACATTATCAATTTTCCTATACTTTAACAGCATCTCATTGCTCTTCAAGACCTGCAAAATCAGGTCAGTGCAAAGCCTAGGTAAATTAATTTTACAAACCTACTACTAACCTTGGCATATGATAACTTTTTATGAATGTGTAAGATAAAATATCTCCAGCTAATAATGAACTCTTTACACCCTAACATCAGTAAGCAAATTCTCCATACCACTCTCTTTACTTTTCCTACTGTGCTTAAAATGAGAATTTGTCTAACAATCAAGAGCTTTTTGAGTTTATGATCATTTTCTTTATTCTCATGACCTTAATGTATGATTCAGGGATGATACTGTTGGGAGAAATGAAATGCTTATCTTTGGGAATGAAAAGGTTAATTTTAATTAGAGACAAGTGAACAGTACTTTGACTAACTGTGTCCAGAGCTACACACAGATTGCACTATGTTATGTTTACAGTCCAAAACTGTCCACATTTTATTTCAATTTTTATGCAATTTTATATTGCAGGATGATGAGAATACTCCTTTTATTAGCTGAAGTGGCACACAAGAGCACACCTTTCAACACTCTTGAACATGGGGCATATGAAAGAATTGAAAACAAGAGCTGTCTCAGAGTCACATTGCATCACTTTACTTCAAGCAATTTATAAAATTACTCATGAAGATTACTTACATAGTATTATAATTATATTACTTCATCGTATTCACCATTAATAATAATTATACTGTGATAATAGCTGTTTAGAGTAAATTAACTACTTTTCCAATTCTTGTAATTTATTTTGAAAGGAATGGTTTCTAACTTTACTAGTAATTTGTAAAATTATGTATTAAGTGTATTTACTTAGTACTCCATTGTTCCTTATCGTATTTACTATTAATAGTAATCATAATTTGATAGCTATTCTTCCAATTCTTGTGATGTATTTCAAAGGGAAAGGTTTCTAACGTGATTACAAAGTTAACAAAATTATGAATGATTGATGGAAGAGATTCCTTTATTCAAGCATGCATTGGTACTTACCTCTGTTCCTATGTACATAAGAAAATATTATTATTGACATGAAAGCATACATGCATTCATTTGCTTGTATTTATAGAAAAATTGATATAGTTTTTTACATTCAAAGCTTTATCTATATATGTTCTTGTACCTTGGGTGCTTAATGTATTTTAGGACTCCTTTTTGCTTCAATTCTTGCTTTGTAAATGGTGCTAGTGTTTGTTGTTAATTCCATTGCCTGAATAATGGTTATTACTGTAAAGTTGGCTCAAGAAGCTAGAGTTACTCCTATGCTTCCCTCAAGCTCCCCAAACTTTCCACGTGCATCTATACCTCGATATACACATATTTTATTGTCAGTTTTCTTATTTAACACTTAGCTTAGTTAGGCTTTTGGTTTTTTTGTCTTTTTTTTTTTTTTTTGTCACTTGGGTTAACCTTTTTTGGTGGACATTTTGAGGGACACTGTTATGGCCACCCACACTTTCCATTGTGCGTAATGCAAGACAACCCTTGAGATTGGGGAGGGGGCTAAATCTAGATAAGGAATGATTTTCTAATGTTGCCATGAAATCCCAGGTATCAGAAGTCTTGTATTTCAAATACGTTTAACAGTACAAGCAACTGTAATATGATTATTTTTACACACATTGCCACATTCAATGAACCATTGAACAACAACATTCTCTATATTTGTCCCATACAAAGTACTTAGCAAGGAAGATAGTGCAAGGGTGGGAGGGGAAATTTAAATTATTCAAGCAAAGACATAATTGAACTGATATATTTGTCACTGACATTAAAAACATTGTTGACATTTGTAAATGTAGTTTTATTTCATTTTCACAATGACAGACAATTCCTCCACAAATGATCAGCTTCTCCTACACAACTGCATTTCTCATTAAATCCTTCGGCTTCCCAAAGTGATTCTCTTAACTTCTCATTGTGCTCCCACGACATTATCTTGCAAACCAGTTATGAGAACAGACAAGCTTATCAGCTAGAGCATGTTATCTTGATATAAAATGGAATTAGTTCCATTTGCAAGGAAATGTATTGCAGTCAATCAGGAAAATAAGTTCTTGGATCTCAAGAGTTTGAGGGTCAAATATTGTTTTTATTGAAATAAACTAGCTAGTGTATGAAAAGCTTTTCCACTACTCCCTATGTTTGAGTGACTTTGCAGCAACTTGTTCACAGCAAAGTAAACTTCACAGGTTACTACATAGAATGTACTAAGTTATACTTGTATAAAGAAAAGGGCATTTATAAAGTGGAAAGGGAATTCAGTGAAGACCCAGTTTGTATTCCATTGTGAGATGAGGATCTGACATGACCTCAGAATCACCTTGAACTGGAAATAAACAAACACAAAACACAGTCAAACATTTACCCTTAGTTAAATTGTTTGCATGAGGAAATGTGAGTTCTAAGGTGAAGCCAAGCCCACACACCAAACCTTTCATGGGTAAAATGTTCTTCAACTCCCTGTCAACGTGAAAAAAAACACCCTATCCAAAATTCCAATTTTTTTTAAACCTGCTCAATCTCAAAGACAAGTATGTGAGTTAACTTGCTTTGTCAGTAATTTCTTATCACCTGTCTCTGCCCCCACTTAATTAAATATTGTTTCCACAAGAATTTACAACATAGTACCATTCAGCAGCTAACTGTGAGGCAAAACTTATTTAAAGGTTCAACATACACTGTGGGGGTTCAACATTCCTTAACAAGAGGTGAAAGAAAACTTTGTCTCTCACCATTTAAGAAGTCATCAAATCCAATACTTTCATCTGTACCCAAAAGGGAGTCTAAAGCAACCATTGAGCTGGGCAGGCAAGGCAATCGCCGGATCTGTGTTGACAAGAGTAAGAGTTATATAACAGTGAACATGATTATTCAATCACTACCTTATCACTGCAAAATCTATTGTGTTTGTCACTAGATTCACATGAAAAGTTATAACAGAGGTAATATCCTTTGTGAATCAAAAATTAGACAAGCAAATAATCAAAATGTTTCTTTGATACCTTTGATGCAACAGCTCTTTCCATCTGTAGTTTAAGTGGGGCCTGCAGACCTTGTGTATTTCTCAGCATCTTAAAGTCAAGCAATTCTTGATTTTGAAGAAACTAGTCAAAATAAAAACACGACACTTATTTTACCACATTATGCAGTTTTCAAAATACATCAAAAGAACAAAAAGCTTCAAGTATGTCTAAGTTCATGGAAATGTGGAGGATTAGCCATGCTAGTACTAAAACAACTTACAGTGTACAATGTACATTACTTATACAGTGCTATTTTCAGCCTTAATGAAATACTTGAAATACTTGGTTGATAATAACATACATGAAAAAATTACTCAGTTCTGATTGGTTAAGATAAATGCAGTTTTCAGGTAATTCAATGCAGAAGGGGGTTAATTTAGTGCAAAGAAGTAACAAACCAGACCGACAATTCCTTGAACTGTTTAGCCGGACTTTGAACTTTTTTGCGCCTTAAGGATGTGGAAATATCACTGTATATTATTGTTTTGATCATATTCGGTTGTTTTGACCAAACACACAATGTCACTTGCAGTGTTTGAATAGATTATTTTTGCACTTGATGCACGCACTTCACTTCTGCATAATTATGATGAGCTATCTAAAATTTTTTCATGTATATTATTAATACATAATCACATGATTTTTCTCACGCAATTTAGAATAAAAAAGTACTTGTTACTGTTTTCAAAGACGACAAATTGCACTTGCCCTTCAGGCTGGTGCAATTTTGTTAGTCTGGGAAAAATTTACCCATGCTTATTTATTCCAAATTGCACTCAAAATCATGTGATTACCTATACTAATTGAAGTGAGGATGGAAGGCTTGAGCAATCTCAACATGTCTACACACTGTGCAGTGCCTCTCCAAAGTTTAGAAGATTAGAGTGTCTGCACCCAACTTGAAGGGTATACAAAGCAACGGAACTTGTCCCAATCTCCATAGCATGAAGAAACTGAGATTAAAACATAAGGCCGACTCAATTCCTATATAATGAAAGAGTAATTTACTGTAAATGGCTGACTGGAAATGTTGCAAAAAAACTTTTATTAGATGAGCTGTATAAACTTACTATTTAATCTATTCTAAGTGCACCGAGGTTTAAACTCTACAAACATCTCTAATCATTATGATCATTCAATGGTTTTCTACGAAATCTTCAACTGACTTACATTTTTCTCCGAACCCTCCAAAGGATGGCTTGTGATCAATCCACTCTTAACATTCGAGAACCTTGAAAATACAAAGTATGCAATTAATACATCAGAAATGAAAATTTAAAAAAAAAAGATTCTCAAGGAAAGAACTTCTAGAAAATTGACTTAAGGGCTAAATAATGCCCCAATGGTAGGTTTTTGATGAAAATGCCTCTTAAAATTTTGATTCACAGCACACCATCTGAACAGGTCTCTTCAAAGCAAGTTGTGATTCTCCACAACCACAAAACAGACCAAGGTGTCTGTTTAATACAGGAACTAATTACAGTAATTAACATAACAGTATAACAGTAACATAACAGTAATTAATTATAATTAACATTGGACAACAAAATCAATATATAACATGCACTTGCACAGGTTTCACTGAGTTGTTACAAGGTGGTCTGATCTCTTAGAGGTCAATGATTCTTTTCCAGACCCTCTAATGGCTAAACTTTACTATTATAGATTCACCTTTTTTCTTCATTTCAACTTGTTAATGCTGCCTTGAAGATTGTAAAATAAAGATAAGCAGAGAGCTACAAGTACTCATACCCTGTTCTCATTTGATCTGGTACACCATAGCTATTGACCGAGGAACTCACTTCGGTGATGGGTTGGACTTTGCCAGGCAGAGCAGACTAAACAATGGAGAGAGTATGATAAAATAACAGTGAATCCTTCAACTGAAAACAGAGCAGTCATTCTTGGGAGTCAAGCAGGCAGAAAAGCTATTGCCATGAAAACCCATTTTAAGCTGTATGCATCGCATGCAATTTTACCAAAAGTCCACAGACCATGTGTGCTTGATATGTCCTTGAACGCAACAATAAGAGCATCATTCGCTTTTTCATTCGCTCTGACGAAGGGCTTACGCTCGAAACTTCAGGTTTGAAACTCTTTACGGTGGCCAATTTACGTTATCAACTCAGTTGATAATACTAAATTACCCTGTTATACTCTCCCAACGACGCAGCACCACAGTTTCTTTAGAAAGTTACCCCTTGTATCATTGTTATAGACTCCCTTGTCAGGATTTACTACTGAGGATTAGCTTATCTATTTAAAACACAACATTTACAACTTTCACCGAAGCACATGACACAGCGAAAAAATTTTCTTGACACATACTGAAAATAGGGATTAGATCAAGGGAGTTCACGGAAACTTAACTTCATGACACTTATTAAAAAACATATGAAACTTTTTGCAACAGTCTAAAACTAGTGCAAACGTTCCAAGAAAATAAAAATTAGAATAAAAGTTCTAAAAGTTGAATAGGAAAGCTACTCACCAAATCGGCCATTTTGGATTTTGGTTACATTAGCGCATGCCCCACGTAAAAAAAGCCGCTATAAAAACATAGCGGGCGGGCGAGAGATAGAGAAGTGTCCTGAGACCAAGACAGCTGAGAGGTCCTGGGAGCTATCTAAGAACTGAGGAGGGGAATTACGGGGCGCGGGGTACCGTATAAATCCTGAGGTGCCGTCAACACAACCATTTTCGCGTTCCTCTCAACGGGTTAATTAACATCCAACAAAGTCGTCATGCGTAAAAGTTGAGGTTTTCCTGCAACTTGGAAATGTTCACTTAGATTTTATTTTGCTCTAGTGTTGTTTTTGTCGTTGTTTCACGGTTTTGTTCTCTATATAAACTTCGTGTTTCACAGCTCTTTCTCTACAATATCCGTGCTCCATTTTGCCTTCACGGCCCTTACTAACCACGACAAACTATTATCTGACTGAGGTTTCCGACTGAGGAACAGCAATTTCTTATGGACCGGCGACCTACCTCTTCATAGGAGGAGGAGGGTGGGACTAGAGGGGTTATCAGCCGTCGTTAACAGAGGTTAAAGGGGGGACTGAAAAATTTGACTGCCATTGAGGGGGAATCATCAAAATACTACAGAATCTTAGGGGGGCATCACGTGACACAACCAAAATCCTCCGACCCCGGCGGGACTTTCAAGAGACGTACCTAAGGGACTTTCAAGAGACGTACTAAGGGGGCTGAAATCGGGGTTCCAAATCCGGCGGGATTCAGTAAACTAACCAATGGCCGGCATGTCTTCTACGTCTCGAGGTTCTGAGACCACGTAGCTAGAGGATTTTTTTTTCAGTGTTAAAAATTTTGGTATGCTCCAAACGTTCTCTCAAGTTATTGCCATTCCGACGAAAACAAATCACTAAAATTCATGAACACGTGTTGTGGTCATTAAAAAAAAGTATGTTTTTAAACTTAAGAATTACAGCCGCGAGGTAAAAAAGAAGGTGGCTGTGTTAATTCTATTGCATTGTGAATCACCGGATTCGCATGGCTAGACTGGACTGCCATCAAATGTGTGTAAACGGCAAAACAAATCCGGAAAATGATACCAGACCTGTCGCTGTGTATGGTATTTGGATCCGTAGAAGTTTTCACTCACGAGGCATTCCGATTCTCAACTGCTTTTACACGTTAGTGAATGCGGTGAAATTACTCGCCGAAACTGTCCTTACTCGGTTCTTCTTTAGCTCGATTGGCATCCTATAACGTAGAGTTTAAAACTGATTCAACTCTCGCAACAATTGTTTTGGTTCAACATGTGACGAAATAACTTGAAATTTTTCCAAGGCCCTAAGGCTGTTCCCATTCTTCGTAAAAGACACTTAAAGTAATATTGAGGGGTTTCCAAGCAACCAGAAAAATGGGAAAGGTTTTGTAAGATGATTTCTGTAACTAGAAGTAGATCATCTTATGAAGTAAAGAAAAAAAACAAGAAGTCTAGGTAACATTCGAATTCATAAAAAAATTATTTACACCACAATGTTTTGGATTGTAAGTTCGGTTACAAAGTTCTCACTTCAAGTTAAACTCCAGATTCAAAATCTCCAGAGTCGTAGCCAATTTTTTTACTGGTATCTTAACAGTAAAACGGACGCGGTACCTAAACGTTCCGGATTGAACACGACACCGGAATAACCTTCTTCAGTGTAAATCTATTCTGTACTTAACTATTCTCTCAGAAACGTCAAAAGGGTAAATATGTCTCCATGATGTGCACGTTGAACAGATTTGAAAATACTCCAATGGTGTAACTCATAACTAAATCGGATAAAAAATAACAAGAATTGTGTACATGTTATGTAGTTATGTTAAATACCCTAATCCCACGAGTGCATTTGGTAGCTTTCGGATTAAAGTTATTTTAGCCGACAGACAAAAATTGGGGGGCCCGCTCAACTTTAACTGAGTCATTAAAAGGTTGACGGTGAACAGACAGAACTTCAGCCAAACAATTTCATTGGAAAGTATGTGATCAAGCTCCCCAGTACTTAAGACAGCCGGTGTAGATCAGTTAGATAGTTTATTGTGATAAAAGAGTTAGTGGTCTTTTGTGTAACTTGTTCGCTGATTCTCGCTGGTAAGCAAGACAAAATACGCAGGTTTTTGTTTGTATGGAAAAATATGATCGGCCCAAGAGGGTTAAAAATAAATCAGTTGATAAACAAATCAATTAAAAATAGAGATCAAGGTCATCTATGAAGGTAACGTTCTGCACAACGTGTTTTGGAAAATCTGCACAGGTTGTTCTTGACGAACGGCAGATGTCAGGTGCAGGTAGAGCACTTCGTAAACAAACCGAGCACATCATGCCCCTATTCTGTTCTAGACTGGTGATTTACTCAACTGGAATACCTTGTTTTGTTTGCCAGCGAATCGAAGGCACCAGCAAATCAAGGCAGATGGCTTGTTGAAAGAATTTCAAAGACTTGGCACAGGGCTAAGAGCAAGTGTGTGCTAGCATTGTCTCAGCGGTCCCCGCTAATTACTTAACCGCGTGCAGTGCAAAAGGTCAGTGGCCAATGAGGCTCCTAATGAAACGAAATTATTTCTCACCTCGGCATAATTCTTGTTTGCAGTCACCCAATTTAACATTACCTGTGTTTTGGCGTCATTATTGCGCTGTTAATCACTGGAAAATATCGATGAACAGGCATTGATCGGCTTATTTGGGCCGAAATGTCGACCGTGATGCTTACTGTAGCTGTTCCTTTCAACAATATTTACTTTACGGCTCCTGGGCAAACAACTTGCTCAAAATTTCCACACATTTTCCAAGGTCAATATTTGGTATTTAAATTTGAACATCTTTTTCAGCATTTTAAAGCTTTGCAATTTTGAGATTCCAGTAAAAGCATCGTGCTGTTATCTTTTTAAATTTTAAAAGTCACCCTGAACTCGATTTAAACCCCGTGGTATCTCTCCACGCGGATTTTAAATGGCTTTCTTCTGAAGTTTTAAAAAAATAGCGCTCCAACTAGGACGATTTGAATCTATTTTTATTCTGTACACGAATGGCTAGTTTATGTCTGCGGCACGTGTAAAGCCATTTTTGAAGTACTCGTAATTCGTTAGTTTTGTCATCCTTTCTATCCGGTAATAATGCTGTGTAACCAACAAAAAGCACATCGCGTGTTACTAACCTTTTTGTGGCCAAAACAAAAAACACGTTTCTGATCTGTGCCGCCTTTCGGTACAAAACAACGAACAAAAGAATAGAAAATAATTTGTCGGTTGAATGAAACAGTAAATCAGGACTGTCCACGTCAATGTTTCTTTCCGTTTGCGCCTAGAAGAAAACAATATCAATGAACAAAGAAATTTGGTTACGTTTGTAATCTACCGCAAAACCCACACTAAGATATTTATTATTGTGCATTGAGCCGAAAATAAGACGACTTCTTTCCAGAAGCGTATTCTCTTCGTCTAGGCGACTCACCATACTTTGTTCATTCTGCAGCCAATCGAGTTGGATTTTCTATAGAAAACCTTTAAAACGATGTATTCACGACTGCATCATTAAATAAAAGCTTGTGTTCATTGTACAGGCGTTTTAATGGTCAGAAACATATTGAATACAATTCCTCCTTACAGGTACACATTGATGCTGCTAATTTGACTTCTCGACTTTTGATCTGCTGATTACTTCTCACACGTGGAATAAAGTCCCTCATGACAGGTTCCTTGAGGTGTTTTGGCTCCCCACTGCGAAGAACGAAGCTCTTATGAAGTTGTAAATCACGTATCCATCAATCTCGAACACAAAGACGCACGAAATGGTGCCGAATAGTTCACATACCTGATTAAATTCTATCGTTTTTTTATTTTCCAAGTTTGCTTTGAAAGGATTTCTTCAACACCTCGAACCCCGGAAGAAACAGTACTTAGTATCGATTCATCAACTTAACAGATAAGCATATTTGTTTGAGTTCACAATGATTTGCCATTTTCAATCGGAGAAGAAGCTTCGAAAATCCACCGCAGTTATTTCGAATCTTAAATCTCAGCTAAACTTCGGTTAACAAAGACATATTGAAGGAAGAAAAAAACGAAGACTCTTCTTCACTTCGCATGACGTAAACGAAGTCCCGTAGCTGTACAACTAGACAAGAAACCGATAGCAAAGTATGTTTGATCTAGAATTAAACCTTTTAAAAGTGGCGAAACAATGGCTGAACTATCAGTACGCTACTTGCTATAAAAAAAATTACTTGCCAAGTTTTCACCACCGCTTCCCTGAGTCCATCTCCTTCTCGCTTTCTACATAATTTTTATTTACTTACGTGCTTCCTTTATGTGTGATTGCTCAGTCCTTCCTTCCTTCCTTCCGATCCCTTCCTGTTTTCATATCTTGTTTGTTCGAGGTACATGAAATCAGCTATTGTGTCATGTTTTCAGTAGCTTTTGCGTTAGAGCAATGTTTATTTTTCTATTCGATATCAAAGAACAGTTTCGCTTTTTCCCTGTCACTGCGTAATATTTGATAAAAATTATTCTCTCTTCGTTACTAAACTTTGTCTTTCAAGGCTCTTCATTTAAAAATAACCGTTGTTTCTTCGACAAAACAAGCGGCTCCTGTTCTGTTCAATGAATCTTATTGCAGTGACTAATATTTCGAAAATGTATTTGTCACTATCACTCCTTTGCTCAAGTGTTTAAGGGAATTTACCTTCTCCCCCTTGCGAGTACTTCGAATTGATATTGCCTAAATACAGAGGTCAACGGAAAATCTTTTTAAAAAAAGTCAAAACTCATATCAGACAGCTTCTCATGGCTAACATTGCGCGCATACTAAATGCTTTACTGAAATTTATAAAATTGAATATTATTTTTTGGTAACTTAACGTGATTCCAGTTCGACTGGACATTGCTTTGCCTTAATGTTCTAGAAACTGAGATAATTTGCCCCACTGTGGTATTTATGATGAAAGTTGTGAAATTTTAACTGTCGGATAACAATTTGGTTCAAATCATGACAGTCGAAATCTCATTACAGAATTTGTAAGTTGTTTTCTAACGCTTAATAAGTAAGGTTATTCTTTTCGGGAGAAAATATGATGAGAATTAATCGTTCTTGTCTTCAATACCTTGATTATTTTATCTGACATTTGCTGCATTTATTCGTTGCGACATAAATTCAAAAACAAAAATTGTTCAGTGTTTTCAAGCTTAATTTCTTCAATGATCTCAAAAATGATATTCGGCAGTGTGTGCTTCAATTATAAATTTTGACTGTTATCCTTCGTGGGTTGGGAAAGCAAATTTCTTTCCTTGATCGATTAATTTCTCAGGCTAAGTTCTTACTTTGGTTATTTACCAGCTTTGTCTCTTTATCATCTTCAACTTCTCTTCATTAATTTTTCAGGCAGTTTTCGTTGAAATAAACTTGATCATAAAAGATACTTAAAATTCGTTTCTTCACAGATTTACAATCCATTCAAAAATTTGCACCAAGCTCTTATCACAGTAAAGTCGAGACAGGTTTTGGAGGGCTAGCTTGGAATTTCACAAGTTTTTTCAACCCACCTTCGAAAAGATATGATAAAGTTTTAATTCAGCAAGTATTTGTGAATTTAGTCTCATCGCCACTTAGTAAAATATTAATATCGCTTCCCTTTCTTGTTTTGGTGAGGCAAAATGGTGAAATTCTTGATAAAACTGCATTAAGTAGTTTATTGAATGACTAATTTAGGCACCTTTCATTGTTCACCGAGTACGCCAAAATCATTAAGCTAGTAGAGTTTGTACTCACAGAACGTAATGTACAAATTGTCATGAGCTCGAGCGACCAGCTTTCTTCACAAACAACCGACCTATTTTCACCTGCTAAACGCTAGATAGCCACTACTGAGAGCCAAATTTCCGTTGTTTACTTTCTTTGTTTTTTTCGCCGACAGGACAAACTTAAAAATGCCCGTCAAAATATGGAATGAAAAAGATAGATTTTGCCTTCCTCGTCAATTTATTTTCTGCACGTGAATAAACTTTTAGATGCTCAGGTTGTGATGATTTTCCGTGCGTTGGATCATTGTGATCAAGTTTTGCAAGGTGAAAACTTCATTTAAAATTCCGAGTTAGTCTAATTTTTGGTTTATTCTTTTGGGCTATTCACAAAAAAACAATTTAATCTAATGAGCAAGGTGTGCGCATCGCTCGAGTCACTAGTAATAAAAATCCACTATCTGTTCTGAGTTTAATTGAGTTGGCGTTTATAAACTTTGAACTAAATAACCGATCCTATCATTTATTAAAAGTACAATGATACCTGTCGTTTTGGCAGGCATAAGACTTTTCAAGGAAACAACACAAAACAAAACTATCACGTTTTCATAGCTACAGCCTTTTTTACAAGTCCTAGGATAGCACGCTTAAAAAAGAAAAAGATAAAACAGAAAGACGGGTTCGGGTAGATTAACCAAGTTCACAAGCTGTGTCGGTAATTACTCCACTTAATTGAGTCATTCTATAGCTTTTTCTCATATATGAATACTTTCAGCAGTAATTCCTTTCAAAAGGTGCAAAATAAAAACATCTGCCAAATCAGGATTCGATATTTTGTAACCATGCGAGTGAAACAAGATGAAATCCCAGTGAAGAGCTTAAGGTATAATGGTGACAGATGTACCAGGAGAGTGTTCCCAAAAGTTATTCGTAAAGTGCGTCGCTCGTTTTCAACCTCTTTTTCCTTCCAACGTGATTCTAGCCGATAACACAATAACAAACTTTAATTAACGGTTTGGCCTTGTGCGTTTACACGTTCGTTTCAATTAGGATTTGAATTAAGCCGCAGGTAGTTTAGACGACAGTGCAAAGTTTTCTTCTACTGACGTGAAAATACTCTCCATATAAACAATCTGCTAATCACGACGCTTAACTGGCTCGCTTTTGACCACAAATTGTCCCAAAACCACAATCTACGAAGATTAAAATGTTCTTGATCATTCTTTTAGAGATCTATTGTCAATTCAGAAGTCTCCTAGTGAGTTGAGCTTTTCCAAATATTTTGTTATCACCCCACAGGATATAAATAAGTCCCACTGTTTTCAACGCATTAAAAATTATATCTTTTTTTAAGTTAATTTACCCATGCTTTAACTACTGCACGCCTAAACTCTGTTGTGTCTAATTATAATGTTCTAGTAAAAGAAAATACTTTCTCATTTTTTTGACAGAGATCTAAGACTAGATTTGTTTTGATTCGCGAGCAAAAGATTATACATACACGGAGATCGAACGGCACGCGCGCGGACACTTAAAAACCTAATTACCCTTATCTGTTTAGAGTAGTCTTCATGGAAACCGCTAAAAATGCAGGACATTTCCGCGATGATGGAGGGAAAATTATCCTTGAAATCGCTGAAACAAAACCCAAAAAAAAGAGTTGCTGAATCTTTCGGCCGTTACGCAAGTATGGATTGAAATAAAAACTCTATACGCGGTTCTGTTATCATAGTTTAAGGAAGGACAAATCAAGAGAATATTTTGGTGATCGATCGCTTCCCCGGGAAGGAAAGTACTGTTCACATTTTGTAGGCTATGTCCGGCTTACTTTGAAAAAAGTAACGTTCTTTATTTGTTCCAGTAACAGGTTATTACCTTTTCCTGTATTTACTTTGAATGCTATCGACAATTTCTGTGTTACTTGCAGCCGGAGTCATCATCCAAATAATGTTTACACAAACTAAGCTAATTTCCTGTAAAACTTCTGTTTAAAGAGGGATGCAAGGTTAAACCTTATTCCTCCGTAGTTAGCGCGAAAAGGAACCTTCCGGAGAGATTAAAGGTAATTAAATGGGTAAACACAAAATTTAATGATGTGAATACGAAGCAAAATTAATTTCGCTGAAATTCACCATACCACAATTGTACTTTTCAGAGCCGTTGTACAACTGTAAAATGAGCTGAAAATGCGAACGCGTAAATCAAAATAGAATAGCTAATTATAGTCTGTAATGCAAAATGTATCCTATTGAATAATTACTCTGTGTTAATAACCTGTGCCAGTTTATTTGATTCCTTAATATTTAAACAGCGTGCAGTCTTTGAGCGCAATTTATTAGCCAGGCTTTAAGGTACTTGTTGACGAGAAGCGCGCGGTCGTTTTTCAAATTGGTTCTTAGCTATTAATATCAGTAAAATCTACGTAAAGCAAACTTGTGGGGGGTATTCTTTTGCCTGATGTACAGGTAGTCTGATTCAGAGCTTTCGAAAACGCATCAGAAAGTTCTAGGCCAAAACATTCCAAAAAAATATTTGGCTAATTTAGCGCGCGCAATTTTATTTACAAAAGGTATTTACTTCGATTAGCGCTGAAGCCTGCCCATAAGGTTTTCATAGCTCATTTTTTAATATTCATTTTGCGCAGGCAAGGTGCAGGTTCGACTTTTTAATTTTGCAACAAGTATTATTGCCAGGTCTATTAAACAGCATTTGTTTTCTGAGAGTTAGAATTTTTGCAATTTAAATCTTCATTTACAACTGCAGGAAAGGAGCGCCCCGAAAGCTTTTTGCATCAAAGTGAAAAGATGTGTTTCTTAAGAGGCGACTGAAAAAAATTAAGACACTCTGAAAGCACCGAGATAAGTTCCCCCTCAAGCAGAAATAAAATTAAACTTCGCTAAACAATTATTTTGCCTGGGGACTTTATTTGAAAAAATTCAATTTATTTTGTGACTGTTAAGCAAATAAGTGCACAAAATAATGATACTGCAGGGATTTTGAAAACAATCTTGATTAGGATCGTAAAGCTCACGGCGCTTGGCACGCGTAACATTTCCAGAAGCTTTAAGAGTTGAGAGTCAAAATTGATAATTTTGTAACAGAAAAAGTGGGGAATATCCTCTGAAAATAAATGAATTTGAGGTTGTTTGTCTTCTTATATGGGGTTTAATTCACGAACCGGATCTTCGCGTTTGGAAGAAAGAGCTGTTTGTTATTATACAGGATGTGTGATTGTCAGTCGGCGCAAACTAAACTTTCTCACAATGGTGCTTGCAAGAACATAGATGAAAAGTTAATTACATTGACACCAAAAAGGCCGAGTGAATAGTTAACAATTGGAAATAGAAATGTCATCAACTGCTCGCAGGTGAAACAGGGCAAAGACGGGTTTTAAAAAGAACATCATGGGGCCACTATCGTGATTAATTCTACTGGTGGATGTTAGGTGCAGCAGATTACGAAGCTTGTGTTTAGGGCGCTTGTCGATCAAATGATTGCGTTCGATGAAGCAAATCTCCTGGTTGAGAAGGAGAACTGAAACAAGCACTGGAGTTATACCCCGCCCCCAACTAGGTAATCATTGGCTGATTTTGAATGGCTGTATCAGTAATTAAGCGTGCTTTAAACTGTTTTTCTAAAGCTTTCAAATTCGTTCATTATTTATGATATTCCATTATGATTCGCACAATGGTGAACATAATTTGGCAACATTGGCCACGTGCGCATAACACTATATATGCCTCATTATAGCTGACACCGACACAACTAGCGAGTTCCTTGTCGCGCACGGGTCAACATCATGAGTTCCTCCTTTTACATCGAGTCGCTAATCCAAAGCAGTAAACCGAAAAGTTCCAGCGCTTCTATCTCAGAAGCAAGACACAGCTTCGAACCAACTGTTCCCTGTTCTTGCTGTTGGACTCCTTCGCAATCGGAAGCCTCAGGATTATGTCAGCTCTGTATTCCAACAAGTCCTGCGGTTCATCCGTTTTTACACGTCCGCGGAGCAACCATACCTGATGCAGCGAGCCTGTACTCAAAAGCCGAGTTTCTGAAAGCGGAACATGCTCATTTACAGCCTCGCTATGCAAGCAGCGAAGAAGATCGCCTTCGCTTAGTGTCATACGGTAATTATCTGTAATTTTTTTTTATCCTCAACTCGATACCTTTTTTTACTCGGAGAAGCCACATTATCTAATCTGGCGACAGGTGTTTTGGTTAAACCTTGGCACACTTCAAGCCTTTGAATCTTGAATTTTCACTTTTTTATCAGTACACATGCTCGATTGTGCCTTGCGATAAAGCTCGTTTGACTTATTTTTTTATTTTTCCTATTTTGCTTGACAGTTTCCCGAGCCGCTGAGCCGAATAATGTGAACAGGGGAAATTCAAGATCAAAACGCATTCGTACAGCATACACAAGCATGCAGTTACTGGAGCTCGAAAAAGAATTCAGCCAGAACAGATACCTCTCCCGCCTTCGCAGGATTCAAATCGCTGCACTTTTAGATTTATCCGAGAAACAAGTTAAGATCTGGTTCCAGAATCGCCGAGTCAAATGGAAAAAGGACAAAAAAGCTGCCCAACACCAAGTGACAGAAAGCACTCAAAGCCCGCTTTCCCCTTCAAGTTAGAGTGGTCCCGTTGATCATTTCTGCGTCCGCTAAAAGACAGCAAATTACGTACATGTAAATATGTAGAGAATTGTAGAAGGTAACATCTTTTTTTGTACAATAGTTTAACAGAACAAAAAGGTGTCTAAAATGGCTGCGTTAATCGGATAATTCATTATAAGGCTAATTAATTTCTTGGTGAAATGCATCGACTCTGTCACATCCACGCGATAAGACACGATAATCATCACCTCGAACTGCATTCGACATCAGAAGGATTTATCAGAGTCGTAAATATATGAAAGAACGATCGATCACGCATGTCTTCTTTTGTATCTGTATTGCTAGTATCAGGCAAGTACAGTTTGTATTTCAGGAACCAAGGATGTACAAAGTACTTCAAGAACATATGTTCAGTCTAATTGTTGTAAAAAAAATTAACGAGGGTCTTTAGTAATGAAAGGCCATTGGTTCTTCCAAATAAAAAGAAATCTGAATTGATGAAAAGCGAGTGACTCGGCCTCCTTAAATTTATAGTATTTAACTGGGATTACAGACTTTTGCTGGTAGTGTAAAATTTTTTTATATTTGGGTTCAATTCAGAGCTTAAAATCGAAATGTATCGCAGCACTCAGATCATTTTGTTATCGTTTGTTTGGTATTCAAGCGCGCGGATAGGGCCTAAGAAATGAAAATATGGTAATTTAGCGAGTTCAGAACATTTCTCTGAATTCTGTTTTCACATTTCCCGGCGCGATCAAATTAGCAGCACTTGTTGTGTCCCTTTGTTTGATCATGAGCAGAAAATGGCAATCTTGTAGTTTCAGCCTGGCGAGGAGCCTCTATTTAATTGAAATTAATTACTTTTCTTTCGGATAAAATTTTAGGTCATCAGGAACACCCTTTCCCAAGGCTACGACAAAATCATCCGAAGAATCTTCCTCCATTTTTTTTTTTTAAAAATTCGAAAGTTTTCTCCAAAATGGAACATAATTATTTCATAGAGTCAAACTGTTAACTTTTCCACCTGTAGATTTTAAACCGCAATTGTGCAGTATCCATTTCGAATGAAGGGTATTGATTTACGTTTTCCTCTCCGTTTTAGAGAATGTATAAAAAAGTATACCCAAACGAACAACCAGAAACATCCAGAGTAAAAACTGAATTAGCGAACTGATTTCTGGTTTCTCTTTCCGAGCTGCAACTTTTCTGACATTATGATTCGAGCTGACACTTCGCTCGGGGTGATTCATCAATTTCGAATATTCGACAATTGGCAATGCTTAAATGGAGATTTATAAGCGGGGGATTCGTTTGCACGCATTTAAATGTCAATTTAACATGCCACAAACTTTGTTTACGAGCGGGTACTTTGTGGAATGACGCGCGAGCTGCGGTTAGACGCCAAGTATTCAGTTTGTTAATCTTACTTTCGTTAGCCTCTACACACTTTGACACCTACAATTAGCTCAAACATTGACTCGTTTTCGTTTGGCATAATAAAGAATACACACGAGTTTTACGAATTAAAATCGCCCTGTTAGAGGATGGGAAAACTGTCAAACGCGAAACAGAAGTTTTAATTCTTTTCTAGTATGGTCAAATGACACCCAACCGAGTAAATAACTTTGTTAATTGTAGGCGGGCGAACGGGTTTTATTCGGACCCTTTATCGTGAAAACTTCCTGGGTTCTTCCTTACGTGGCAACAAAACAAGTTATAAATAAACCTAATTGGGGTTTCTTTCAGTTTACTTAAAATTGCTCAGTTCTCCTCGTATTTGTGACAGAGTTTTTGAATAAAAAACAAAATCACGCTAGATGATTTTATCGCAGAAGGGAACTTGCAGTTGCAAATGACTTCCAAAATGTTCCATCAAGATAGAAATAGAAAGAAAATCGTGCCTTTTAGTAATCAATGCTTAAAACAATCCACGTCAAATTAGTTAATCCTCGGTGGAATACGGATTTGACAAGCTAGCTTTTCGAAGGCATTGAAGGAAAAAATCATAAAATTTAAATCATAAGAGTTTAGAGCAAAGAAACTTTGGGACGTCAAGAGTTGAGTTTATTTTAAGGAAACAAATTAGCATAGCATGAAAGGGTGTAATTTCAGTAGTTATCTTGTAGGACTATAATTTGTCAAGCGTAAAGGCACTTCTGCCTTACGATGGCGGTAATATAGATGCGATACTTTAAAAGGACAAACAAAAACACACAGGAAAAAAAAGACGAACTTTCCCGCAAAAAGGTCATTCACTATAAAAAAGAGAGTATTTCATCGTTTTTCCCCTTTGGCAGTTAAGTTGAAAATGTTTTCCGAGAAAGAGTTTTAGAATAAAAATCTGAATAATCCCCTCGATCCTTTCACTTATTGAAAACAGCTTATGAAGTCTTAAATGAAATAATCTCGCGAGAGAACACAGTCTTGATTACTCACCGAATTGCGCCGCAAATGCCGACATTTTAACTATGCTAATAAACGGTATTCACATGACAACGTTTCAGCGTTTTCAACGTTTCAGCGAAATTTTCAGCTAAAATTTCAAGGCTGTTTGCCAGGAATTAGAAAAGCACTTGAAATTTTGCAAACACGTTACAAATTAAAATATCGCACTCTTTATTGTTGTATTAACTTTCTATGCTGCGTTTTGGTGAAACCCTCCACACAGGAAGATATTTCGCATTAATACCATAGGAAATGCACATAGTAGTTTACTTTACATTTCGGAAAGTAAATTGAGGGTAAAGTTGATTATTTCCTTGCATGGGCTCAGCGATTTTTTTGCTTTTGTTGTATCCGCCGGCTATTAGAAGAAAACATATTATGTAAAACCCGCCGGTATAGATTGCATCTTTTTAATGGGTAATTACTGCTGATATGGCTTTCCAAGTTGGCTTTAAACGAGACCATATTTCAAGCTCAATACTTTGGTAAAGAAAAATGCCAGCACCTGCCCTTAGCCTTGTCAAACTGCAAGTCATTAATTTAAAGTTCATTTGTGAAACGAAGACGGCGAGGAGATACATTTGTACGAAACAGACCCACTCCTCGTGCTTTCCTTTTTGTTTTGTTTTGTTCTTTTTTTTTAGTATTATTTTCTTCATATCTTTCTGCAACAAGAATCTGGTTTTGTCTTTTTCATGAGTTAATCTCCAAAACATAATTTGAAACGTATCCTTTGCAATGAAAAAAAATTATTTCTCTTGAGGAAAAATGGCTTTTAAATGTCAATTCATGATGAGGGAAGATGTCAGGGAATATTAAAATCTCATCGCAGCCCGTTTTAGCCCAGCTTGATGTCATTATATCTCTCCGTGGGTATCGAATGAAACACCGAGATGTTTAAATATTGATATTAATTTAGAAACAGTTTTGGATGTTTTGAAAGCTTCTTCTAACCTTTCTGTCACGAACAAGGCCTCCAGTAATTATAGATGGGCCCCACAGGTAGAAGGAAAAGTCGCGATATTTAATTATGGCAATCTTTGTAATTTTCCGTATTGTGCAAGAAATAAAAAGCGTTTTTTTTTAGTATGTCTGCATTGACAGGCAGGCACAAAAATCGCTAAAAATTAACACTCCTTCCTCAGGATCAAATTTTCCCCTTTTTTAGAGTAGAATTCGCTTCTCCAATTTAACAAAACTTCGATGTCGATTTAGGTATCACACTATACAGACTTTTAGAGTGAATAGTCTTTTATTTCAATAATATTCAATTACGAAAACCATTAGTCATTTGACACTCTATTTCGACTTCTCCATAATTTTAAATTCTCATTCTGCCTGCGCCTACGTTTCTCAGGTAACCAGCTCTATATTTTTAGCTCGCCAAAATAGCCAATATGTTTATACTAGTATCCATGACACAATTTGAAACCAAAACTAAACAAGAGAAAGTGTTTTCGGCGGATAAAGACACACTTTGAAAAGATACGTATGAACCAAATTAGCAAAACTTATCCAAAACTTTGCGTGGTTTTTTGAGATTTCTTACCTTCCTGGCAGAAAAACCTTTTCACTCGCCCGAAAACATTTAGCCTTGTGTACAGTCTTTTTACTTCAAGGTAAGCGATGGGCGTGTGCTATTATTCTGCACAAACAAAAGTCATTTTCGATTTATCTTCGTCTCCTGTTACAAAAGATCCTTGATTCTTTGTGATCAATCAGGAATCCATCGTGTAACGGGCAAAATGAGTAAAATAAATTGCACGTTAACATCGTTAGCTTGAAAGTTTCATACGAAATAAATGAATTGGTTATGAACGACAAACAAGCCAAAAGGACAGGTGAATCGGTTCCTAATTCGCAAAAGAAGACTAATAAATGTGAACATATTAATTTCCGGTAAAACAACTATTCCCCTTTGGCAAATAAATTCGTTTTCTACTTGAAACCGCTTATGAAAATTCAAGATTTTAATTATAGAATGATGCCTAATCGGAAATGAACCTAAGTGCCAAAAAAACCCATTGAAAGTTGTCGGTTCGGTTTGATTATTCCAAACAGTATGTTGTGCATGCATCCTTTCGGAAAGCTTCAAAAAAACTTCTTTTAAAAACTGCCTTTGTCTAATTTGAAAGGGAATCAAATTTGCATCTTTGAGGGCCATTTAAACTATCAAAGAACATTTATTTAATTTGGTAATTTGAGAAAATTAATTTGTATCCTTTTTGTTTGTATTTAAGGAGCCGGTGAAAGTTTCCTGTTCAGCTCGCAAATCCGCCCTCAACGGAAAAATGATTAAAGCTTTAAAAAAAGCCTTCGGGCGTTTTTAGGTGTCCTTCTACATTAGAACAAATTTGTTAAAAATAGATGGGTAATTACGCTCTATGGCTTTTAGAGAATTGATCGTTTTCGGAGTCAAAATATCCTTTTCTTGCGCTAAATGTATTGACCTCGGATAAAATGAAAAAAAATTAGTAGTTAAATTCTCTAAGTCGATTTTATTTTTCGCATTCTAAATTAGAAAAATCTGATTCATTCGGTAATTCTACACCACAGACAATCAATTTGTTTTTCTCTAATCGATTTGGAAGGCAAGGTTAACTATTTTGTGTAACCATGGCAAAATTGTGATTAGATATTTATTACATTGCGCGCGTGAGCGCGTCTGGTGTCGCACGAGCAGTGAAAGAAAACACAAGCCATGCCACGCGTTTGTAGTGCGTGGCATTTTCCATGTGTGCGTGGGTGAAGGAGTATTGTCAATTCGTGATTTTTTACTCCATACAATAAATTTCGGATAGAAATCGACGGCTTCTATATTCAGCTCAAACAACAGATATTTGCTAAATACATGTGCCAACATTTCAGCATCAAATCTCTGTTTGCTTAAGTAACGGCCAATAGCAAATTCGAAGTAGTCGAAAACTCCTACTGCAAATGTAAAAATCAATTAGACGTTACTCGGCTAAATTCGCCTGCTATTAGACACTTTTCAAAGAAACTATTTTGCCCCTCGGATTGTGTTCTGTGTCGCTGACAGAACTCAAGGTTTAGTTTCATACAAAAAATCCAAGAACATCGAAGGAATAAGAAAAAACATGCAGGTGAATTTAAACAATGGAAGTTAGCCATTTTATATGTAACGTTCCCCCAGAGCGTGTTATTTATATTAAAAGCTAACTTAACCACGCGTATCCCTCTATGAAGAAATAACAAAGAATCACTAATGTCGCCATGAAAAGCTTCATTCTTTCACTGTTAATTGATCGCGCTGTCTTTTGTAGCGGAAAGGAGGTCCAGCCATGAAAGATACAACGAACAAAACAAAAAAAGACAAGATAGCGAACACACACACGGAGGCACATTTGTTACAGAACAGATGTAAACTCGCTTCTGTCATATTTCTGTTCATTTCCTTTGTTTCTTGAAAGAACAGAATTGAAACCGAGCAACAGCGATAAATGTGATCATTACATCGACTCAGAGCAAATTTTTCACCTCCTCTCGAATATAAAGCCTTTAGAACCATTTACATACTTTTTACTCCAACATACGACCCGTTGTTACATGGATACGACAGCCCAATATATGGCGGAATATTTGCCCCTCGAAACATCAATTTAGACAGAGCTATTTACCTTCGAAACGGGCGTTTTCAACCGATACAAAGAAAATTGACCGGTAAATTTTGCGTTGCTTCTCGTAATAAGCTCGGGCAAATTTAAAACAAGATTTTTGTTTTGTTTAAAATTAATTAAAATCCACCCTAGAATGGAAATATGAATCTGTAAGATCTGTCTCGAAATTTAATTCATGTGGTTGAGTCAAACTCAGAAGTAAATGACAAACGTCGTCCAATCCATCCTCTTTGAAGAAATAAACATCCATTTCATTCTGCTCTCTGTTTTTGTAATTTAGACTTGTCTAATAAAGTAAATTACATTCTTCAAAAGAAAAACTGAAGAGGAACATTTGGCTGGTAGGGACAGAGTAATAAACCGCTCAAACGAAAGTTGTTGTGCGTTTGATCACTCTCACCAGTTGCTAGAGATCACATATGTTTTGAGAATGGTCGTGTTATGTAATCTCCTTTCTCGTGTCACTTAGGATTAGCGGTTTTAGAGATTTAAATCCAATATCTTTTAGTAAAGTTCCACGCCGTTTTGTAAGCGAGGGTGGCTCTGACTCGCGCGTGGAGAGCGATTCTCGTTTGGATTTAACCACGCGTGTTCGCGTTTGTGAATCGAAAAGGAGAAGTTCTGAAGTTAAACTTTTGTTCTTTAAAAGAAAAAAGTAATTTCGCCGATCAGATTTGTGTTTTCTAATGATTAAATGCTGTCTTATTTTGTTGAGTTCAGCCAGAAAATTTAAAAAACTATTGGACGCACGAACACTCAAAATTTCCTGCCATTTCTAGACATCAAGGAAACTGTTGGCAAAATTATCCACCCATCCCTACTCAGGACGCTTCCCACAATGTTGGACTAAGCGGACTGAAAGACTATTATCATTTATTAACTTGGTAAATGATTATCCATTCCTATAAGTTCTCTGTGGCTTATGTTTACTAATGAAGCATTCGAACACATAATCGGAAGATCAATTATTCAAATCTTGATGGCAGCCTCAGATTTTTCATTTCTCCATGCTCATGAGAATTGATAAAAATCTCTCTCTTGATAACCCGATTTCTTGGTTTGTTTATGCGAACAAACTAAACACCCAAAAAAAACATATATTAGTCGGCTTCAAGATAAAATCAGGGCTTGAATTTGAAGGCTTTTTCAGTGGGCTTATTTGATTTCTTTTCCATTCCTTAAAAAATCTAAACCACCATTGTGCTATAACGACTTCAACAAACATTGCCTGAACTCTACAAAACCCTAAGCTGCAAACAAATTGAACTATTTCTTTAAAAAAATGTCAATGGAAGAAGACCTAAAACAAGACTTGAATCGAAAAAATGTCGATGAACTTCATAAACTAAAAATGTAATCTAAAATCAACAGAGTAAATTGTATCATCTGCCGCAGGATTCTCTTCCTAACACTACGGTTCCTCGATGTGTAGTTTCGTAACATACTGATATTATATGATTAGCAAGGTTTGGTAACACAAACTGAAAAAAATCGTCGTTTAAGTTTTGCAAAAGAATGTGACGTTGTGGGAAACGAAAGATCAAAAATTTTTCTACCCAGAATTATAAAAAGATACCGATTAACAAAAATATATTTTTGATAAAAAAAATTAATGCTGCTGCTTCAGACAGTGGCCAATGAATGAATTACCAGCAGCAGACAAACTATTCCGCCTCGAATCCCAAAACAAAAAGCATACATCAGATAATAATTACCACAGGACGCCTGGTTGTGTATGTCGCAACCTCTCACAAATTCCGTTCCTCCACTTGCTATACAACGGGAGTAACTGAATAAACGCGAATTTTGAAACGTTCATTTTAATTTGTTCATTACGAAGAAAATAAATAAATACTGAAAGATCAAAAATGTTTCACTAAAAACTTTGTTTTATTGTAAGTGTCCTCGCTGTAAACAAAGCATTGTAGTTGTTTCTTGCGAAGACATCTAACAAGCAGGCTTTAAAAGTTGAAGAATGATTTTTTTTTTTTTACCTATTAAGGAAATTGGACCATTAAAAAGATCACAGCACACAATTTACGGTTTAACATCTGATTGTCTATGATTGTCCTTTCGGAACTAACCTCTTCAGTTAAAAGCGTTTCTTACCTGAGGGAAACAAAAGGAAGAAATCAATTTAATTTAATTACATTTATCGATCTTGTGAATGATACACTTTGTAAGAATAAAGGGCATTATAAACTCAGTCACTCAGATCATTCAGAAGAGCATTTCAAAACGCGTCTTAAGCATTTTCGTCTGTATTTATCAAAACTTTTTGTTCCAAACCTATAAGGTGTGATAATTGTGAACAAAAGTACCAAATAGATGGGCGCTTAAAGCGTAACGAAAACAATGGAGTAGAGGCCGGGTGGTTTAAAATACTGGCGACTGCATGTCTGGGTAAGGATGTGAAACATTAAATGGACACAGGTGAACTACAGATTTTAACAATGTAGCTCAAGGCTCTGCTTTCGTAAAAATTGTTAAGAAGAAAAGCCATTGGCAAGTCGCCGCTAAAAAGATTCTTACGCTTCTAGGACTTTTCACATCCACGGTAAAAATTTCTAACTTATATAGTTTTACAGCTGTAGGGGTTTCACGAGAATTTACCTCCAACGATATGGTGTGGCGCGCTTTCAAAAGAAGGTATCATGGCGATATACATTTTTTTTGTTTAAGCATCTTTGCTTGTTGTCAAAAGACAAGTATATATAATCTATGTTTTTCTATTTCTGTCTCTGGTATACAGGCGGTAAACACTTGTTCCATAATTTCCACGTGCTAGCTGGTACCTATTGCACTTTTTTGGTATTTATTTAATCCTCAGGTGTTGATGAACGCGTTACCAACCGATGCTAGATGCTCTTGGAATTCTCGTCGCTCGCTTTTGCACGTGTATGCTCAAAAGACCGGTGAAATGAATAATAAAATAACCGCTCAAGAACTGGTGTTCTGTTGTTATGCATCAGTCGGAGGATAAGCTGATAAATGGTTTTAATCCGTCAGTTTGGTATAAATCTGTTCATCAGCTATCTACAGGTGAAATGCTTTGATCTTTAGTGTACATATTAACTTTTGTAATGTTATTCCTGTTTATTCCGCAGTCATGTATTTTTTAAGCTTCTGTCGGCGTCTGTTTTAACTTCCCGCCGGTAAACTGCAACGCCAATTTTCCCTCAAAACTCAAAAGCAGGTAAATTTTTGACCTTAAATTAAGTGTCTTTTATTTATAGTGTTCTCTCTTGTCAATGAAAGAGCATAATAACGCCGGCTTTAAAGCAAAAGTTTTTTTAGCAACTTATGGTACTCGATCAGGTGTTTGCAACGAACCTAACTGCGAATGGTCTCAATACAAATGTAAATAACTTAGTTCTATCGTTACGACTGATACTAAGCGAGTTACGATGTACTCGATCGACCTGGGCACGTGGTTATGACGTCAGAAAACAAGTCAATAAACAATGTGTTCACATGCGTGTGTAAAGATTAGATTTAAAAAAAAACATCGTGTTGTTACTTTTTCCTTTTATCAAAACATTCGCAAAAACATCGCCATTGATGCAGAGGGTCAATATCTCTTTTGCATGGTTAATAACGTCATTGTTTAGTTTTTGTTTTATTTATTTATTTAATTTTTTTTTTGCTTGAACGACCATTGTAGGTGAACTGTCTCATTTATCTTAAACAGAGCACACAATAAATATTATAAATGATTTTCGTCCAAAATTCAGTCTATTTTCAGTTCCTGACCTGGCATTTTTTTACTTTAATTAATGTCATAACGTTAGACTAGGACAATCTTTTCAGTCAATTAGCTGTTGGGAAGGAAGAATTTGAAATAAAATGTAAAACTGTTTAAAATTAAGGAAAAATGAGAATTTACAGTAGAGACTGATTTTTTTTCGCTTTTGTTATCTAATTTTTTGCTGTTTTTTTGTCGTTCTACTTTTTGTGTCTTTTTGTTGTTGTTGTATTTATCTTTTTGCATTTTAATTGCTTTTGTACGTTTAATTTTTCAAAGATAATATTTCCATGACTAAATATACGATAATTAAAAACTACAGAGAATCCCGCCGAACAGTCCGTTCACGAGGAATCAGTGAGATTTTTTGAACGTTATTCAGAGGAAGTCATAATCCCTAAAACGTTCTTTACCACTTAGAATTATTGTTTCAACTTTTTTTATTGACATTGGAAACTCCACGCCAAAATGCTAAAATTGTATACAGCACTGGCTTCGTCAAAATGTGAATACAGAGGTGAAAGGGGAAGAGGATGCATACGATAAAGATTTATGGGAGCTGTACGTTGGTCACTCACGTTTACCCGAGCTTCAAGCAGTTTGCTTGTTTTTAATTTACGTTCTCATTGGCTTCATGTGATTGTTTCATTTGTTTTGATTGCCCGTTGTGCTTTCCTCACTTTTGGTTTTACGACACTCGGTCGGCAGGGACTCTAACGACGCTGAACATCAATGAACACAACAGATAACAGAATTGACGTGGACTTTTTAAGCAAATACACAACAGTTTCTACTGGTGACAGTATAATTAACAAAGGTGGAGTCTAATTCTTCTTCTGCATGGTCTCGAGTACATCTATGAGCCTTACTGCGGAATCAGAAGCAAAAGTTTGTAACATGCGCTCACTAGCTAGGCCGGGTGTGATTATTAACCAAACTATTCTTGCACACAGTAGGGCAATCGAACCTTCACCGACGGCCTCTCAATTTTTTTCCGGCGCTCAGTCCTCACTTTAATTTAATTATTTAAACCTTTCTACATCAGTTATTTCTCCACAAGGCAACAGACCTAACTGCCAAAATAGCTTCTTCAACAACGGCCGGTTAATCACCAACTGACAAACAGCGTAGAAAATGCTCAACAACTCTCATGAGTGAACGATCTCTGCCGACAGGTCTTTGTTAGAGAGAAATTAATTTGTATTTGCTTCTAAAAAAAGCGAGCGTTATGCAAACTTTCGTGCTCAATGTCCCTCACTCGTTTTGTGTCGTTTTTGCTTAAAATTTCTAGTCTCTGTTTTATCGCAGCGAGCATTAATAAGAAAACATCTGTGGTTCTATCTTCGAAATGGAAAGTGCAGTGATACACCCCTGTCTCGTTACAACGCCCACTTCCTTTTGTTGACTAAGCTGGTAGTTTTGGAGAGGTTCAAGCACGTTTCTTATACCTTATGCCGATATGTCCAATTCAAACGTCCACCCTGGCACAAATTTAAAGTTTATGAACTTCGTCAACCAAAAAGCCACTACATGATACATTTAGCCTCACCTCGGTGAAAGCTGCGATCATCTTAGGTTGCTTGGCAACTTAACGTAACTATGACGTCATCTTAACATCATGTTATACCCTCTTAGCCCTCTTAGTATATTTTAGCAACATATTTTGAAAAGTGTATGATGAAAATTGTGCGCAGTGTGTTCTTTGCGGGAGATAACTTCAAACTGTTTCTTTCTCAGGCCCTGTGGTGATCAGGTAAGTAAATGATCAGAATTTCAATTTCAAGAAACAAAAATCTTCATAGTAAAATGTAAAACAAACCAGTTCTTTCTCAAGCCCTGAGCGGTCAAGTAAATTGGAGATTAAATTTTCACTTAATGTCATTCAGAATCTTTTGATATCAGTGGCGAACTTGACAAAAGATCTTAACCCTTCGAGTATATAAAAAAAAAGATGAAAGAATAAACACGGTGAGGATAATTGCTAAGATGCGAATACAAATTTGCATAGGCGGCAAACACAGAGGGAAATGACAAAATTAAAGAATTAAGTGGGCAATGCTGTAGACAAGAAATTTTCAAGTACTGTCTCGAAGGACTGTCGACTGATTTTCATTTAAAAAAAGAATCTATACTAAATAGGAGGAATTGACTCATTTTCAACTTGAGGTAAGTAACTTTTCGCTTTATATGCGAAGTGAGATGAGTATTAGTTAAAATTTTCTGCCAAATTCAAGGTCAACTGTAATTATCCTTTGAAAGCGAATTTTAGTCCTAAGTTGAAGAGCGATTTTCTTAAATTCGATTAACATTTAGGAGAGGCGTTTTGCTCAAATATGTTTAGTCTTTCGGAACAATATAATGAAGGGCCTTAAAAATTAATGAACTTAAAGGCGGTGATAGCAAAACTGTTATTCTACTAAAAAAAAAACGAATTTATTCATTATTTCTTCCTTCCCGCGGCTCGAAAATTACTTAATTAAGCATCTTACTGAGGTAAAGCTGGTTTTCAAGAATATCTCGTTATTGGAGCAAGAACTTGACGTGAACACAAAATCAAAGATTGGATGATTTTTCTAATAAATGCGTGAATTTTAAAAAATTATTGCAACGGTGAAGGTGTTTTGCAGAAAAAACGCTCATGAAAACATTTGAAGCGCCGGTGAGTCGAATATTCGTTGAAACATCTTCTTTAACTTAAATTACCCCGTTTGAAAATTCTGTTACCCGACAAACCTTCCCAGTTGTGTCATCATTTAAAGCATAAAGCTCTATACGTGATATATGAGACATGAAGTTAGTTCTGAATGACCTTACTACTTAAAGTCCTTTTAATACAAGATATGTTTATATGCTGTAAACAATTATCAAGAGGCTATATGGTGACACATTCAGATGCTTAATGCGTACTGAAGTTAGCATTTTAAAAAAGAGGCCCGTACATCGGTTCACAACCCTACAACACCGAGCTATAACGTTTTCAGATATCTCCATCTGCTTTTTATTCCAAAAACTGTCAGCGATCAAAAACCTAATACAAGATTACTCCGATGAGTCCTCTGAATTAAAATCGGCAGTCTCGTATGCCGGATATGTTTGTCAAACCTCACCAAATAACGCCTTTTTTGTTTAAGACGAAACAACAGAACCCTATATATGTGCAATGATATCTTATATCCTTATAGCATCATAAGTATTATTTTTATTTGTTTTTCTTACGATCACTAACGTTCCAATTATTATTTTCATTAACCCAGCTATCGTGAGACTACTGCCTGTTTTTATTCAGTTTACCTTTCTGTATTTCACATATAATTGAAATTTCGCGCGTGTTCCCCTCTTTCGGCTACTAGTGTAGAAAATCCCTTTCGTTTTTAAATTTCAAATGACAATTTTTCGCTTCCTCTCCCCCCTGTGTATTCTTTTTGGCTTTCCTTTTCTGTAATACAGAGACAGCGGAGACTGGGCACTTCCCCTGCAAAGCATCCTGGTTGAGCGTGGCCCTATATTGTCATTAAATGAAAAGGTCAACTGCAAATTGATGTCAGGTATTATTTTTATTTTGCAGGACCTAAGGCAGAAGAAATATTTAACATGAACCTGCGCCCGGCTGGTAGATTCGCTGATTGTTCTGAAACGAGTATTTCCGCCTTATTGGAGTCATTTGGAGTTGGCACTAGTTTTTCAAACGAGACACATTTGTCAATGGAGCACGAAAACCCTATGGAAAGTTTTCCAAATAACTTCCGAGTTCCACAGGCCTTTTGTGTTACTCCCGAAATAACTTGTCTGCCCTCAGAGTCGGCGACAAGTTTAAGCGAAAGCAGCAAAAGCAGTGTTACCCTTCAACTTATTCAGGAAACAACGTTTACCAAGAAAGAAGGTCGAAAGATCTTTGATGTTCAACCACAAGCAAGGTATGAAAGCTTTAAAGATGTCCCTGGCTCGACTTGTTGCACTTCATGTGGGATCCGGGTCTTGACATACACTGAATACCGTGTAAGTAGCGCGACCTGGGCACTAGCAGGTTTGTTATGTGCCTTTGGCTGTCATTTTGGCTGCTGTTTAGTACCTTTCTTTATCAAATCTTTTAAGGATGTGATCCATTTATGTCCTCTTTGCAAGACACAGTTAGGGAGATTTACCCAAGTGTGAATAAAGGTTCTATATTCTGCAGCCAAAACTACTACGAAGGTTAGCGAACCCGAGAATGGGCCCAAAATTTTGTATCACGACCACACCCAATAACCCTAGCAGATTTGTCTACAATCCTGCGTGTTGTGGTGATTATCTATTTATCAATGCTATTTTAATGCATGCATGAATAAAAACCACTCGCGACGCTACGTAGGAATGTGGGCAGATCGGCTAAAAAGAGAGGGTGTTCTCGCAATATACAATTTCGAGCCCATTCCGCGGTTCGTAATGCATATTAAGCAACTGGAACTTGCACTTTAAAATCTGCAAAACTAGCAAAAGACAGTGGTTTCATAAACTATGGTTTTATCCAGCGGAAACAGTAACCGTATTCTCGAGGTTCTCATGATGGAAACGCCTACAAGGCTTACAAAGGCTCAAGGAACGATGTTAGGGACATCTCCGCTAAGACTTACCAGATTCAAATTACTGACTATTAGACCAGCAAGTTCATTTGCCAAAACTACAGTGTAGCCATGTAAAAAAATATGTATGTCGTTATAATGGTTACGTCTTGTAGCCCCGGATTTTGCTCCTCCAGAAGTTCAAAAGAAACGTAGGCGAAATGAGATCCATTTGTTAGCTCTGTCAATAAAATACAAATGCACACTTAATTTCTTTGCTACTTGCGTTCATACGAGGCGGGGGGGGGGAGGGATAGGAATATTTCTGACACAGAAAGTAGAAGCTCCAAACAACGGCGCGCTGTTTAATTGAAGGCTCCGTGTTGTCTTCATTGCGTGACAACTCAGAGACCCCATGCAACCCCTTGCATCAACTTTTCCTAAGGAGCTGGAGGGAAAGTTTGGATCTCATCGTTAAACCGTGACGCTCTACTGCGTTTGAAGACATTTGTAGAAGGGTGACAGACGAAGTTGCCTTCATTTTTTTTGTAAATATGCTCGTCCATCCTTCTTCAGGCACTCTTTTCCTTGAACAAAATCCGATTTAAGCATATGGAGGTTATGGTTTTTAAAGCCACGTGAACAATCATGATTATTTTTTAAATAGTGGTTGAATGCCAACATACATATTCATTTGAAGATTCAGGCTATGTTAAAATCGAAATCTTTTCGCTACTTTGTAGGACAAGATTTTTATTGGCATGAAATGGTTTCGTCGATTACAAAAATAGGTACAGGCCGAAATGTAACATGAATGAATTCTGGCAAATTTATCCCGTATATTGTCGTAAATATATATGTTTGGTTGGGTTGTACTTTCAGTTGCTTTGAATTTTTTCCCCCTCGCATCTAACATTCGTTGGCTGATCCCAAGGAAAAACCAAGCTATGGCGGCTGTGGCTAAATGTTCTGAAGTCTACCGAAACTGAAAACAGTATCACAAACATTCCATTTTTATGAAGAAATCTTAACAATATTCCGCATTATCTCCAAATTTTTACCAAGTCTTTATTCGTACTATCTTTCGATGTTGACTTGTTGTGTTATTTTACCATCAAATTTCCTAAGTGTTTTGTGATTACACACAATATATACTATGTAGTTTGTGAGAACCTTGTAATAAGAAGCTCTCTGAGCCCGACTAACCACTCACATATTTTGGCATGTACGTATTTCTTTGATTTAAGTGTCAAATGTGAAAATAACTGCCGGTTCGTTTTCAAAGAAGGAGTTAAAGCCAAGGTTAGAACCCATGCCCTTTTTTTTCTCGACGTCCACCTGGAGTCTAAGTGAGTTGTCGTGATGATTGCTTTTGTCATGTCACGTGACTGGACATACCTCAGCTAAGTTTGGGTAATATCCAGGTGCTAGTGCGGCAAGTGAGACTCCCTGCTTGCAAACCTTACGTCCCACAGTTAGTTTGAAATTTCATTTGCGAGGGGTCAAATTCATGTTATTATCCCAGAACAAAGGATCAAAGTACACCAGAGAACGTTCCACAAGGCAAATGATTTTGACCAATTTTAAGCCAAACGTTTTGTCCGCTCGCTCGCAGCAAAATGATAATCGATGAGTAGCTTTTGCATATCGCTACTCACATGCATATATTAACTCTAACAATCTTGAGTGTAACGTCATCAGTAATCGAAAACGGCTGCAAACATATGTAAAAGTTTAGGAGTTGTACGCTAGTTTTCAAAAGAAACCTACAGCACTCGCGATCTTCTCGCATGTGTTTTCTGTGGGAACAGAGCGAATCAAGATTAGTTTGTGGAATGTCGTTTTCCCGCGATGTACAAAAACACCTTTAATATTGTTAAATGACAAATATTAGTTAAGTTTGAATGGAAAAACTAAATTGAGGAGAATAAGCCTGACAAGAAAGACGGTGGCTTAAAACGATACTTATTGACCCGAATGGCAAACGACCAACATCTAAAATTTGGACTTGATTTTTCAGTGAAGAATACACTAACTATTTGAAGAGAGTGAGAGTTTGTAACTTGCTCGAATGTGATTGTTTCTGTGGAAAGGGGAAGTAGATGGGTCGTATCACGAGATCTATAAAGAATCGACAGAATTGTTCTTTTAGTAACTAAGGTGTTTCCTTCCGTTAACATGCCGAAAATTAGTTCGGTCCTTTTTTTTAACTTAAAGTTTCAAATAGAACTACCAAAGAATTCTTGACTAATTTTTTTGCTATGTTTGCAGGAAAATCATACCTGTTGGGTCTTGTGACAAAAATTTGTTTGTTTGTAGTCTCTAGTTTCATTTTAAGCGACCTGTCGCTTTAAAATACATAAAAAGCCAAAACAAACTAAGTCCTTGAATTCTTTGTAGCCAAACAGGAAACACAGGAATTACATTCAAATTCTAAGCGACTTTTGCCACTTTAAAAACAAGAAATCAATGCCGTTCGCGCGTCTTTAGAAGACTTTTTGGCGACCGATTATTGGAGCTTACATGTCTTTGGTGTTTAAAACACAATTGATGGTGGACTGAGATCCTAAGAATATGGCATAAGAGCGCAAGATAATATTATAACAAACCTCACATGTGTCAAAATACAATGAACTTCTAATTTGTAACCGATTCCTGCATTAACTGTCAAAAGGTATAATTAATGAGTTTTGATGAGTTACGCTCGACGCCACACTGAAAAAAGTGTCCATAAATGAAAAATTGTTCTTCTAAATTTATAAAATTTAAAGATCAACTTGTGTCAGACGATTTCGTTATAGATTTTCTGGTCTTTGTAGCGCGGCGCAAAAATTTGCGACCAGTGTCACTTTGCTTCTTTTTTGCAATGTTTCCCTCAGGCTAGCACAAGCCTCCTCAACTAAACTGCACTCTTGCTGTTAAATAAAACAAATGCTCTGATATATCATAAGTGGGTGTTATTCCAAAATTAATGAACTTTTTTTATCCTCTTGCACCGGTAAACAAATCACAGCGATTATCGTCCTTAGCCGGAAAAAAAAGAAGGATTCATGAGAGCTTGATGACATGAAGTTATAGGGAATGTTTTGAGACTGAGAAAATGCCTTAGGTGGTTCAGTCGGGAAGAACGTTTATTTTAGAGCTTTCTTCTATTACCATCGGAATTTCTAGAGACTCTTGACAGAATATTATCACATCATTATTTCTAACGTCTGAGGCGATTCAGGTAATTGGATAACAATGTGTGACACGTGACCATGGAGCTCACGAAATCAAATAAAAACTTGGCGTACTTCACTTCAAGAAGACATTGTCAACCTTGACATGAACAGCACATGCAACATGACAAAAACCGTGGATCGATTCAACAGCAGCGGTCTCGAATTCACTTATCCGATGAACTCGCAGCATGCGCCAGGAAGGAGTAGAGCACAACTTCAGCCGTACAATAGTGCGCAAACCAACAACACTGGAGCTTATCATGTTACACCATGCTTTCGCTACCGCCAAACACAAGCTCCCGAGCAAGTACCGTTGGACTGGAACATTCCTCTCCTTCCAGAGATCTGCAATGGCTTCCCAACAGTTTCTCAGTCTTTAGTACAAGACTTGAATTCAGCGTTACCACCCTTTGGTGCAAGGGTCTACCCAAACAGGGGCCGGACGTCCTGCGGAGAAGATGCTCTCCAGTGTTTCACTACCTTTACAGGTGGGTTTTTTATATTTCCCTCACGTCTTATCATTCACTTAAAAATAAGCCAGCGGCTGACTTTTCACACGCAAATTAACGCTATATTTACACCCAAGGCTCAACTTCGCACTTTTAAGAATCTCACAAGTACGTGAATTGCCCTTTGCTCTTGTCGTCAAAAATGTGATGTGAATCATCTTGTCAAAGAAGACAACCAAGCTTACATTGAAGTTTTCATGGTATAAGAATGATCGGAAATATTGTTTTTGACGCCTTTAGCCGCTTACCGTACTTCTTATCCGCGAAGGTATAACTAAAACTCGTGACGCCGGTGTAGGAATTTCGCGCGTTGAACATTTGCCGAAGGTCTTAAAATGACGCATTGAACGTCTTTTCGACGTAAATACTTCTTCCTCGTTGATTCAGTTGGGTGATTTCTCCTCAGCTTGAGAGAGATGTTTTGTAGAGAAAACAGGACTGACCATTACTCAGCTGACAATCGATTTATTGAAAATGTAATTACTAAAAGGCCGCCCAAGAAGATAGGAACGTTCTCTGCGTTCTTCGAGTAAGGGCATCCAAGAAAGCCAAATTGAGCTCTTTGAGGTCGTTGAGTGAGTACTCTACAGAAGTTCCGCTGTGTTTAAATCTTCTCGTCGTATTCACATGCACAATTTTATTTACTTAAACTTCATTAAGCGATTTTGCTAAACGTTCAATTCCTAATGTCATTAAATTTTGTTGACAAAGTAAAACAACTAAAAAAGGAATCTAATTGGAGCTCTGACTTCAGTCCTATCAGCGAGAACCCCTTCTCGATTTCTGTACTTGTCATTCAAGTCTGTCTGGGAGTGACCGTTTATTCACAAAGAAGACTTCACATTTGAGAAAAACAACTAAATTTGATCTATGAAATGGTTTGATTTATCAAGACTATATTACTTCGAAACCAGTGACAAACCAGGTTGTAAACTCAGTTATTGATGAAGTTCCAATTTCCCGCATGCGACGAAGGAGATCGCAAACATTCCAACTCTATTCATGAAGCTGTGACTTTGCACTGACTATGTTCTGTGGAATGATTTATGTGCGTTAATCGCGCATTCATGTTCGAGGTGAGGTTTCAACCTAAGGGCTTCAGTAACACGTTTGATCTCATACAGAAATTAGCTTGTTAGCACAAGCTCTGGAAACAACTCAGGCTGACCACAAAATCCTTCCGTGTCATTATTTCAATTCCCTGATCTCTTCGCTAATCCATAGTTACGCTGTTTTTGTGATTGTGCATCAAATTAACCGTAGAATAGCTAATTTCCTTTTATAGTAGATCGTTGTGACTTGATCTTCTAGCCAGGAAAGTAAAAGCTGAGGATTACTCAACCAAATATTTGCTCTGAGCTCGTAGTATACTGAAGATCATCGCAGATCACGATAGAGCACAAAATGGCCGAAAGATTGTATGTTGGAAACCTAACGTAGTTTTTAATTTAATTAGGAAATGATTCGAAAAATTGTGCCATCAAAGCACAGTGTCTGAGCAAGAGCTGTTTAATTTTGACGTTCAGGCTCCTCGGTGCGTTTGTGCGTGAACAATTTTGGTTAGAATTTTACTTTAAGTGCCATTGTCCCGAGTAATTTAGGCTGGGTCCGACGGCGGACAGATGCCAGCCGTTAATTAAATGCAATAAGCACTTTTTTTAGTAAAAAATGGTATTTTAATCCATTTTGATTTACGATCCGTCAAACATTTAACAGAACGGATAAGCTTAGTCAGGCAAATTTAATTCTTTATAGCACTTAAGTTCAGTAATCTTCTTCGGTCAAAGAACACTTAAACGAAGACTCGAAAACGCTTTTAGAGTTTGAAATGCTGTTTCTGAATCGTTCATTTCCAAACGTCATACCGGTTAGATGCGGCATATTCACCAGACTAACACAGTACCATAAATCTTTGTGTTACTTTCGTCAGAAGAGAGACCAAAAGGTCGGGGAAGGGAATCTTGGTCGTCCGCCACGGTGCGCTCCCGAGCTAGAACAGCGTACACAACAAGACAGCAAGTCGAGTTGGAAAAAGAGTTTCTATTTAGCCGATACATAACCCGTGCGCGAAGAATAGAGCTGGCCAAGTCTTTAAGTCTCTCGGAAAAACACATCAAGATATGGTTCCAAAACCGAAGAATGAAAATGAAAAAGAACGAGACCACGTTTGAAAGCACAAAGACAAGCCCCAGTGAAATCCGAAGATTGTACAGCATGGCGGATGATTGACTTAGTAACATGTCCACGCACATCTTTTTTAATGGTTGGAAATTTTTGATGTTGATGTTGCATTTGCCTATATATACACTGTACATTTTGATGTTGTATACTGAAAAGTTTGCAGTCATTTTTGTAGGACAAAACAAATTCGCTAACACATGTAAATATTTCACCAGACAACAATATTACGAAACTTACTAAATTTCCCTCAAAATTTCATCACGCGTATCTACAATCGATAGGTACAGGATGCTCCTGCTTAAATTTGTTTCTGCCTTGAATTTTGTACAATTAACCTCTGAAGTGTTGTCGATATTTTGCGTCCAACTTGTTAAGAAACAATCAACTTAACACGTCAGCCGGATTTCCTTTCCGGCAGCAGAGAGAGAGATGTTGTTTATACCACGAAGCGGGCCACAGCTACGCTTAATAGCTGAGAGATTCATTCAAACGCACAGTGGGATATACTTTCAAGAATGCTAAGTCATTAGTTCTTCATGATCAGTTGCTATACGTCTGATTTGTATCACATAAGAAATTTTGACTTTCCCTTATTAAATTAAGGGTTCAGTATGTGCAAATGGTTTCAATTTATTTCGGTACGATAGACCTCGACAGATACCTCCCATGCATTTTAAAGTATTCTAGTCTTGGAATCTATCTTTTTCAAAGTGGCTCAATATTTTTCGTTCTAGCTATTTAACGAAAGGTGTTTCATTTTGTATTTCGCAAGGCAGCCTCCTCAAACCTCCAATTTAATATTCATCCATTCGACCGGCGTAAAATCAACAGTCATCATTTGTACCTTTTTATTTCATTGTGAGTTTCAGTTCAGTTCAGTTCCTCTTTTTAAAGTCAGTTGTTATAGAGGTTTACAAGAAAGAAATAAAACACTATTTTAAATCTTATCACTAGATCCTTTCAGTGGGAAATATTAACCTCCGTGTTCAAAATTTGACCTCAATGAAACGTGTGTTAAATTCTTTGGAAGACATTCAGTTTGGTTCCGAGTTCAAGACTGAAGTCCGTTTTGCAGTATAGTATTCCATAATGATGTTTTTATGATATACATGGTGGTCTTCTTGTGCCTGCCCAGTCTGTCCTTCAACCTATCGGTCGATGAAATCTTATTCAATTTACTTTGAAAAAAAATGTCCACTTGCGATTGAAATAATAAACAAACTTAGTAAGAAAAAAAAACCAAAGCTTATCACAGCATTCCTTTTTGTTACACCCGATCTATAAGAGCTTACTTTAAATCACTGAAGACATTGCACCTTAAAATTTTTTCAACTGATTAAAACTACATTCTCTTGGTAATCACGTGAATTATAATCATTGCATAAAAGAGAAAGCAGTTGGTGATCAGAGTTGGGGATGAAAGGGTTTGATATAAAGGGGTTTTTATATTCTGAGGATATTTATGTAAAATTCATCGATTTTCTTTCCATGTGAAAGAAATGCAACTTTACCCCGGTCACTTAACGAGAAACTGAATTAGAAAAGCAAATTTTCTAATAGTCCATTCCGAAGAATCTTGAAGTCTGGCTAAATAATGACGCTTAGAGAGGAAGGTGGATAATTAAATATCAATTATTCGGTAGCTACACCCAAACTTGCGTCAAAGTTTATTACACGAAAAAATTATCAAACTCAACCTGCATCCGGATATCACGAGTCAACAATATTAGGAGGCATTTCCGTTTACTCACTTAGACACCACTATCAAACAATTTTTTTAACCGTCGAGTTACAAAGTGATATATGATGTCACAGGCGACACCTCTTAGTAACTGATGTGGGATGGTCATCCGAGATGGAAAAACGGGGTAATTTTGAAGTGGAACAATGGCATGAAAACTTCTTTGTAATAAGAAATAGCGGATGAAAGACATTTTGATTTGACAAAGAAAAAAACAATAACAACAAAGACAGCTTATCGAAGTTCCAAGGGTGTGAAATATGTAAAACAAACACAGTTCAACCAGATTTAACGATGTGTCAAGGGCGTGGGGAAATGTAGAGTGGTTTTGACGGAAAAACGCAACCGGATATCAAGGTCCTGTTTCATGTTTAAACCTTCCCTTTTTTCATTCCTGGAATTCACTTTGGCTTGCCAATGTTAAAAAAAGTGACTCGTAAACATCAAGTGAAGGATTAAAATGAACGAAATAGTGACAGAGATGGTTGTCGTAAAACTGGGGTTGAAAATTCATGCAAATTCTCGGCCCACTTTCAAGATCATTAGTCCTCCTCAAGCCAATGGTGTTTTGTTTTTTTTTTTTCAGCTAATTCAGTTGAAACTTTCGCCAACATCATCAGTGACTATGTTGTTTATATAACCGTTAAAAAGCCCGGTGGCGTTTCCCCAGTGGGCACAAAAACAAACAAAAACTTAAACAAATAGATTTTCCGAAATACAGGAGGTTTTAAGGACTGTTAGGCACACCTTGATTGCTTTTTCAATCCGCGTGCAAATAAGGAAAATCGTATTATGGAACTCAAACTTAACAATTCAATTAAGAGTCGAAGGTTTTGGACGAAAATCCTCTCTTGGATTTGAAGAGATTATGGCTTTATTAAACCATGTCCTCAGGTTGATTCATAACTTGAAATGTATCGACGTGGTACACTGTTGTAGATTCATACACTTTTGCGGCAAGACTTGAGAAAATCACAGCACAACCACATAAAAATTCATTACTTTGTTTTAAGCATTTATCTTTTTCTCGCGGTCTTCCAAAGTTCTACTTTATCTTCACAAACATTCCGTCTACATAAGCCTGAATGACGCCGCTTTAAGCTCCTCATACGGGGTACCGTTACAAAGATTAGCTCATTATGGTATCTCTGACACAATAGCAATTAATTTCTGTCAAAGGCGTATATCCTCTCATCATTCACGACTGGCCGCCGTTTTAATGGCATTAAAATGTGCGGAATGCGCATGCTCTAACCGGCTATTAGGTCCCAGTCCTTTACACGCGCTGCAAGTATCCAACTCCCGCGAAGTTTATGGCAAAATTTCTTTCTGTGCTTTCAGCTGTTTATGAATTCATTTTGGCAACAAAATTGTTCCATTCGATCGATTGAGACAAAGCTATTTAATCGCCACTTGGCGCGAAAGTTAAAAAAAAATATTTCGGAGCCTGTTTTGCGATTATATCTAAGATGCTATACATGACTAAAATGGTTTCAACGAGGTTTCTTTCGCTGTTATCTGAACTCCATAATAGAATGCGTGAGATGCGTGAGATGCGTGAAACGTGATAAACATGAAAGTTCATTCAATCAGGATGGAAGTTGGGTTAGTGAAGCCCTGTTTCGGTTCTTGACATGAATCTCTGCTATCTCCGCAAACTCATCTCTGCCAAGTAATCTGTACCCAAGAGGCAACAGCTGTAAGATGGTGTTGTGAAAACGTTCGCTTCCAAAACAGAACAGGTCTAGTCCCAGCTCAAGTCCCATGCCATAATCACATTCGTCATTCGCAAACTGTACCAGAGTCATGATTTCTTGGAGATCTTCCGAACCTTGCTCTTTCTCTCTTTCAGTTTTACCTTCCGTGATACGCTTCAGAATTTTCTTCAGTTCACCTGTTTGCCAAGAATTAAGGACAATTGCAAAGTGAGAGAAAATTGTTACCAGGTTTAAGCAATTTTGGCTTTGGCCTGAAAATCAAATAAGCATAGACCTGAGAATCCAACCACTAATCTGAACCCACATAGGTTGCTAGGCACATTTCAGTGTGTACTACATATGGAAAGTTTTGAATGGGGTTACCCCTTAGATCAAAGCAATGGTCACCAGAACTCACCATCAGTCACAGTAAGAGGGCGATATCCAACATCATTTGCATCCACAGGGACTACAATCCCAGCTTTATGAAAAGTCTTGCTAACAACCCTCTTGTTCCTAGCTTTGATTGCAGGTGTTACTATCTCAATGCTGTATTTCAACTTTTTTGCTTGCACTGTCAATGAAGCTTGTAGAGCTTTCAGTGACTTTTGTTTGGATTTAGCACTGGATATCTTCATAAAATCGCTAAGGAACTTGCTACAACGCAATGTCAGAGAAGAACAGACAGGCATTGTCAGATGGCAGTTAATATAATAAGAGTATTGAAATTAATCCTTGTGTATTAAAATTAATCCTAAACTTGAGTGCTATTATGTGCTTCCTGGACTGGAAAGTGTCTAGGGGTGGGAGGGCAATAATTTAACTGAAAACAACTGTTGAGGAGGTGACCATCTCCTTAGCCAACAGTTAATTTTATTTACCTGACTGCAGCGAAAAGGTTTTCTCCTAGCACTGTGAACTCACAAGTCTTCTCAGCCTGGTTAGAGGCTACAAACACAGGAGGACTCTTAGGGTCATCTCTGAGAAACAACAAGAGCTGGTTATGGTCAATGGCTGTATAACTGATACACAAGGAAATTAATTGATTAAAATATGTCTGGTAATGGTAAATTTTTCATCAAGGCACTAACTCCAAGTCTCTTTTCCGTTGCCAAACTCTTTCGTCTTATGTTTTAATTACTAGAGGCATTGACCCATATATATTTACTCAGTTACTACACTTAGTGCATTGTATTCTGAAGGAATATAGGCCTTTGACCTGACTGTTCTGTTATCAATATAGCTATTAATAATTTAATGTTCTGTTTCCATTCTGTTGTGCTCTTACAGGCCTGCACAAGAACAGTGTTCAAACTCACAACAAAGTGGTATATTGTAAATGATTCACATTTGCCAATTGTAATCTGAGCTAACTTAAGGTAGCCAATCTTTACTATCCTCGATAAATTGTGTTTCTCTTGTTCTGTACTACAGAATATCAACATTTGAATATTTATTTCTTGTAAAAGTTTATTTCCTGGGTCAGTAATAAAGCCACAAAACTTTACAGCATTGCTCATTTAAATGTTCTTGTTGATAATTTTGTTCACAGATCTTACCTGTAATAACCCACATGATATCCTGTTTTATCATCCCCTTTTAGGACAGTTAAGAATTCTGGTGGATCATAGTAATATCTCCAATGGAGGTGATATGATGTGATGTCTGACTCACTGATGTCATCAAATGATCCAGATAATATATCATATGGACCAACCAGCTTTAAGCCAAGAGAATCACTTAATGCCCCTACAGATGAAGAGAACAAAATAAATATCTAGAGTCCTGTTGGTGGATTCTGCAAATTGATCCACCCTAAGTGTGGTGTTCATTTTCTGTCATTAACCCTTTCACTTCCAAGATCTAATTAGTAATTCTCCTTACTATCTGCCAAACAATTCTTATGATATTAGTTTAGAGAACTTGGTATTAGATCAACAAATAATCACATAATTGATATTCTTCTCTATTCTCATCACCTACCTGCTTGATATTGTATTGATATTGTAAGGAGAAATTCTGTCTTGGTCACTTGTGGGAGTGAAAGGGTTAAGAACAAAATGATAATTGGGAAGAAAGGAAAGCAATTAATTTTTGACAGCTGATTGTAGAAAACCTCTTCACTCCTTCATATAATCAAAGTTCCAATTTCTCTCTAAAAAATTCAACATATTCTCTAGTAAGAGATGAGGAGGATGAAGAAAATTATCTGGCTGGCAACAAATTCTCTGAACTAACAGACTGAAAAGTATATAGCCCTAATTAAGGAGAAAGTATGCTAAAATCTTAAGCATAAGAGTTAACAAATTTTAAAGTTACCACATGGATTATCGCTTTTGATGGTCTTGCAAAACTCCCAAAAATCAAAGAAATCTTGAGGAAGGTCAACTTTGAGTGCTTCTTTCAGTTTGTCTTTGACATCTGAGACGTTTGTCTCCTCTTTGTCTGGAAAAAAAATAAAGCTTCATCTCGTCAGTTAAGATCTAATCCTAACGCTTTAGAATAAGGTTGATGAGGTCACTCACCGATGTAAATTGTGGAAATACAATTTTCAAGCTGATTACCTTTCGCAGGGCGCTTGCTAAATGTCACCTACTTAACAGTATCGTATAAACAGCTGCAATTGCATCGAGTTTGATTAGATTTCTTTCTCTCGGAAAGATTTGAAAGAGTATAAATTTGAAGGATAACTTTTAAAGATGGTGGAAAGTTTCGAAAAGTTAAAAACATCAGACTTCAATTCAAATTCTATTAACTGCAATTTAATTAAGCCTGCCTTGTAACTTTTATACTTCGAGCATTTCATTTCCATAATATTTGATCTCGAAACAAATAATTTAGGCATTGCTATAATAAATCATTTTACTTGTTGCCTTAGCCGACTGCTCTTGTTCTTCAATCTTCTTGTCCCGATCAAAGATTCTCTTCTCGGTTTTCCTTCGCTTTTTGGCCGGAGAGCGAGCTTCGTCCGCCATGTTGAAACACAGCAGCAAGTTGGCGGGAACTTGGCGCCAAGATGCTCGTTCCCAGGAATGTTTACTTAGCATTAGCGTTTACCCAGTCCACTGGAGTGTCTGCCTGCGTAATGAGCATGCTAACACTTGTCGGGTAGAAGTTGTTTTCTTGATCTGACGCCAAATTTTCGTAACTAATTTAAAAGAAAACGTGTAACAGCTAGAGGGGAGAATTAACACTCCCAAGACCAAGTTGCATAGAGACGGAATAACACTATCCAACGAATAAATCGCTCTCCAACAAATAAGTGATAACCAAGAGTACTGCGCTATCCACTGGATAGAGTTATCTTGTGGTTGACGCTATCAAACCTCCAAACATCCGGGGACAGATCTTAGGAGTCAAAGGGTTAATATGTAGATATACTAAAGAAAACAAAGCCAAAAAAAGGGAGAACGTCTACAACTGGTGTACTTCGCCAGAAGAATGAAACATTTGTTGCCCTAATGATTCGACTAAGCGCTCTCCTTCCACAAAGCACCCCCTCTCCAATAAGCGCCCCTCATCGAATCTGATTTTTGTTAATAGGCGCCCCTATTCTAAAAAGCGTCCGTGTTGAGTTAGCACTCTCATTATAATAAGCACCTCTTATTCTAATAAACACCCCTATTCTGTTTCGGTGCTGGCACTGCTAGAGTACATGTAAATTGAGATCAACCGTAGTTCATCTTCCTGTTATTTTTCACCTAAAGCCCTACTTCAAAAACAGTGGTCTCAGTCTCTCGGTTTTTATAGCCACGTATATGCACAGTTCCTTCAAACGAATAACATTGTCTTAAAAGCTGTGTGAAGATTGTTTAGCGGGTCGATCTGGCCAGGTAGGATACTAGTACAACAACTCAGTTTTCCAGTCCAATTGATTCTTTTCAAATAAACATCAAAGCTTTGTTTCGCACATTCTGCTCACATTCAGCGCCCCGTTTCGTTAATTAGGAACCAAACGTTGATAACCTCCCTAGGCGCTAAATCAAATCATTACGGTAAGTCTTAGCCCGGGTAAAAAAAACTTCATTTACAATTAACTTGTTTGATCAGTTTAATAAAGAGGTGACTGATTAATACCAAACATGAAAAAAAAAAAAAAAAAAAAAAAAAAACCACAAAAACACAAAAACACAAAAACAACTAGAAACACATCAATTTTCCTCCACTTTATTGACACCAATATAACAACAACGCTTTACTACCCAGTAACTAATAAACTGCACATATAACCCTCACCTTACCAACTTAGCACTTATAACTCAACCAATGTAAAAACTTAATCAATAAAAAATAAATTAGCATAACTCTTCCTTTGAAATTAATGGTGCCAGCACCAAAGATACACATGCCAGCATGTGCAAATCAACTGGGAAAAACACAGAGCAAAGATAGGATTGTTACAACAATTGCCTGTTACAACAATTGCCTGAAGTGAAATAACTTTAGTTTGAAGGAAAAGAAAATAATGGCAAAACCAGTACAACAGTCAGTTGTTCAAAAGGTAAGAAATAATTTCCTGGATTGTGAACTATCAGTTACAAGACACTGTCCAGCTCTTGAACAACCATGACCAACTGTGCAAGAAACACAAAAATCTAGCCAAAACATAAAATCGAACATATTTTCAGTTGAGTTCAATAAACTATGACAAGAGTAATCGCAACAGTCACTAAAACCAAAGGTAAACATCACAAGAGCTGATAAGAGGTCAAAGCAAACACAAGCAAACCGACTAAAAGAAAGAAAACTGCAAGTGACCAAGTTGCAAATGGCTTCCTAGATTGGTGGGAGGGTGGCAAACATTTTTTAAACCAATCAAAGAGTGAGGCAAAGCAAAACCATTGCAATTCCAAATTACCAGTGAAACTCAACTTAAAATTGCTCAAGAGGAAATACCTCAAACTTGGAACTCCAAGGCAATAGAAACAACAGATTGCATAAATAAATACGTAAAGCTTCTATTGTGTGCAAAGAATTTGGATTCTCTAACCTATTGGCGTTAAGATAAACATTAATATTATACAAACTCCTTCTACAGGGCCATTACAGCTCAACCCTCACATGACTTAAAACTTTAAACAATATCACTTAAAAATATCTCTAAATTCATTCTTAATAGAGGCTGAAAATTAATTTATATTCCTCACAAGCAATAGTTGGATCATTGATCACTTACATACTGATATAAGCTATGATAACCCTAGTACTACCTCCTGTGATATTGTCCTCTCTATTGGAAAAAGCAGGAATCCATATTCAAGACAGTTTTCTGGGCTTTACTAGTTATTTACATAAAATAGCTAAAATCTCTTCAAACAAGGCAATGAGCTGTACCAGGGCTACCCAATATTTTTTGGGTAGTCACATTTTAATTGGTAAATCAATGAGATCAAGTTGTTCTGTTATTGGCAGTAGAAATATGGTCAATTTCTTCTCCTTTGCTTTGCGTGACCTGAAGATTTAAAAGCTCTTCCCCTCTAACCTGGTTGACCTACAAGGCAGAAAAGGAATGCACGACAAGAGATCCTGCAAGAGATCCTGCAATAACTCCTCTCTGTCTCTCTTCAAAACTCAAGGATAAATCATTGGATAAAAAATAGGAATTGGTTATAACTTATGGACATCTATGTAAATACATGAATAAAGAACTTTTTTTAATTTGTCTTTCATATAAAAATAAAGTCATTTAGACTGAGACTGCATGATCAACCAGGAATTAAAATTAAACTTATAAGTTAACTACAGGATTGTATGGATCCTGAGTTAACTTAGCAGTTCATCAGAAAACTAAAGACTTTCAATTATTATTGATAAATTTATCATAAATTTGCAATTTACAACAGTGTATATTACAGATTACAAATTATCTTATGAAATATACAATTCTAGAATTATATCAGGAAGGTGAAACATTCTGGAGTCATCAGTCAGGTCGTAAAATTTGCTCCTTTGGTAAGAACTCGACCAGCAGTACCTAGGGTGTAAATATGAAATTGTCATATTCATCTTCAAAGAAAGATAAGAAAGAAATAAAGTACCAAAAGGAACCAACACACACAAAGAGTTTGGTCACCTTTTGGTGGAGAATCTTCCTGACAGACTTGAAGGACAACAACAAAAAAATAAACAACTGCATAAACCCACTGGTACTGATGATGCTAGTCAAAGATTTAAAATCATGTTCATAGCAAGAAATAGAAACAATTGCCCAATGCAAACACTCACATATTCCATCATGTTACTGGAATTGCATCGCTGTTTATTTAATCGCCAGTGAAGCCCAAGCTGTGGAGGAAATAAATTCTGACTATCAGTGGGATTTATTCACTCAGAATTAGGAAAACACCTACTTCATTTGGTATAAATGTAAATACTATCCACATTACCACCTAACATAATCTATTTTTCATTCAACCATTGCTTTTCATGAGACATCTACATAAAAATTAATCAGTCTCGGAAAGTGTTTGCAAAACATAGGAGATTTTTACAACTTTTCAAAAATAAAAAGCCTGATCTGAAATACAGAAACTTCAAAACTCCCTTGAAAGACATACCTTATGATACAAGTGATTATTTTCAGCATCTAACACCTTATTTATTGAATGTCTTGTCTGCAACAAAGAAAAGATTGATCAAGTATCAATGAGAGCAGAAGTCACTTCAAATCACTGGAATTACTTGTAACAACAAATACATATTTAACTTAATAACAGAGTATCAGTCAATTATGTATACTACATGTAATACAATTTTCCAAGTGCTGGTAATTCTGAAGGGGATTCTTGTTGGGTGTCAGGGAAAGACTTTTTTATGGCCTGAATAGATGTCATAATCTGAGTTCTGAGTGGCAATTATTATCATATTCATATTATGGGTCAAGTTTATGGAAACTGTTTCATTGATTTTGCCACAGTGTGATTGACGGTTGGACTCACAAAAGACTCCTTACTTGAGATTGGTCACTTTTGATCATGTAATAAATGAGGTAAATCTTATTTCATGTTTAAGCCTTGAATGAGTCATTTCTGAGAAGCCAGTAGTTAAGGGTTCAGACTTTTTGAATCCCTTATCCTGGTGCTATTAGCATGTTCATCCCAATCCTGCCTGGCTGAAAAGTTGTTGCTGCTGCTAAGTTCTTAATACTCAGTCTCATAATTACATTCATACCTACATACATACTTGATTGAAACTCCCTTCAACTGGGTTTTTCAATCACAATGTTAACTATTACCATACACTGGTAATTAAGAAAGCTTATTTACAGTAATTTAATTAAAATAAAAATATATTCAAAGTTATTCAAAATATATTCAAAATTATTTTGTACAAAACATATTATTAAAAAGTATCTTCATAAAACTATTAATTTCTTTAGTGTTCTTAATATTGTTGGCTAGCCCATTCCATTCCCTTGGACCCCAAAAGTAAAATGCCCTTTGTCCCATTGACAATCTACATTAGGGGACCACAAAATTGCTACATACCCTTGTGTTATTGTTGTGAACTGCTGAACCTTTATCAAAATATTTACCTAAATAATCTAGAGCTAGGCCATTTATACATTTGAATGCTGAAACTAAGTCATTAAATATAACCTTTTCCGTCACATCTAACCATCTAAAGGCCTGTTTACACGGTACGACTTTGTCGCATGCGACAAGCTTACGACAGGCCTACAACACAAATTGTATCATGTAAATCAAACCTACCACTCGCTTAAGACTGTCATGCACATCACAAAAAATGTCGTGGGATTTTAAAACATGTTTTAAAACGCTGCGACAATCGTAGCCGAAATTGATAGAAAATGACGTATTTTGTGACAAATTTCTACTGAGTAGGGGAGGAAGGTGAAATTTTCTTGCATCAAAATGGTGGAGGAAGTCGCCTCCGGAAAGTTGAAGACTGCTTCCAAAGCGAAAAATACATTCTCAGATGAGGAAACAGAGAATATGATATCACTGTGGAGCGAGGAAGATATTTTTTTCCTTCTCTTGCAAATTATTGAAACAATGACCGCAGCCGAAACGAGTGGAATTGCACGCGATTTTGGCATGTCGTAGGTGAAAATGTCGTGTGCATGTAAATTGTCCTAAGTCATGTTGTAGGCCTGTCATAAGCTTGTCGCATGCGACAAAGTCGTACCGTGTAAATAGGCCTTAAGAGATCTCTGTCCCTTAGAGATACAGTTAAACTTCCTTAAACCTAATATAGCTCTGGCACCAAAATTTTGTACCAACTGCAGTTTGTGTGGATTAGATTAAGCAACATGGTTATCTTTTAGTTAGGACCTTCAACTACATGTTCTGAAGTTTACTTCTTCTGGATCCACTTACTCTTTTATTGAGACAAACCACAGGCCACATGGACATTCCCAAGGTACAGCAGCAGCATATGCATCCACAGAGTAACCAGCGGACATTGACAGGCATTGTCTTACTAAGCACTCTATTAACTCTTGTGACTGTTGCTTTGTACTCTTCTGGGGCTACCTGCATGTAAGACATGTAAGACAAACATTGGATTATGTTGGTAAAAGCCTCAGGGTTTTATTTTTCTTTTTCTTTTTCAAGTACCCCTACTGCTATGACCAGCCACTTCCAGGGAAAGAAGTTCAATGTTCTCAGTATCACATACAAATCAAATGTTCTTACTCACATTAATATGAAGCTGAATGAAACACACATTGATTGGCTGTTACTTATTACTTATTTGGTAGGAACAGATTGCAGGTTGATAAGGGTCTGTTAAGTAATAGATCACAGAGGACATCAAAATTTTGTAACAACATCACTGACACACTCAGCTGCATCTCATGTGCGACTCTTTTTTTTCAGTTGATTTTGCCACAGTGTGATTGAAAGTTGGACTCACATTAACCACTCCTTACTTGAGATTGATCACTTGTGATCATGCAATAAATTAAATAAATCTTATTTCAAGTTAAAGCCTTGAATGAGTCATTTGAAAGGTGCCAGTAGACAAAGAAACAATTCTGAGTCCCTGTGAGGAATTGAACCTCAGGCCTTTGGATTCTGGACTCCAATGCTCATTGCTGATCCCAGCCGTATGCAGGATGTGTGTCATATGAACTTTGTAATAGACCTCATTCACCATAGAGTCTCTGTGGCTCAGTGGTAGAGCATCGGAGCAAGGTCTGAGGTGCAATTCCTCATGGGGACTCAGAATTTTTTCTTTGTCCCACGCTCATCACAAGACAAAAACCATCTTTCTCTATTTCTTTACAAAGCATCTCTCTCATTCTATTTACAAACATGATGCTATATACATAATTGATCCTAATGGTATGCAGGACGTGTGTCATATGAACTCGTTTACCATAGAGTCTCTATGGCTCAGTGGTAGAGCATCAGAGCACAGAATCTGAAGGTCTAAGGCATTTAACACGTATTCACCATTTCACAAAACCATAAACTTGTATTAATAAGTAACAGACATTTGCTGTGTACTTGTCATATTTTCATGACTGAAAATGTGTGAGTTAAAAAGTTTCTTGGCAACCTTTAAACTGCATTAAATATGCGAACATTGAAAAAATTTATCATAAATTGATCTAAAGCAATGATCCACTTCCAACAAGGTAAAATAGATGTTTTCAACAATATATGAATATATGCTACTTTATGGTTAAGTCCTTTGTCCTTAAGAGTTAACAACACCACTAATCACCGCAAAATTTAGTAAACATTATCATAGCAAACAACAGTGTTCCTTGATAGGTTTTATTTAATTGCACAGATGAACCTTTCATGCCCAATTGAGAGGAAACGAGAGAGAAATGGGTTTTATATCCTCGGTCAAATCATAAATAGCAAGGTGATTACATCCAAGACTTGAGCTACAAAAGCCAGATGGAGGAGATAAATTCCTGCGAGTGTTGTTCATTGATTGACCCCATTATGAGAAAAAACTCAAAGTACAGCAAAGCGAAATATCCACTCAGCACGTTATTCTCATCTGCGATGGCGTTCTTTGTACACGTTGATAGAGCGCGAGAAAAGCAGAAGAAACAGTCATCTTGGTTGCTGCTTTAAATGAAGGAAGATCACGACTCCAGTCGCCACAATTACTCAGACAAACGGTAAACGGCGATAAAGTAAAACACACACGCAACAATGGAAGCACACGTACGATTGTTCGAATTATTACAATTATTTTTAAGATTATTAGAGGAGCAAAAGTCGTAAAACTTGGTATATCAGAAATTTATGTAGCCAGCAGTGATATAAAAACCATAACTAGATGAAATAGTCACCGGAAAGGATATTAACGTTGTTATTAAAGACCCCCATAAAACGACTGAGTGCGCGTGATTCAATCCAGCCACTCTACCGAAACAACCACCTCACCTTGGCACTAAGGGCTTGTTGAAATTCCACATCAAACTTGCTATTGAGCCCGAACCTAAAAGAACAGAAGGAAAAGGTAATGATTTCCTTGTATAACAAATGTTACTAGTTTTTTAGGAGACTGCCAGGCATCTTCTCAATGGCAGAACTTCGAACTCTGGACGGCACGTAAAATTAACCGTAAACAAAGCTTACACTGTCATGTGTCCTACTCCGCGAATAACAACCGGCTCTAGTGTCACCTGGACATTTTCGTCAGAAACACGCGAACTTTGTTCATCCTCTTGAAGATTCTCGTCAAAGATAGCGTCAAAGTTCGCCATTCACTGCGATGTTTTTCCGCGAAAAAAAGCTACCGCTTGGAAAAAGAAAATCGGAAGTGAAGGGATATTTACTACAGCCTGCAAAGAGCGCTGGGATTGAAAGACGAGGTAAGCTGGGTAACAGTTCGGTCACAGAGTTCTGATAAATTCTTTACTCGTAATCTCTTGGGCTAAATAATTTCCCTGGGTTTCTGTCGTATGTTATTATATATAATTTCTATCCTTGGTAACTCAAACTTCCACAACCTTGAATCGGCTTTTTTCTTCATTTAGCTTCCGTTTATTTTTTTCCTTTCCCGTCAATTCATTATTTCCGGTAATTTAGTGACCTTTTTTAATGTCCCTTCAAGTTCGAGTGAACGGGAATCAACTTCATTTAACGAATAGTTTTCCTTCAAAAACACTTTCCTCCTAAACATGTGTTGGTTAAATACTGAAATCACTTTGCATAGCAAAAACTACAGAAAAAAGTTGTCCATAGAAAGCCACGGGCGAAAATGTCAGAGAAGGGTTAATTCTTCGCCATTATTATGAGTGGTGACGCTATTAGATGTTACGAAACCGCTTTTGACACGATGCAGAAAATCAAAACTGTTTGCGTATCCGAAACCATTTATTTGCTCGCATGGCTATGGCAGAGTCAAACGGGCCGTCCAAATACTGAGAAAAATAATGGGTGTTTTGAGAAAAATAATGGGTGTTTTGAGAAAAATAATGGGTGTTTTGAGAAAAATAATGGGTGTTTTGAGAAAAATAATGGGTGTTTTGGCGGCGACTGAGTGAACATTCGTAGAGTAAAGATGTTCAAAATGTAGTTGAACCCCTCTTCTGGAACAGTTAAATACCGGCGGTAACTTCATCCACTCACGGGGCAAAAACTGACTCAAAAAATTGTCATTTTGGCTTTTGTCACAATATGTTACCTTCATCAAAGGGGCAGTTTTAATTCACGGCATTCCTTCCTAGTTGTAGACTGAGAGTCGATTCAGAAGAATTTTCATTACCCGACAGCTGATCTTCAGCTCAAGAAAATTTTAAAATGAGAGAGAGTAAAGGTCTGGCAGGGAGTCTGGCAGTTCGATAACGCTAACCAATCAGGCTATTGGGCGGCTCTACACCATCTGTTAAGAATAAAATTTTGCAACCAACTCAACAAATAATTAATTACTTTTTAATGTATTTTCTTTTACAAACTTAATAGATCACTTTTCTATCAACGTGACGCTGTATTTTCGTTCAACGCTTGTGAACAAAAAAGAGTTTGTAATTGGTAGTGACGTTTGTCTGACCATTGTAAGTTGAAAGAAAATATTGGTTCTGTTTAAGAGAAAAGAATTAATTTTATTCTCTTGATTATGTTATAATTATCCTAACGGAAGATTTCATAAGCAATAATGAGGGTTACGGTCGAGGAAAATAACTACAAGATTCGAGAGAAAATATAAGAGAATTCGCCATAAATTTTGTGATCTGAGAAAATAAAATCATATGGAACCTGACAAGTTTCTAGCCCAAAATATATATGGTATATCCGAAATAAAATAATCAAATTTGTTTAGTTATTTACAAGAAAAATAAATTCGAAACCAATTCAGATCTTTCCGCCAATAGTTATTAATTAGTTATCTCAAAGAATAATGCTTCGACAAAATTAACTCTTTTTCAATTTCACTGAAGTTAATTCTCAAAATCAATTCAATCCTAAGCCACTCACGGCTAAACTATTCGAAAAACTTGTCGCACGATGGCCAGTGAGGCAAATGTACAACCGTAGTGATAGACATTTTGCGAAATGGTTTCCTAATCTGATATTGACGGAATTTCATCAATGAACAACTTTTTTTTCCGAGGACGTGTAGACGATGCCTTACAGTCTGTACAAACTCCCAATTAATATTTGTTCCTTTAAATTTCAAATTATGATAGCGACCAGGAAACAATTATAGAGATCGAAAGAATCAGAAAACTTTGCGTGTCATTCTCAAGCATTTAAGCAAGATCTAACAATTTTGGATGTGGTATGAAGAAAATAATTGCACTTTGTCAGCTTTTCGTCTCCACCTAATGTACCACAGAGGGATTAGAGTCGTGGTTACAATCGGAATAAAGGCGCACACGACTCCAACAATGTTTGGGACCGCAGACGAGTACGTGACAAAACTCTCAATCACGTATGGAGACCACGTGATCAGGAAAGTGCAAATGGCGAGCTGCAGGCGACTATGAGCCTTATCTTCGTCGCTTTCCTCGTTTTCTCCGCTCTCTAACTTGACTAGCTTCGCCTTTTCGCTCGAATTCTTGTCGTCTTCGGAGTCATTTCCGAAGAAGTTGTAGATCAAAAGAGAGACTGGGATGAGGAAGATGCAAGATGTAATGAGAGTGAAGCCTAACCCGGAAGGCGGCCAATCGACCTCGCAAAAGGCCTTTCTACTGATGAAAACATACTTGCTCCACAACAAGGAGAGCGAGTATGAAAGTGTTGTGTGTGCAATGATGTAACCGAGTGGTAGAGAGCGAGAGGAATTTCCCTGGGATTTCTGTGACTCGGTCAATCGGAAATATTGTTCAGTCGTAATGGTAACCAATGTCGAAATCGCCACGATAATGTATATGACATTGGTGAGACCATAACTCCGGCACCAGTGTTCCTCGAAATACCACCTTCCGGTCGTGCTCACGGAGATCAAGAGAGGCAAATCTTTGATCGAGACCAAAACGTCTACCGCAGCCAGATTCGCCACGATCAGTGCTGTACATGAAGTGCGAAGACACCTCTTGCGGTAGATGTAGTAACAGACGAAAATATTTATTCCAATAGTCATGAGACAGTAAACTGCTATCACGGACGCGACGGGAGAATATGAAGTGATTTCCATGCTAAATCCAATTTCACCACCATAACCCATTTTCTTATGAAGCAATCTGTTCGGTAAACCTCAAGTTGTGCGAATTATTTCTCTCCGGCGAGCTACGGAGCAGCTGTTGTGACCAGTTCACTGCCGTAGTGTTGCGTACTTTCCGCAGATTAAGGCCAATTTAGTGGCTGCTGTCTCTGCGTAAACAATGTTACAGTCTTTTCAAATCATCCAGGAAAAGACACAGGTTTGAAAATTGGTGCCTCACAAGAAATCTGCTTTCGAGTACGAGATCCGCTTAAGCTTCGTAGAAATGGCTTGACCAAAAGACAAAAATGGCTATTTGGCATTAATTTGCTCCCAACAAAGAGTCTTTTTGACAGAAATATTACAAAAGACTTTTTTATCACTAAGGGACCTGTTTCTGAGCAAAAAGTAATGTTAAATTTATGACCAAATTTCCTCTATAGTCCACCTGTTAAGGTGTTGTGAATTCTGCCTTCTTATTGGCTGGCAGGTGGTTCACTTTCTTTTCCTAGTTGTGATTGGCCAGAAATACAGGGGATTTCATGTTTCGCGGGAAAACAGCATATTTGCTCGGAGCATGGCCGTTGCTGTGGGACTATGAATAACTCGATTAATGATCTTGTTTTGAAATCTAGATCTGATATTGTTAGCTTTATAGAAGCCTGCTTTTGCCCTCTCTTTTGATTGAGCCTCTGTGCGACTTGTCTTTTAGAAGTCTTTTATTTGCGTTAAAAGTAGCTTTGCAGCGCCTTTTGGTGTATCCTCGCTTGAATGAACAGCTAACAACTGAGCAACGGCGAGACAATGCCCTGAACAATAAACAAACTGAGGAAACATGTGTGAGCCTTAGCAAAGCACGTGTTTTTTTGATGTGACAATTATTCATAAGCCGAGACATTTAAATCTTTTGTCTTTGAATTTAACCGGCACTGCGTTAAATAATAAAAGCTAAAAGCCTGGAGAAAAGCTCTCTTGACGTGGTTCTAAGGTTATTTAATAAAGGAATACGCTCGAGAAATATGAAATTGTCTAAATACCTCACGTGGCCGAACGACAGGATTTCAAGTTTTCTGTTCCGATTCATTGGTTCCAGCTGATACTCCGCTTCAAAGAATGGAAATGTCACGGTCGCTGATTTAAAAATCGTAACAGAGCTCAGGGGACAGGTATATTGCTGGTGGCTCTCGATTTTGTTTTCATTCTTCTGATGTTTTAATCTTGAGTTTAAAAATGAAAGCACGTGTCATTAAAATCGTTTTCCAATTTATTACAAGTAAATTTTTATTCTACACGCGATAATTTTTATATGAAAGGTGTACCAATTGAATAAATTGAAAGGTTTGTAAATGTACTATTCCCAATTTACACTAACATCGAAACTTTTCCAGATCATTAAGCGAATCAATCGGCAGCCGTTACATACGGAAAACTTTGTGATATCACTGTTTACCAAAGTAGAGGATCATTTCTTATCTAGGGAAACAAAAGTATTTGGGAGAAGCGAATAAGGATGAAAGCTTTGGAGCAACAAGGACAACGCAAAAAATCATTTCTTTAATTCTCACTTGACAGCCTCTATATTTCGGGCATCCGGTTCCGTTACCAGAAATAAACAAATGATTGCGTCACCAGTTTTATCTAGTTCGATTTTTTCAATGCGGATCGCAAAAACGACCCAGAGAATAATGTTCCGGTCAGTTGTGATTAGATGCTCTTTTTCGGGAGCGCTTTCCAAACTATCGTTTCTTTTCAACACAAAGGCCTTACCCTCTCGACCCTTCCATGTATCAAATGGATGTCAATGATGCGCCCGCGATATTATCAGTTACCTCATAGGATCGTGAAGAATCATGGGTAATTCCATTCCCTTGGAAACGTAAATATCTTTGCTTGCGCCCGAGAACAGACTGAAGCAGATATATTGCGAGTTTAAGGGGATTTTACACAATTATGAGCGGGTTACCCCGTGAAATATTGAAATGGATACAAAGCTTGGACCTCTCACATCCCGTAAGAAATACTAGAAGGTAAAACTGAGTGTTTTTAACGTGAAAATAGAGTTTTATTAAGGCCATCTTCAAATTGATCATTTGTTGTCCATTTGATTCGTTCTAACATCGAATCATTTATCTTTTTTAAATTAACAGAGATTTCTCAAATGGGTATCTCGTGGCAGAGATTTTCTCTTGGTATTTTCCACAAGAAATTGAGATGCACTCCTACGATAATGGCACATCCCTGCCTTGTAGACAAGGGAATTGGTCTCAACTACAAAGGGTAAGCGTCTTTGGTTCGCTAGTTCATTTTCTCTTTCGTAAAATCACCGGTATCAAAGGGACTAGTCTCGATTAAGTTAAGCTTACTAAAACGATGTGGAATGACCACTTTGAATTCTATGAATTAAGTCGGAACTAGTGGGTTTGTGGTTTAGAATTGGGAAAACATGGTGTTTTGCATGTTTTTAATGGAAAGCACCAGACCCACCCTCTAATATTTAATCCTTTACCTCCAAACTGTTGGACTGCGATGAATTTCCTTTTAAAGCAACCGAGTTTGGTATTTTATCAGGATAACACACTGTAGCTCCAGCTGATCTGTTTGTGTGTTCTCGTAACCTGTTTATCTGCTAAATTTTGCATTATTACTGTTCACCTCATAAGGAGAACTTACTGGTAAATCAGTTTTAAAGTTAAAATGTATACAACAGGATGTTCATTTGTTTTCAGAGATCAGAGAATTATTTAGCCAGCAATATAATGTTTAACTCATTAGTCCCATGAATAGGAAAAAGTTCTACAGAAGAAAACATTTAACATGAAATACATGTTTTCTTCGCTTTCACTGATTTCAAGATGTACTCTGAAATCTTGATGATGATAGATACAAGTGTGTATGAGAAAATATTTTGTCTTAGAACAGATTTAACCAAAGGATAAAGTATAAACCTACTAAAATCACTTGTAAGCCAGAATGCCCCAACACAGGGTCTTTCAATCAGGAATATGGTTTTTCATATAACAGGAGGGGTATAAATCTAGTCGTTTTTTATGAATTTTTGGTATTTGGTAAGGGCACAAGTTAAGAACTAGAGGCAATAAAATATATCAGTAACTGATGGGAAAAAATTGGTTATATCATTAATACACCACCCTCTGGCTGAGCTTTAAAACACTCTCTGCATCTGAATAAAAGATAAGCTCAGGCTGGGGAAATTTAGTCAGAATTCTCTAATCTCCATGGGCTAATGAACACTGTGGTTGTTATAGAGACTAAATGAATTGTTATTGATTTCGTTGTTTTCTTTTCTTTGTTTTTTTAGTTTTTTCAACGTCATGAATTTGACATTCCTAAAGAAGTAATAGAGGGCACAATTCATTGCAAGCCAAATGCTGCAGCTTTGTTAATGGAGAAGATATACTTCCTGTTGACAAACAGAAAGTAAGTCAGGCTCTTCTTTCTTTTGTCTTTTCATCAAAATTGTTTTGGTTTTTCCTAAAATTTTTTTGTCAAGACAGGTAGGTTGAAAATCACAACAAAATTACATGTAATTGCAAAATATCCCATTCTACATTTAGTAGGAGTATTACTAACAGTATATTAAATATTACTGTAGTAGAGCTTGTAAATGCAGAATGATAGAGGCTGTTATGGCAAATTTAAGTGTTAATAGAGAAGATATACTTCCTGTTGACAAACAGAAAGTAAGTCAGGTTCTTCTTTTGTTTTGTTTTTCACCAAAATTGTTTTAATTTTTCTTAAAATTTTTTTTGTCAAGACAAGTAGGTTTAAAATCACAACAAAATTACTTGTAATTGCAAAATATCCCATTCTACATATAGCAGGTATATTGCAGTATATTAAATATACTGTGGTAGGGCCTGCAAATGCAGAATGATAGAGGATGATGTGGCAAATTTAAGTAAAAAGAAAGGCTAATTTAAATAGTAGTTTTACTCATAAGTTGATGTACATGTAAAATTGTTTTTAATTTTCTAATAAAGAATCAAGAGTGCACCAGTAGAAGATGAATATAACTTTACTGATAGCAACTACCAAGAACAGCTTCCAGCTCATGCAAGATCTACAGCTTCAATGGTAAATAGCAGAATTTTACTATCATTATAGGTCAAACTATTTTATATTATTATACACTAAACTTATAATGAAAAATCTCATTGGTCAAGAGCATTTAATCAATATACAGCATGTGAAGTTGACATGATAATTTTGCCAAATATGTGGTGGATGTTGTATTTATCATGTCAACTTCAAAGTCTCTCTTGTTTCCAAACCCCTTGTCTGTCTTGTGTTCTCACAATTTTGCAAACTTAGAGAGAGGTATCTTCTTGTGCAGATTGTTTAAAAAATGTATAATAAAACAATTATTGAATTTGATTTTTGCATGATATCATGAATTATCAAACCTCCACTCTGTCAGATAAGTCATACCTCAGTTTTAATAATTCATGATATAATTCTCAACCTTGTCTAAAAATACGTAGACATGCATGGCATGTAAGAGTTATTTTTTGGCCAGGCGGGTTGAGATACATTGTAAAATTGCTCAGTAACTGAGCAATTACCATAAGTTAGTTAGATACTATTAGATAGTTTAATAGGAATAACTGAGTCACAGCCAAAGGCTGAATTGTATAATTCTTTACAATATAAATATAGTACAGTTGAAACTAGGGCTATTTACAAAGGGTCTCTATAATATTTATGAAAGTGCTCTGTACAAATTACTGGCTACAAGTACTACAGTTTACAAAACATTGCTATTTACTCGTTGGAACATGGCCAGGATGAATGAGTTTTTGAAACGGTTATTGTGAAATTGTGGCAGATTGAAAGTTCTTTTGTTTCTCAAGCTATATCAGCCTTGATGATGGAGAGAAGTAGGTGGGCGAGACTACTGAGAAAAAAGTTTATGAATATATATCAATTTTTAATTATGATTTTTAAGTTAAGCTTAAGCAGAAGTATCATAAATGTATTGTAATTTTGTGATTTTTATTTTATAGGCCATCAAAAATAATATTGCAAATACAGAGTTGTCAACTGATCCAGATCGTATTCTCTGTCAACAAAAGGTGAGAATGTTATATCTTCATGAGACACTTCTCAATGAAACACATGATATTTGTACCACTTACACTCTCTGTCTTTACATAGCGTCATAGATCTACATACTTGTGGGTCAAAAGAATTCTTGAAAGTTATGCAAACTGTTTACCACATTTCAGGTTTGCAGAACTGTCTCAAATTCTCTGCATAACCTTGTGTTTAAATCAGGTTACATAGACATGTAAAACTGATCTTTCTCAGTTTTATGGTTTTCTGGTGTTGGACAATTATAAAAAAGATCTGATGTGATTTTCAGCCAGTGCATATTTCACTCATCACTTAAGCTTTTAGATTTTACTTATGTTTGTCGAGCTATTAAAAGAAAGTTATTACTAGTATGTGAAATTTGCAGCAAAAGTGTTTGAATATAAATAGATGTCATACACAGTTGCATTATTGAGGGCCATGTTTATTTAATATTTATTTGTTTATCATTATCATTTTTTGAAGGCCCAAGCTATAATTAATGATCACTTGGAGCATAGAAGACAGGAAAGAGTTGAAGATCCCCGTGAGTACAAATCCAGAAGAAAAATCAATGAAAGAATTAATAATAATCATGATCCTGCTATACTTTGATGTGTTTTGAAAGCTGGACAAAGCTAAATGAATTGATATACTTTTAGCTTTGATTCTGTAACTAGATATAAAATGTGAGTTATTGATGGTTCATGCCATTCTTCATTTAGAAAAATTTTGCCTGAGGCCTCTTCATTGTTTTCAGATTTCTCAAGAAAATGCTTTTCTGTAAAAAATTTAAATTAATAAATTAATGAAAACAATGTAAAATACAAACACTGGTTATAAATGCTAATCCCCATCCTATGAAATTGGAATCTTTGCCTTTCAACACATATCAGTGCTTACCAGAGCTGCAATAAAATAATTTTTTGTGAATATTTGAATCAGCAAATTCATTCGTAAGTCATGCCATTTTACTAATTGCTTGTTTGTCTAAATTACAGGTCGTTTTGGTATTCGCCCAACACTTGGTCAGCGGTGTCCCAGGAAAGTTCCCCCATCAAACTACAATGAATCGCTACAAAGACCCCAAAGGCATACAAAAGGACACAAAATAGGTGAGAGGATTGATCCATCTTGTTTGAAACAGTATAGAAAGCTACAGGTCTTACAGTTTCAGGGTTGTGGTTGCTAGTCAAGCCAGGAGGCAGTGAAAACCGAGAGATGTCAGACCAGTTTGCACCAGCCCACTAAGTGACTTGTGCTCTTGAGGACAGAAAAAAAGTATTTTTGAAATTATTCTAAAACCACTGTCAGGTTAAAAAAAGTTACTCAAAATCATTTCCCAGAGTGCTTAAAATCATGTCACAATTTCAAATTTCAAATTTCTCCAGGGAAGAATGCCCTTGGGGCATACCCCCCCTTCCTTCCTCTTCTTCCCCTCCCCCCCCCCCTTTTGTAAGGGCATGGTGGTTGACAATTGAAAAACTAACACCACTGTTAATCACACAAAAATGTGCTCTGCTAGAGTAATTAACTATCCAGTCAGTGATCAAAAAGTTTATATTTGATTAGTGGAATTGTTTTCACCACAATAGTGTTTAATTTACCCTAAATCCTGTGGTCATTTCCCTTTCAGAGGGCAATCCTGATGAAAATCAACCAGCAAAATACACAGAAATACAAGTAAACCAAGTGACAGGCACAAGTGAAGGATTTCTCCCTCCAATACAAACTACTGGAATGTACTCAATGGTGCACTGAGGATGGCAATCATGAAAACAGAAAAAATTTATCAGAAATCCTGGCCTATAAATATTATTTGATGAGACAGTCCCATCATTAACAAGCTTTTAATAGCCTATTCATTCAATTTTCAGTAACACACATGTTAAAAGTTGTTTCTCTTTAGGTTCTTCAACCCTTTCTCCGCTAAGATCTAAATATCTCCGACATACACTTCATAATTCAGCTCTGACGATTAGTGTAATACTTTCCTTTCTTCTTGTTACCTTTCTGCTTGACAATGTAGTGCTACTTAAAGAAAAAAGTAGTCATTCACAACATTGTTTTGGAGAAAAAGATTGGTTCTTGATGTCACAGATGAAGTCCTTTGATAACTCCAGCGTTGCTTAGTAAATTTTGATACCTGATTTACCTTTCAATCAAATGCATTCCAATGCTCAATTTGTTCAACAAAACATTAGATAAAGATTAAGAGTGGCATTCGTTTTTCTAATTTTCAATTTCATTGTGTCAAGGCAAATTTTTATGTAGATATTTGATATGTTGTGTTGTAAATAAATAAACCTTGCTATGTTTAAGTGTTCAAACTTGACTTATGCTTAGTGTGGGGCAAGCAGTCCTCATGTTTACGTGTCAGTAATCGTCAGTTTGAAATTGTGTGCTACAGGATATTTGTCAAGACAAAAATTAAGACAATCTTTACTCTCATTTTATTGATATTCAAAGGAATATACACTGAAGCTGAGTTATACCAAAGATAAAAATCCTTACATTTTTTTTTGTACAAAAATAACCAAAAAAATAATAATGGCTGACATATATCTATATTTCTGTCTTAAAAAAAAAACAAATACTTATGAATAACTCATTATCAATTTAAAGCTCTGTAAATCTGTATGCCATCATGACTAGTGTTAACCAATCCTAGATAATTATATTGAACTAACCATAAGAGACTTTGGGATGCCTTCTCTTTGTGTAATTTTTCCTGGCTGTTCTACTGTTGGTCATATCCCATACAAACCCTAAAGCTTTAACATGACACTAGGGACCAGATTCATGATTTGACGTCAGTTTGCATTGACTATAGTTACCAAATCACTAACTCCTTATTGACCACTTCAAAGTTCAATTATGTAAAAAATTAGTTGTCCTTTATGAGAAAAAAAGAACAAACTAGAAAGTTGGTTAACGTTTACACGTAGAAAACATTGTTAATTGTAATCAAAGCGTAATGGCAACATTTTCAAAACGATACAAAAATACATTCTTTATCGCAATACAAAGTAAAATGATGACATGACTAAGAGGTCTTAACAGCAAACCCTGCTCTCATGATCATGACTGTAAGTGCTACTTCTGTTAAATTTGGCAAGTCTACAAACAGGATGAAGAGTACGAAATTTTGAACAATGTTTACCACGAGTGAAGATTACTGTTACAAACGTCTATATCAGAAAGTTGGTTTACTAGGGAATGAAAGTTTCAAATGTTTTCAAACTTACCCGGGTTATAACGTTTACGCGAAAAAAAATGAATGAAAAAACGAAATTCTTTATCAGATACAAGCACGAACAGTCAAGATCTGCGTGGAACGCGTTTGACGCGACTTTGGCGTGGATCACTTTAAAACTTGCAAGGCTTAAGTTGCACGTGACCACGCGAAGCTTGCGTGGATCCTAACTACTGACACGGGTTTGCTTGGTTTCGCGTGATTAACGCTCCATTCCGCGTTCTCCTCGAGTTTCACGCTCCCCTATGACAAGCATATTGCTTGTTCCCCAATTTCCTTCGAAACAATCTAGGAATGCAACGCGTACAAAATTTCAATTCTAATTTTAACCTCTTACGAGTTTGTCAAACTCGTTTTTTCTGATGCATCCTAACTAATGTATGAACAGGTAGAACCCATTTCTAATAAACTTTGATATTTACTTTCAATTATTTTCATTTTCTGATCACGAATGTGTTACCATTTATTATCCTTACAAATTATTGTCACTAGCTTAAATTCTAATGGCCAATTTTTTCCTCTCTATTTCCACATGTGCACATTCGATTTTTAATTTCCATTGAAATAAAAATTCTGCATTTTATTTTCTTTCTAGGCTTCACACACAAAAAAGTTAATGGATCCTACGGCTCATGTCTTAGGGCCTCTATCTTTGGGACGTCTTAAGGACTTTTGCCGAACTCTGAGCTCGTCCACGATGTGCTTCGTGGAGCCTTGCCGTCGAAGATGTACTGACTGTTGACAGAAATTGCCAAATATCAATGATAAAAAATAATTTCAAAAAGGTAAAATAATTTCAAAAAGGTAATTTGACAAAGGGAGGACACCATACGATAAAGATATCAAATGGCTCAGTAACAAATGAATAAAAGGGGTACGTTTCTAGGGAAACTGTGGTGCTGCGTCGTTAGGAGATATAACAAGATAATTTGACTCTATAAATTCACCACCGTAAAGAGATAATAATTACAATAATAATATAATAGTAACAGTCTTTACACAGGGAGCCCACGTCACTGGAAAGTGGTATTCTGTGAGGCCCTGTAGAGGGCCTCACATACTAAAGCTTACGTTTCGAGTGTTAGCCCTTCGTCTTTTGCTGACGAAGGGCTGACGCTCGAAACGTTAGTTTTAGAAACTCTTTACAGTGGCCAATTTACATTTTCAACTCAGTTGATAGGACCAAATTATTTGGTTAAGTAACAAACCTGTCTTCCAAGGAATAAAGGCGAATCATCTCCCTGTGCGCCCTGTTTAAAGAAACAAACTTAGTAAGAATGTTTAGCGCTGGTAGAAGCAAAGAAAAGATTTCCATGTAACCCCATACAATTCTCAAACAAAGCCTCTGTCCGAAACGTAATCTATTGTTGTCGCCGTTTAGACTAGTAGTTACCTTTATCAGCAATCCCCATGCAGAATTAAGTACGGAATTATGGGGAAATTAGGTCACTTCTAAGCTTTTTTACCTCTCGAAGTTATTTGAGCTTGTTTTGTATTCTGTTATTCTGTTATTTTGTACTCAAATTATAGTTTTTTTTAAGCAATGTCCTTTGCTTTTAAAACAGCATAACGCATTTGAGAGGTTAATTTCAACAACAATTCCGGAAGATCAAAAATATTTGTAGATCTCTTTTCATATCTTGTTGTACGAAGACTGTTTTTTACCTTTGGACCCACCAAGGAGTATAACACCTCTGAGTCCTGTGTGGGATCTGACCAAATGCCTTCAGGATGCTGAAAAAAAAAAATTCGAAAAAGGCTTGCGTGAGACGGACTGCTGATTTGCTTTAGGAAACACTTTCCATGTGGTTATTGGAAACTTTCTCTTACTGTAGCTGTTGATTTATCACCTTTGGAGCAATTTTCAAATGAATGTCGAAAGTTATCCGAGACTTCTTTGGCTTTTTCCACCTTTGCACTGTGATTGGTCTAGTAAATACGTGCTAGTTATCGTTTAACCAATCAGGCACAAAACTATAAGCAGTGGAGTCTTGGTCATTCCCGCGCTTCAAGCAGTTTTCTTGTTTTCACCTTGAGTTCTCATTGGCTAATGATGATGTAACCTTGGTTCTGATTGGTTTCTGGGATTATTTTGGTATTGGTTGATTGACACTCAATTGAAAATTTCTTTAATCTGCGTCAAGGTATTCTGCTTGCCCCTGAATGCAGCTCAACGGGAGGTCTGGTTTTTAGTTGAATGTCTTCGCAATATTTCAAAGAACATGCAGCGAAGAATAAATTGATGTGGATCTCCCCTGAAACAAAGAACTATTCGCATATCTTAAAGAACTCGAACAAAAAAATTGAAACCTTGAACACGGCTCGACTCAATATATTTTGTCACTCTTCTTTCTCGCGACTAGAAATATTTATTAAGACCACAGTGTTAGAGTAAACCCAGAATTAGTTTCAACTGAATTCTTTTTGTACCTTCATGTTCAGTGTTGCAGCCAACCAACGGTTCCTATCATCCTTGTCTTTGGCACACATATACCTACAGCGAAAACATTAACAAAATCGTTTGATTCGAATTTAGCGTCTAAAGCTGTAAATGTTTGTAAATCAAATCTAAATACATCTTGCCCGCGTCGCACACACTTGGCAATAATGTAGGAAACACGCGCAAGAGAACAGAAATTTCTCACTCCGACGTGCCTGACCTAATCCATATTTTTACCTCTGAGAGTGTCTTCTCTTTCCTCCGCCCCCCCTTGTGTTCTCCTTGCTCTCTCCTCCCCTAAAGTAATCTGTTCGTTCTCTTTTCTTAACCCTCCCTTCCCCCGCTTTCTTTTCCTGCCTTCCTTTTCTCCCAAGTAACAACAGACGAAGCCATAAAGATGCTCTAGGTCTGATTAAATCTGCAATACTGGACGTTCTTGACTGTTTTCTACAAACCTGACAATGTCTTCCTGATCTGTTTTAACCACAACAGTGAACCCGCAACTAAGAAGAATAAAATGACCAAAAAATTCATGATAATCAGCCAACAGAATACAGAGCAATGCTTATGAATGCAGTTCAAGCTAATGCACGCCAATACTTTTTTATACGCGCTATCTGAACGATTCAGCGCGAAGAAGATTTGCGCAAAGATTAAGCCAAAAATGACGCTCACACAAGGTTACTTTCTCATATCCTCTACTATAGTGTAGAAGAGCTCGGCAGTTGTTGACAACTAACGCAAAAAATTATGCATATGCTATTCTAATGATCATGTCAGTGTTCTCGGGTTCAATTTAGTTTAAAAATTACTTTATAAAAAGCAGCCGTAAAAACAAATATGAATGGCCTGCTTCGCCAAACACATACCTCATTGTAACTCATTTGGTATAGAATATCAACGCGAAAATCGGAAGATCTGGGGTTTGAATTCTCCTAGGAAACTCTTTTTTATTCTTATTTTTCCTTTTTTTTGCTTTGCCTCAGGTTCGAGAAAAAGTTTTAATATTCTCTTTCAACAACTTTTGATAGGCAATGTACGCGACCTCACAAATCCAGTTGTGGATCGTCATGTGTCAGAATAACTGATTACCTCGTGTCCAGTGTTTTTGTGGCTTTCTCGGCTGGAATACCCACATACAAGGTTAGTTTATGCAGTGGCCATTGTTCTGAGTCTGATTTGTCCGACTTGATGGCTCGTAAAATTGACTAAAGGTAAAGAAAAACCAAACAAAGTAAAACAAATAAAATCGCTTCAATTTTGGAAACAAAGCGTCAAATGCAAAAAGAACTTGTAATAAAGGGAATAGTTTGTACCCCACGTTCCTTGTTGACCGACATGTAGCCATTCTTCAGACACACGAGACTCGGTTTCCAATTCTTTTTAGGATCCCGGATGTAGAGGGAGCCTTCGATCGAGAGGATACCGACCTGACAACAGATGAACAACAAAAAAAACAATCAAACACAAAAATAAAACCACTATCACCATTGAAAAAACAAACTTTTAAAAACAAGGACAGCTACATCAACAAGACATTCGAAACTTTTTCAGGGGACCTACATCTCGGTCTGTACATCTTAAAAGAAAGATTTAACCAAAATTTAATCTTGTTATCCATCTATGTTTATCTTTGGCCTTCTTCCTTCCTCTTTGGTAGATTCGTCCCATGTTGTTTCTTTTCTTTCTGGTCAAACTACCTTTTTGTAGATTGTGTCGTGTTCAAGTAAGTTTTCTTGTGATAAGAAGACTTTTAAACTCCTCCAAAAATAAAACGACTCTAAGAAGAATACCAAATGCAGCCGGATTGACTGGATCACTGTTACTACTCCTGCTTGCGAGCGTGAAACTGAAAATCATGCAGCAGTTGAGGCATTTTTCCAGGTACATCATAATTAAGCAAAATCAAGCATCGCTGAAATCAAATCAATATTGCGGCAAATCTAAAGTCCCATATGGACAGCGTAAAAAGACATTAATTTAACCACTAAATACAGAAGCATTAATGATAAGGTCATCAGTTATAGCCTCAAATTTCAATCGCACTGAAGTCTCTTAAAATGTCACTTAATGAATCATGAGGACCTCCTCGAAACAGAAGTTTGTAGTAAATTATTTCGTAGAGAATAAGTAAAATATTTACATATGGAGCAATCTGTTCTGCGATGTAATTCTCTTTGACGATCAAGTAGTTCCCACTCCCCCAGTTTGCCGCGGTCATGACCTTCTCTCTGACTTGAAACGCTCGCTCTGATGGAGAACACACAAAATAAGAAATAAATACTAATTTTGAACGGGCATGTTACTTAAAAAGGTTTGAACATGTTAGAGGAGGAGCAATTTTCAATTGAGAATTAAAAGTAACCCAAAATTATTCTAAATTCGCTTCAGAGCCCACTTCAAGATTTCGAGAAAACTCGCTCCTCGCCCCACTCGCGTTTTGTTTTCGCGAGGTTTTCCAATTTCCACGCAGTTTTCTAGCTTCTCATTTGCTTGTGATATGTTCCTTTGTTCTACATGGCCATTGTGATTACTTTGATTTGTGTTTCTAGATACAATGGAAGAGTACTATAGATGAGGTGACAGGAGACTGGAAACAACACTCACCCATGGCACCATTATCGATAACCTCAAACAGCACCCAGTCGATATCGGGCGATAGTGCCTTTTGAGAAACGATCTCTGCACGAAGTCTTCCTGCTGTCATCTCAGACGAAACCTGAGAGGGAAACATTTCCAATCAGTCCAAAACCTTAATTCTCCTTACGAACCGACATAGTGTTCTTATGGAGCTGCGTTGCAGTTAAAGCATCTCACGAAAGATTTAAACTTCGTCATTTGCAGCTTTGCTAGTTCCTACTTTACATAAATTGTATTTATTCATTCTAAATAACTGTCAGCTCTTAAACAAACTGATACTGTCGAGAAAAGCTAATTATTGATCAGGAAAACACCAGGGAGGATGTGTTACCTTCATTAAATGTGGATTGTCATTCTTCTCTTTTACGTAAATATCCAAAGTGAATTCTCCTCCGGAATTGTTTTGTTTGTCCTGTACATTGTGAGAAAAAAAATTAGTTAAAAACATTATTCGCCGGAAAAGAAGAGAGGATTAATTTCTGTTTAAGAAATAAATCGGATTGAAACGAAAAAAAAAAACAGGAAATGGCGTAGTTTTAAAACTAAGAACTGCAAGAAAACAATTTTTAATTGAGTGTCAAAAGTAATCCAAGATTGTATGGGTTTTGATTTCAGACGCTCTGTGATTGGTCTAGAAGAGCCACTCCAACTACTAGACCAATATGAGAAGCAAAATTGAAAACCACGTGACTTGGTGATCCGCGTTTTCCCGCGCTCGTGGTCTTGTGATATTTTCCTTCGTTATAATTGGTTGTTTTCGTTACTCCATCGAGGCGCGCTCTAGGACTAAAAACTAAGACCAAAAGCTAAGAAAGCTTGCTTATGTTGCAAAAGTGTTACCTTCAATTCTATCAATTCTCGTATCTTCTGAGTGGCTTCTTCGATTACCTAATTAATAAATAAGAAAACAAAATTGAAAACACTGCAAAGATACCCGAGAACACAACGAATCTAATGACAAGGTATTGGTTAAGTAAATGCTTCGTTCGAACCTGGGCTTTCTCTTCTTCTTCCTCACTCACCTTGAAAAAAAAAAGATAGAAAATTAATCATTATTGTAACTATCCCACTGGTGGGAGCCAAAGTTCCACTTGTTTACGAAAGAGCACAGTTTCGCTGATGCGTCAAATTTTCTTAAAGTCTTCCACAAAAGTGAGGCAATGAATTCTACCGCTTTATCTTTGAAGTAGAGTCTGCATACAAGACTGACAAGAGTGGCTTTCGGAATTGAATGCAGGCTTTGCGTCATAAACTAATGCTACCCCTCTGAGGTGGGATCCTAATCCATCGAAGGTTGACCACCTCCCTCCCCTCTCCCAGTGATTTTTCTGGCATCCCTGACACTTGCATAGAACCCATTTTTAGCTCCTTTCTTATCCAATAGTAAGAGTAAGCAGGAAAATTTTTTTTAAATATGAACCAGGTCTATACCAGAAGGTAACTATCTCATACTTACGTCGAAGAGCCACTTATAATACGTGATCATGTCTCCAACAATGGAGAATTCCTGATTAATTGAGGAATCGTCCATTCGCCCAGTCTAATTGAAAAAGATAAAAGATGAAGACAATTGAAACACGGTCAATCAATCAATGTGAAAAAGGAAGCCGTAAAAAGTAAAAAAGGAAGGCTAAATAAGAAGCTTTGAGAGTTCAATAGAATTTACAAATGTAAGTAACTGTAAGAAAAAAAGCTTTTCAAGTTGTGTTCACCAACTATTCACTGATTCTTCGATGACTTTCGTTACCGAATTATGTTCCAGCAACAATATGAACGATGCTTACGCTTTCATTGGACATCAAAGTAGGACCGAAGATCATGGCAATATTGGGCACTCCCATTTTGTTGACACTAACTAGCTCGGTCACTCTGAAAAGGAAGAAAAAAATTAATAACCAATATTAGGACATGGCAAAACAAAACCTGAATAAATCTCTCGTATATAATCCCTTGTAAAGCTGATTCGTTCTTCGCAAAAGTCACAAAAAAAATTGATTTGGACTGTCCATGGAACAGGCGATAAATACAACAACTCCCACGAGGTAATTAACGACTCCCAAGATGTAATCAACAGAGCAACTTATCGCCTTGAGCGTTAAGATCAGTTGACAAGTCATTGTTGTTTGATGTAGCTTTTCTGACTAAACTATGTCCCCAAACCCCAAGTAATGACACATAAAAGAAAGTGAGAGAATATATATTTTTTTTTAGTTTAAGAAGCTTATCCATCGCAGTTTCCCCCTCGTCAGCAGTTCGTCAGGTTTCTCTGACAGTTCGCCAGCTCCCAGTTATACCCCTGGGTGGAGAGTGGAGATCAGTACGAAAACAAGACGACCCGCTGGTCGGTGTTCCAACTGGACTTCCCAATCCTAAGTTCTGCCCTAGACCCCAGGCCGCTGGGTCTTCCAAGGCCACGCGAAAGTAAAACTAAGAAGTGTTACGGTGATTCTAGTTCGATTTTGATAGAGCGCAACCTCTATTGTCCCTACACTTACTTAGTCAGATGAGAGATAATCGCCTTAAGAGTTCCATGGTTCACTTTAGGAAGCTGGTTGATTAAAGATTTAATTGTCTGTAGTCTTGTATTATGGTCTTGAATCGCTAAGGAAAGAAGTAAATAAAAGGATAAATTAGCCAAGAAATGATACATTGCCATAAACAACTACATTATCATGAATTACCACGCCCCGTTGCGAGTAGTATCTAATGCACTACCTTCCGAAAGAATCTCTTATTCGGCAAATTGCATAGTGCTCGCGAAATACATGAAGATGGCAGAGGGTAAAAAGTGCAGGGAAACCCAATGTACTTTTGACCGTGGTTTGGCAACTAATCAATGAGAAATGGGTCATATCTTTATCTTTATTAATTGCTTTTACAACGTTGCGCGAGCAATAGAAACTAACAGAGCTATAGAATACGAAAGAACAAGAGAACTTGCCGAGGGCACTGAAGACGCGCAGGAAAAAACGTGAGAAATGTCAAGCGCGGGAAAATATGCGAGCAGTGAAAGGCGCAACCACCATAAAAATCGTGCAAGGTGTGGCACAACCAAGACATGATTACTACATCTGACGGGTCGTGAAAGAGCAGTGCGAGCTTTGTAGAGCCAACACAGAATGCTGTTATTAAACGATCCAGAGAAATCTCGTTCAAAATACCCACGACGTTCAACACAATCTATTTATCCCCCTCCCCCCCCCAAAAAAAATTGATTCTTACAGCCAGCTGCAATGAAATGCTTGTACATGGTGCCAGGGATGACTGGGTCGGGAAGTTGTCGCAAGTATTGCTTCAGTACTCCAGTGACGTCATGGACCCCGCATTCATCCAAAGTTAGCAACACGCTACCAGCGTCTAAGGAGAGATACCAATACCTCGGTATGAGACAACACGAAAAGTCCAACATAATGAACTACAGTTCTTTTTCAAATCACAAATCACTATGGATTTTTAGACAAATTTGATACCTTGATCAAAGGAAGTTCTCAGTTTTTTCATTGTCAACTGCCCACCATTCACACGATAAACTCCTTCCATCTCGAGGCCACCTGGAGTGATCGAAAATATTTCATAGAATCGGTTATGACATCGTTAATCATAACCATACCAAATTCCTCAAATTTAATTGGTGCATTAGCTGCTTTCTTAAATCGGGCGCGTCTGTAGTCACACTAATCATTTGACATCAATTTTCCGCCTAGAAAAAAAAGAATTACCATAGGTTTCGACAAACTGCAAGCACTTTGCCACTAAGTGTGGGATGCCATCAGAACCAAGCCCTTGCTGACAAAGCAGAACACCAAAAACCTGCGAAAATAAATAGTTTCAATTAGGTGGATGCGCTGGTTACACAATACCAATTAATAAAAGTTGAGTCATTTCTTTCAATAAAGGGAGTAAGTTTCTAAAGAAACTGTGGCTTTTATATGCAGAAAAACACGTATATAAACACACACACCCCCAACAATTTCTCCATTCGCTCTGAAAAGGGCTCACGCTCGAAATGTCAGTTTTGAAACTCTTCACGGTGGCCAATTTACGTTATCAACCCGGTCGATAATACTAAATTACTCAGTTCTTTCAGTCCCAGACTCTTACCTGTTTGCTTCTCAGAGCTGAGTACCAGCCCTCCAATTCCTCTTCACTATCAGCCTTCAAACTATGCGTTCTATAAAAAACGAAAAATAAATATGTATTTCCCGGATTCGCGACTCGTCGTTGTGTGGGCAAACTTGTAGAGAACGAAGTTACAATAGAGAGGAACTTCTGGTCACCGTTTCTTTTGTACAGAAAAAATCAATGTTTAGGTCCAGTTTCACATTTTCTTAGATAATTAGTACGCTTTTGCGAGTAAAACTCTCTCAAATAAGGACCTGAAGGCAATTAACGAACACATTTAACACTTTAACCCCTAAGAGTGACTAGGATCTCCTCTGTCCTTACAATATCATCCCTGAATCATACATTAGGGTCACGAGAATAAGGGAAATGATCAGCAACTAAAGAATCTTTTGGTTGTTAAACAAATCCTTCTTGTTAGCACCTTAGGAAATGTATACAGAACAGTCTAGAGAAAGTGACAACCGAAGTTAATGCGCGTAAAGAATAATGCAAAACCCTTCTTACTTGTCAACCGTAACAATATCCAGTTGTAACTGCTCTCCCTTGGGACATCTCACTAGTGACGTCACTGTTCTAAGGTCAATCGTAACAAGATCGTCCTTGTCATGTGGCTGCGAACAAGTAAGCCAGCAGTTTTAGCAAAATCGATTTATCATTCAAACAAAAGCAATTACAAAACTCGATTTTCTTTCCCTGAAGAAATGAACCAACGATAAAATTTCCACTAACCCCTCTGGCATACTTTAAATGCCTGTCTTTCAACAAAAACCACCTTTTTCTCCAGCTCTACAACAAAATATGAAATCGCAGATGTCAGCAAGCTAGTAACATTAGAACGTTATGGGCCTTGGTGAGGAGATTTGATCTTAAACAAGCTCAGCAGGCTCAATTCAGTAGAGATAAGAGAAAAATGGACGCGGAATATGGTGTTGGCGACTGTGCGCGGGAGAGCCAAGCAAAATGCAAAACAACACAACAGTTTCCTTGACACGAACTGTGGATCAACATCAGTCTCTGGGCAACTGCCCACCTACCCCTCCCCTAACCCAACATTAACCTTAACTTGTTGTCAATTGACTGTTGTTGAGTTAGGGGAGGGGTAGGTGGGCAGTTGCCCAGATACTGATATTGATCCCGAACTGCAACCTCAGTTTTCGCTTTCCATTCTTGCGCGTCCGCTTTTCACCTCGTCTCTAAAATCAGAGCGTTTAAAACTTACTCCTTCTTTCTTTTGCAAGAATCCCTCTTTTTCATAAACTATTTCGATGGGAGCACTCTGAGAAGCCTGTCAAAGAAACAATCAACATGGTTTGATTTAAAAGGACTATTGGAATTATGGGATGACGAAATGAAATTACCTATGTTTATCAGTACTAAAGAGTAAAATATGACGAAAACATCGATCCAATCCACAATTTTTACAATTTAAAATTGATTGTCGAAAGTAATCCATACTTGCATCAATTTATTAAAATTTTATTCCACTTGTGTCTTGAAATCTTGTGCCACCTTCTCAACCAATAAGATGCAAAAAATAATTCTGGCGTTTTCCCGCGCTAGAATCTGGTTGATTCAAGTTTTTATTGGCTCATTCAGGTATTCCTCTTCGTTCTGATTGGCCGCTGTGTGTACTTTGGGTTTGCTTTACGACAATTGATGAACAGCGCTGAATGTGTCCATCAATACCATATCGTGTATTACAGACATGACAGTCTACAATCTTACCTCAGTATTAAGCGTCGCTGTTTGGTCATCACCTAGGTTCTGATCAGGTTTTCCTAGAGAAGAACGCAAGAGTCAGACCTCTTCCTTTGCACAACTTGCAAACGATTCCAAAATGACAAAGACAAGGAAGAAAAGTAGAAAAAAATCAAGACAACACATACCTTCTCCACCATTCTGTCGGAGCAGTTCCTAAATTAAATAATGAATGAAAAACATCAGGAGATCTTGAAAACAAGTAAACTTTAACGTCATTAAAACAAGCGGTTTTTCAGCCGGCGTTCAGCAAGTCGAGAAACAATACACAATTTACTCCTACACAAAGTACTCACTGCTTGAAGAGTTTGTCCAGCTTCTTCCGCCAGTTCGAGCGCTGTCCAATTAAAAAAGAAAAAAAAATTTCAAAATTACAATCTCAGCGTAGAAAATCATTCACCATTTACCTTAGGCCTTTCAACCGAGATACAGTCGAACCTGTATTAAGCGGCACCTTATTAAGCGGTCACTCTTTTCTAAGCAGTCGGTTGTCAAAGTCGCGAACTTTTTTCCCCGTAGTTACTATAATTTTCACCTCTACTAAGCGATCACCTCTATTAGAGGGTCGTAGTCACCTTTGACTGAGTCCCAACAGCTTGTTTGTATTGTATTCTACCTGTATTGAACGATCACTTAAAGCGGAACCACTAAAATATTACTAAGAATAATCTCTCAAGTCGAATTTATTTCATGTTTATCTCCCGAAATCATTGTCACTACTTTGAGTTCAAATGTCTTCTCCACATTGCCGATTATCTTTCTTCATAAGACTGTTAAGAAAAACTGCGTTTTTTATTCTTTTATTATTATGTGGAGTTGTATTTAGCGGTCAACCTGCATCAAGCATTTTCCCCGCCATTCCCCGTGGTACAGGTTCGACTGTATCTACTTTCAAAATTTTCTACTGAAATATACCCTACAGCCCATTACGTTCTCTTTAGTTGTTGGCGAAAGGGAAACCGGATTGAAAATTGAAAACTAAAAAAGAACTGTTTCTAGACTTGGTTTGAAAGCAGGGAACTTATATATCTATTTCCTAAGGATATGAAAGATTTTCACAACTTACGCGTTTTTTCGTCCTCAGCATCTGAGGCAACGTAACGAACCTGGCAAAGAAAAGAGAAAAAAATTAAAAGAGATTAAAAGTGGACATTTTTGAAAGCATCCATTATGAAAACTGAAAAAATAATATATATCTTCAGAGTAAAAATAACTCGATTTTATCGCCACACCCCTACTAGTTCTGTTGCATGTCTCACCGATAATTTTCTTGTATAATGCTCGCAAAATTGTTTCGCCACTGGTAAGAAAAACTTTTAGCCGCGCTTATTTACGGAGGAGTAAATTAATTAAATTATACAGCAATAAATGATTATAGCGTTTCATCTTTCGATGTGGAAAATTAAAAATCCTTTCGAAAGGATAACTTCCGAGGATAAAAATGTATTCCACCCATAAATAAAGTCAAGGCTAATAAGTCTAGGATCATTGACTTACATCCACTTTGTTTAAAATTAGTTCCATGGTGGATAAAATGTCCTTTGTGACCACAGTATCCCGCAAGACCTACACCAAAACAAAGCGAAACTCGAAAATGACCATTGGTAATGTGCATAACAAACTGCGTCCGGTTCAAACAAAACAAAATGCAATTAATGCGGTTTCAAAATATATTTGACACGTGTAAGGTGAGAAACTACAAACGAGGCGGTAGACCGGTCGGTAAAATTAAAATTAATGTATTAACTCAAAGTTCGTTTAACGATTTTACAACACAAGATATAACAAATTTAGAGTCAAGGTCTCCTTCGGGCAGCTGACAACATTTTTAGCGGGAGACTGATAAGGATCACACCGCAAGTCACAGAATCAGCTGTTAAAACCTGCCTGGCAGCCACAGATTTGGTGCAAAGTATGCATTAGTAGTGCGACACTTTTGGCGGGAGTCTGATACGGATCACACCTCAGGCCACAGAATCAGCTGTAACGCTGCCTGCTAGCCACAGAACTGGCGGGAAACACGCACGTGTCACACAACTGCCCACTACAGTGACTATTCGCTGTCTAAAACTGCCTTCCCGCCAAAGACTCGCCGAGAACTTATTCACATGACCGCTTAGCGACAGTTTAGGTGTTTCAAAAATTGCTTTCCTACCAAAGTTTTGGCGGACACTTCACACGCATTAAGGAAGTAAACGGAGACGAAGTTTCCCCCGCCTAACTTCTGTCTTGAAATATTACAAAATGTACCTTTCCTAGCGCCTCAGGATCTCCAAAAGCTTGATGGTATTTGGCGTATTTCTTTTCCCAGTATTTGGAATAGATGAACTCTCGTCTCGCCGCACTAAAATAAATTTAAAAATTGGTATGGCTTTTTGCAATACTTAACGGTATTGCTCAGTTGGCTCGCTGTTACCGGGATTGAGGCTTTGAATGAAGTTTTCATTATTTGTTTTCCATGCCTATTCTCTTGTTTTAGCTTGTGCATATTTTTGTTTGAATCTCGTAAATGGCTAGACGAAATTTCCCTTTTCCCATGTCAACAAACTGAAACATATGATAACTTGCTGGGAACGCATAAATCATACTTCTAAATTAACGAAACTAGTAGATAACAGTACAGACAGAAGATCGCTAATCTAACAATTAAATACATTTGGAGACATGTTTATTGCAAACGGTGACGAGAAATATTTATGCTTGATTTCCCTCACATGGTTCGAACAGAGATACAACAAAAAAGAACGTATCAAAAACATAAATGATCAGTTCACATCAATGCAAAAATGGGGAAATGAACGACAGCGAAAATCAAAGTTTCACTCTGGTTGTAAGAAGTTACGGCTCCCGAATATACGAAAGCTGCATTACTTCATCGACAAAATTTAGTAATAAGACGCAATCCTGATCTGTGTCGATACCACATAAACATCCGATAAAAGGAAGGTTGGTTACACGATTTCAAGGGGCGCTTACGGGCTCTGGGCATCACTCTCCGCTACCCACCCATGCATGCTGTATTTTCTGGCTCTTAACCCTTTAACTCCCATGAGTGACCGAGAGAGAATTTCTCCTTACAATATCAACACAATGTCAAGCAGACAAGAGATGAGAATAAAGAAAAATATCAATTTGGGGATAAGTTGATCTAATACCAAATTCTCCGAACTTACAACACAAGAACTGTATGGCAGACAGTAAGGAGAATTCAAAAGGTTTTTTTAAGGGTTACATACACATTGGCATCTGGTGTTATTTTGTCGTCTTCGGGTAACTTGTGTTCAAGAAGTTGATTGGCGTTGTCATTTCCAATTTTTATCATCAGCTGTGTTGAGATAAAAGTTGAAATAGTGCAAGATTTTGAGGAGAATTGTCAAATGAAAAAAGTCATTGGCTGGTAGTGATGGCACATTTCATCACTCGGCGAGAGACAAACTCGTGCGAGTGTACAGAGAGAAGGCAAAATTAAAGGTGTTTCGTCGCACTGTATTTGAAAATTTTTTGGTTTAAATTTTTCTATAAATTGAAAATTTTTCCAAACCCTACTGAGATAAACATTCACCCCTGATCTTGTGAGTACATGCCGATCAAATTGAGCATTGAACTTCTAACGTCAAAATATCAATAAGAATTAGACAACGAGTGGGGGAAATGAACTTTCTGTTCAACCTGTTTTCAAATCCCCTCCGCTAGATTCTCGCAGGATTCTGGCAAATACGAGAATATTCCACCATTCACTTATGTAAATCCATGACAAGGCGTATACAAAACAGGCATACAATTTAACGACCTCAGTACAATACTATTCGTTCAACGATTCTTTAGGGCACCGTGACCATATATGTAAGTCTGATCCTATAATCAAAATGCTTCAAATGAGAAAAGCTCCTTGCGGAAATAGACTTACCTCTATAAGAGCTGGGTTCCAGATCTTCTCGTCCATGAGAAGAGAACGTGCACGAGAACAGTGAACCCCCAGGTTCCGATGAACACCTTTTAAAATAAAAGTAATGCGTAACATGAAAATTTATCCAATATTTTCTCTCATGCGCGATTGGTCCGAACGCTTCACGTCAAGGAATATCCTTTAACTAAAACTTTGGAGTACTAGCGAGTAATCCTTAAATGATATGCCCTATTTTGAAGCTTTAAGTACGGTGTGATCAAAGTCGTGGAAATAATTACATAGAAGAAAGCTTTCTGCTCTTCTTTCAGAAAAAGACTCTGACAAGTTTGCTCATGAACCTTGCCGCAGATCACAGGAAAGTCAACATTCCATGAAGAAAGGAAATGTTGTTGATCAGATACGTCCCGCGCGGTGCAGAAAATATTGGGATGGACATATACACAATAGTCTCTAGTTGGCTCAAAATTATGCTTGTATATTTGTCCTTGGCCATAACATGTTCCTTAACGAGCCTCTCTGAACAGATCATATCCGTGGACAAATATCTGAGGTTATTCTCCCGCTAAATGAAAGCTATTGTTTCATTTTTTTTCTTCTCACAGTTCTGTAGCACCACAATGAGGTGTAACCCAACAGCACTTTCCTGTAAAACTTGTGTAGCTTGCAATAAACCTTTAGGCTGTGAAATGAACTTACCAATACATTTTGCACAAACACAAACACAGAAGTTGACTGATGCCCACACTGGATCTGAAATTAAAAAAAAAAGTCATAATAGATAAAGTGTGCTCTAATGAAGTGAAGCATCGATTAATTTTTCAGCCTGTGTAACAGTGAGGTGCTTGCAAGAGTCGAACCGCTGACCTCCCTTATAGTGCTTCGGATGCTTCGACGCCGAGTTCTATAACAGCTGATTAAAGTTAAACGCATTTCAACAAAACAGGCCACCAAAAGGTAACTGATCATTGAATTAAATACAAAATTTAACCTTTCATTCCACAGTCTGCACAAAATCGGTTACTGGGATTCTCCCAAACTTTTTCACGAATCTACAGTGGGAAATACAAAAGACACGAGGGGTCAGTAACACACCCACAATAGTAATTAATTAAAAAATCCTTGTTGGCATCGTCAGACCACACTAGATTTTTTTTTAGCATGCGGGGAAGCAGGTTGCAGGCGCCAGATTGCAACTGATTGTTCTGCTTTCCTCTTTTTAGTGGAAGAAGGATCTCAAATCAAAAGAAACTCTCAATTCAGTTACTTTGACGTAAAAAATAAAAAATTTTCCCATTTATCGCTCATGTAGAGTGCCCCCTCCAGCTATGACTGGCTACACCTCTAAATTCCTTTGTCTCTGACGATGTGTTCTCAGAAAAACTCGATAGTGGTGTAGCACTTCTACCTGGGAGTTCCGTCAGGTGAAAGGTACGTTTGAGTACCCGGTCAACATGGCTAGAATTTTGAGCCTTATTGGAGGACCCAAGATCCTAGTTTACTGCCAAAAGTTCTATAAGAGAAAGTTCTTTCACCGTTGTATCACCAAGTCCGATCTGAATGGCTGTTTCTATGGCAACAATCCATGAGGAAGCATCAAATTCACTATCTCCTTGGAAACTACGAACAATCAAAATTCGTGGCCATCAATTAGTCATTTCCAATTCTCCATGTCCTACCGTAATTCGTAGATGAATATTGCAGTAACAATACCATACAGTAGGCCAACGTATTCACAATTTCCCATATTATTTTAAGGTCTTAATACAGTATCTTTATTCTGTTTTCATTTGGCTTTAAAAACACTCAAACAAAATACATTTGAGAATCATACATAAGCCTCCTCATGAACATTTCAGTCACACTCTACAAGATCTTCTCAGCACACATTTTTACACCAAAAGTGACCAGCAAATGGTTGACTGAAGGCAACTTAAACAAGTGTAAAGAAAAATCCATGAGGATAAATAAAACTAACCTATAAGACTTGTGGAACGTGATTATTACAAATCTGTTCTTATGTCCGTCAACAGTTTTCACTTTGGCCAAAGCAGCATTGATGCAATTTATTGGTGTTGCATAAATAAAGTCCTAAATTAAAAGAACATACATGACCATGTGCTTTTCTACAGTGAGTTACAGCAACAATGGGAAAATGAGAAATAATAATGTGCCCTGAAATACTCCAAAACACTTCAAGTAAAATCCCTAAATAAATCTGTAGAAACAATAAAACTTAAATACTGTAATATTTTGAGGTTCTAGCAAACCCCTGGAAGTGATCAATATGTAACTTCTCTCTAAAACATCCATACATTATCAAGCAAACAGGTGATCAGAATACACAAACTTATCAGGTAGAAGTTGTTATCTTGATCTACCACCAAATTCTCGTAAATTATTTACAGGGAAATGTGTAGCAATTAAAAGGGAGAACATCAAGGAGGTCAATCAATTGTTGTCTGCACTGAAAACAGTTCTTATGGTAACAACTTTTTATCAGTTAACCCTTTAACTCCCATGAGTCACCAAGACAGACTTTCTCCTTACAATATCAACACAATATCAACCAGATAAGTTATGAGAATAAAGAAAAATATCAATTTGAGGATAATTACTTGATTCAATACTTAATTCTCTGAACTAGCATTATAAGAATTGTATGGTTGACAGTAAGGAGAATGAAGCATTTGACCTGGAAGTTAAAGGGTTAACATGTAAGAATTAAGACTAGAATTTTTGTTTAAAATTGTCTCCCAACAAACCATTCTTGTCAAAGAGAACCATGACTACCAAACATGAACTAACTACTAAAAATCAACCCTCAAAAAATAAAAAAATAAAAAATGAAAATGAAACAAACCTCATAAGTGTCATAGTAACAGATCTTGTCCCCCTTGATAGCTACATATCTACATGTAACACAAAAATTGAGAATTGGATGTCACTGTTTGAAGGTTGAATTAACTTACTGCTTAAAGAAACATTTCAACATCCATAGTCCTGTTACCTTTTCTTCCAGTCTGCCACAACATTGTGTCCCTGTTTCTTCAGCCATCCCTGAGAACAGAAAAATATGAACATCATTCACTGGCTGCTTCTCTAAATTTGGTGGGAAAAAGAATTTTGGGGAGATTTAAACATTCAACCCTCAAATTATGATTTGCCCTTGTGGACATCAAGGCACAAAAAGTTGGAAAAACATGCTACGTAATGTACTGTGATTTTTCTTACTTTCTATTTTCAGTTAACTAAGCATACATTGAGTGCTACCATGTTTCACAGATGGGAGCCTATTTGCAGATGGCTAATTTGAGTGATTTACAGAGAGACAATGTGAATAAACCCATCAGTTGCCTGTGAAGGTTTTCTTTCTTTTGACAAGCAATATTTTGAACCAATTTTTTTTTTTTCAGATAGAGCTTTTACTGCAGATCAAGGACACCAAAAGCTCATCTTTTCTACCTCCTTGTCTGGGTCACTCATTTCTCCACCACTCTTCCAATTCTTGCCATCTCCCTGCCAAACATAAGAGAAGAAATAAAAACATGAAAAATTAATCCCGTACTTCCTGTGATATAGTAATCTTTACATAACATTTTCACTTTTGTAGCAAGCAGCCGCAGAAAGTTATTTTCCACCACTTCGTTGTTTATTGGTGACCAATATGGCTGCCATGACATCATAAGAGAATTATCAGATCAATATCAGTATCTGGGCAACTGCCCACCTACCCCTCCCCAAACTCAACAACAGTCAATTGATAACAACTTAGGGTTAATGTTGGGTTAGGGGAGGGGTAGGTGGGCAGTTGCCCAGATACTGATATTGACCAGAATTATCTTTACTTAAGGTAAACAATTAGCTCCAGCCTTCTTTCCGGTTTTTCTTTTCTGGAATTAATCAGCAGTTCTTTACTGCTCTTTTTAATCTCGTATTCCCTTTCTCCTCCAGGAATTTCAGACTCAGACTCAGTACTTAACTCTGTAATTTTCATCCTTTTGAAAATCAAGAAGGAATCTGTCTTACATTTTCAGCTGTTTATCAGCATCAATTTAATTTTCCACTCTTAGTTCACCCTCACCTTGCAGCCAATGATTGCCTCCATAAGAGTTTGAGACCAGAGATTCATTTCCGCTAGAGAAAAGAGCAAAAACATTACAAGAATGAATACCAATAATCACCCACTTAAAGTAGTTTATACATGGTATCAAAAAGGTTATTAAAAAATCAATATTTAAGTGAAAATTTATTTTTTTCTAAGATCATTTAATTATTATACGCAATTGTTTCTTAACCCTAAAAGGTAAAATCAATAAAACAAACATCAATCAGAGGTGGAAAAAAAAGGAACTACAAAAGTAACTTACTGATGTTTTCTGATGCAAAAATGAAAGTCCTGTTTGGAGTTATCACTTTGAATGTTGAACGTTTTTCCTAAAAATATGAAAGTTAGAATGAATTGTTACAAATAGAATGCATTTGAATATTTAGGCTCAGCATAGCTATTTCATGGCCACAAAGTGAGAAAACAAAAGAAACGTGTTTCTGTCATAGTCATTGTGCTTGTTAAACTTTCGGAACCAAGAGCTATTCAACCAATTGTAATGTCACCTTTGTGATTATGGTATGTTCACTACTAATAGTGAATGAAATTGAATAGTCATAATATCAGAAACAAACAATGATTTCAACTTAATCCAAATTGTGCCAATCATTGCCACAGACCACAGTAAGCAAAGATGTTGAACAATTAAAAAAAAGTCATTGCTTGTTTCCAGTAATCAGATTTGTCAGTTTTGTGTTAATAACACTGGATTGTAACAACAGTTGTATGGCAAAATACTTACATCTTTCACATTTTCAATGTCCTTTATCTGACTGACAGGAATTATATGAAGAGACTCAGTCAGGGAATCCTGAAATTTAACAAACACTAAAGTTATTCCAAGTAGTTTCACCAAAAAATTACCTAGTTGACAAAATAGGACACTTGCAAGTCATTTCACAAATAAAGTTAGTCTGGGCAGTTTCACCAAAAAAAAAACCTTAGTTGGCATAACAAGACACTTGCAAGTCATTTCATAAATAAATACTAGCAAGAATTGGTTGAAGTCTACCAGCATTTTATCACAAATAAAGCAATATGACTGGCTAGATGGGTGCCAGAAAACTGATAGGGAAACTTTGAGAATTACCAAATGAATGGGGTAATCTGTAATGGAGTAGGATCCTATCTAGGAGGGGGGCAACCAATACTTGTAAGTCGCTTCATGCTACAGAAACTTTCAAAACAAAACAGCCTCATCTTTTAGGACAATTTTTTTTGCGAACAAAACTTACCTTATCCTTGTAGTATCTTAGGTCCTTGCCATCAAAAACAAACCACCGTTTTCTCCATCCCTTATTGTTCTTTTGTCTAAAATAGAAGAGAAATTCTCATGTGAGTACTGAACTCTGCATGACTTTACAAGTCACTTCTGTGGTAAATTTTCGTTGTGTATCTGATTTTGCAACTTTCATATCTAGTTATTAATAAGCAATTATTGGATGAGGCTGAGCATGACATCATGAATTATCAAAGTGCAGGTCTGAGTTACTCAAAGCACAAACACAAGGCTTGATTACATTCAATAATTGTTTTATTAAATATCTTTCAGACAATCTGCAAAAGAAGATGCTTCTCTATGAGTATACAAAAGTTTGCGAACGCTACACAGATAAGGGGCTTGGAAACTTGGCAGACTTTGAATTTGACATGATAACCCAATATCTGCTGCAAATATTGGGTTATCATGTCAACTTCACCTGCCACTGTTTATTGACTGTATGCTTTTGACCATCAGAGTTTTCATAGTAATTCTAATGTATAATAAAATAAAATATCACATTAGATGTTCGGGTGTATTGGATTGCTGAGTATTTTTATGAGTAGTTTGTATTGCAACTTGCCCTACAGGCTCGTCAAAATACAGCATATCTCATAAAAATACTCAGCAATACTTTCTGTAATTACCCTCCTTGCTTCCAAAGGTATCCTTCACTTTTACGAACCTACAAGAAGCAAGAACAAGGAATGTTTACTGATGAGATGTTGAGTTTTACCAAAATCCCTTAGCTTCTCAAAAAGTTCACCCTTGACTGTAAATATCCCTTAAAATCTCAGAAGTGATTACCATGTATTAACTTTTCCCTATAATATCCATTATTTATTATCAGTCAGAAGATGTCATCATGATCTGGGACACCAAATTCTCATCACTTATTCAAAAGGAAATGTGTAGCAGCTGAAGGGGAAAAGTAACAAACAAATCTTCAAAGTTGAATGGTTAAACTTCCATTTCAGCTTTACTGTAAAAAAAAAAGTACCCCATCATCAAATCAGATGAAAGTCTGTGAATATAGAGGTCCATTGTTTTACCAAATACATATGATGAAAATCAAGAACTACATATGAATGAAAAATGTCTCTTCTAGACCAGGACACTTACCCTTGGACTTAGGCTGTTTGGTATTGCCTTACTGTAGTCCACATTCTCTGTGCTGTCACCTCTCTAAAAAATATTGAGAAGTAATACTAGTTGGAGACTTCAATAAGACTGGCATCAAAGCCTTCAGTTTAAGAACAAAACATAGATGTAGTTGAGAGTCATTTACTGTCATGTAGTTGAGAGTCATTTACTGTCATGTAGTTGAGAGTCATTTACTGTCATGTAGTTCAGAGTCATTTACTGTCATGTAGGTCAGAGTCATTTACTGTCATGTAGTTCAGAGTCATTTACTGTCATGTAGTTCAGAGTCATTTACTGTCATGTAGTTCAGAGTCATTTACTGTCATGTAGTTCAGAGTCATTTACTGTCATGTAGTTCAGAGTCATTTACTGTCATGTAGTTCAGTCATTTACTGTCATGTAGTTCAGAGTCATTTACTGTCATGTAGTTCAGAGTCATTTACTGTCATGTAGTTCAGTCATTTACTGTCATGTAGTTCAGAGTCATTTACTGTCATGTAGTTCAGAGTCATTTACTGTCAAGTAGTTCAGAGTCATTTACTGTCATGTAGTTCAGAGTCATTTACTGTCATGTAGTTCAGAGTCATTTACTGTCATGTAGTTCAGAGTCATTTACTGTCATGTAGTTCAGAGTCATTTACTGTCATGTAGTTCAGAGTCATTTACTGTCACAAACCACAAGTTAGACTGCCCAGCCAGGTTGGTCAGTTCACTTATGGTGCACCTTTAACCCTTTGACCTCTAAGAGTGACTAGCACCTAATTTCTCCCTACAGAAAGTCTCCTAAATCAAACATTAAGGTCATGAGAATTAAGGAAATGATCGCTGAACAAAAAAGCTCTTGATTGTTGAACAAATTATCATTGTCAGTATGATAGGAAATGGAGAATATGCACACTGATATTAGGGTGAAAAGAGTCGCAGGAAATGCACACTTTAACTATGAACATGTTAATGAAGCTATCGACTTCTGACTAAGAATAGACACCCAACTATTATAATGAGAGGAGTTCGTAGTCTGTTCTACTTAACCCTTTAACTCCTGTGAGTGACCAAGACAGAATTTCTCCTTACTATATCTGTTCAATACTATGCAGACAAGTGATGAGAATAAAGAAAAATATCAATTATAGGATTACTAATTGATCCAATACCAAATTCTCCAAACTAACATGATGAGAATTGTTTGGGAGACAGTAAGGAGAATTGCTAATGAGATCTTGGGAGTTAAGGGTTAAAGTAAAAGGGATCAAATTGAAAATAAATTCTGTGCTCTAAAGTACCTTCTTGGTGCCTGGAGGCCCTGAAAAAATCTGTGAAAAAACACAGCCCTAAAAATCTTTTTAAAAGTCAGCTTAAGACAAAGGTTAGTCCCAGGCTATGATAAAGCACTGCCCCAATGTAAGAGAGATTTCATGTTTTGACTTGCCTTTTTCATTTCTGGCAAATCTGCACACCATGGATCCAGAGAATCATCACTTTCATATTCAATTTCAGCTGTATCATTATTTCTCTGATACTCTCTTGGATCTCCTTTCCAAACTTCTTCATATAGTGAAGACTCCACTTGTGATGTCTTCTGTGGTGATGGTTGAACCACTGAATATTCATATGTTGACTCTGGTTGAGATTTCACTGGTGATGTCTTCTGTGGTAACAGTTGAACCTCTGTATATTCATATGTTGACTCTGGTTGAGATTTCATTGTTGATGTCTTCTGTGGTAATGGTTGAACCAGTGAATATTCATCTGTTGACTCTGGTTGAGATTTCATTTGTGATGTCTTCTGTGGTAATGGTTGAACCAGTGAATATTCATCTGTTGACTCTGGTTGAGACTTCACTTGTGATGTCTTCCGTGGTAATGGTTGAACCAGTGAATATTCATCTGTTGACTCTGGTTGAGACTTCATTTGTGATGTCTTCCGTGGTAATGGTTGAACCAGTGAATATTCATCTGTTGACTCTGATTGAGCTTTCACTGGCTCTGATGGTCCTGTTAAAATGTATCAAAGCAATAAATTTAAAGATTATCCTGACTCTTTCAAAAAACAGGTGACTCTTCATGGATAAAAATTTTATCCAACCCTAACCCAAACCCTAAGTAAGATTAAAATCAGCTATACCTACTAACGTCCTATAATATAATTAACCCTTTAACTCCCAGACCAAATTTGTAATTCTCCTTACTGCCAACCATACAATTCTTATAATGTTAGTTCAGAGGATTCAGTATTGGATCAACTAATTATCCCCAAATTGGTAGTTTTCTTTATTCTCATCACTTACATGGTTGATATTGTATTAATAATGTAGAGAGAAATTCTGTCTTGGTCACTCAAGGGAGTTAAAGGGTTAAATTATATGCAATATTCTGTGAAACCTGAAAACAATAATTTCTCTTCCTCTGATTTCTCTCTTAGGGACTTGTCAGAAATTAGCAGGGGGGGGAGGGGGGGTGGGAATTTTAAATTTGGGTTCGGAAATTAGGTGACCCATCCCTGCAATGGGAGTGAAATTTGCTAACCCTCCCCTTGAGCTTGGCCTAAAATATCATGACCCTCCCCCTCTTGTATACATTATTCATAATTTCAATAAGACTATATAGCATTGTTATAAATGAAAAGTACATGTTTGTTAAATTCTTGCTATAGTACTTCACAGTTTATATCTATAACGTTCTGTAAACCGTTGTATTTTTCTCTTTTTTTTGCCAAATAAAGAACTTCCTTTTTCTTCTGTGGGTGAACCTCTACATGATCACGGGCATATATTTGCATGACCCTCCCCCTTTTAACTGCCCATTTTTCATGACCCCTCCCTTTTCTGAGGCTCAAAAAGTTGTGACCCCCCCTCTGTTTCCCCCCCTGCTAATTTCTGACAAGTCCCTTAACCCTTTGAAATGTCACCAGCATCTAATTTCTCCTGCTGAATCATTCTTTGAGATCACAAGAACAAAATAAATGATCGCGAACCTAAGAAGTTTTTATTGTTAATTCAACTCTCCTTGTCAGTACCAAAGGAAATGTTTCAAAAAGAGTGTGGAGAATATGGATACTGAAATTAACCCTTTAATCCCTAAGAGTGATTAGTGACTATTTTCTCCTGTCAGTATCACTCCTAAAACAAACATTAAGGTCATGAGAATAAAGGAAATGATCACCAACTAAGGAAGCTCTTGATTGTTAAACAAATTCTCTTTGTCAGCACTATAGGAAATGTATAGAGAACAGTGTGGAGATAATACATACTGATGTTAGGGTGTAGAGGGATGTAACAAACTAATTACATTAACAGACATAACTTGTCTGTGGCTGAGGTATATAATATAGACCAAATAGAAAATAGAATCTGTTGTTGTTTTTATCCTACAAAATGAGCGATGACAATGGAAAAACTTTTCAACTAAGGAGAGTTCTCTTGCCAAAACACCAAATTATGAAGCAACGAATTTCTTAAGATAGGTAGGGATCTGCTTCATACAAAGATCCATGTGTGTGATAGCTCAGTTGAGTTCAGTTCTCAAAAAATTACCAAAGAAGCAAGCTAACCTTGGTGAGGAGCACTGATCAATTTATTTTGCCGATGGTTCGTACTTCCTGTGACAGGAACAGGTGGTAGTGGTAGATCACATATCTGCCTTTTAGGGAGATCTTTCAGTGAACCTGTTTGACGTGTGGGAGGGGGTGGAGGGGCAGGCCTTTGTTTAGCTGATGCAGATCTTGGTAGCGTTGATGGTTTTCCCGCAGAGGAATTTGCAAGATCGCTTCCTCTTCCAGATAGAGATAATGATTGTGTTCTCTTTTCCGAAGCATCATTTAACACTGCCGAACACATATTCTTGCTGCCTCCTTCTGATTCACCATCTGTAACTAAATCTGACACTAATATATTGTCTTCTGATTGTCTTCTTTTTCGTGGTCGTGGTGCAGGTGTTGGTCTTTTTGCTGATAGCCTCTCGGGTGCTTTTGGCACTACCCTTGGCTCAGTTGTTGCTGCAGCTGTTTCTTCATTACTCTGCAGAGTGGAGCTTGCTTCATCACTTCGATTGTCTGTGTTAGGCAATACAGGACAGCTTGAGGTTGAATTCATTTGCACCTGAGGTTCTTTCTCATCAGAGGAACTAATATTTGCAACACTATCAGCATTAGAATTACAAGAAATCATATCTTGTTCTTGCATACCATTCTGTACACTACTCTGTGAGGTCCTAATCACTCTCCTGGGAGGTTTTAAGGGGGCCCTTTTTGCTGGAACATCAGGTTGTTTTGATTGAACTTGGAGTTGATCCACTTCCACATGCTTAGCATCTTGTAGAGGAGTATCTGAAACTTTGGAAGTCTCTTTAGAGGGTATCTCTCTTTCTTCTAAATCTGCTCTTGGCGGAATAGGAGGAGGTGCTTTCAAAGAGCTGGATTTTTTCTTCGGTGGAAGTAAAGGAACGTCAGGAACTTTAGTATCAAGGCCTTCACCTTTGGTAATTTCACAACTGTCTTCCTTCGGAAGCTGATCATTACAAGCACTTACACTTTCGTCTTCGCTAACAAAATTTATGAGCGAGTCCTGCTGCTCAGTTCCCGTTTCAGACCTGTCTGTCGTTACGTCCGTGTTCGGGCTGACACTGCCATCTTCCTCGTTCGTGAAATCCATACCAAGTTTTTCCCTGAGTTTCTCCGTAAACATAAGAAATCTTTTTCGATGATATGGCATGACGATTCCCATCTTATCAAGGGCATCTTCGTTTATTGAGCAACAGGTCTCCAGTGATGTAAAGCCGTTTGACTCAAGTTTCTCAGCATACCTATCGAGTTTGACTTCGGCCAACAACCATTCTCTGACCGCGTCAAAGTCTTCCTTTGAGGTAGCCATAAGAAATCAAACGCTCACACTCTTGCAAGGATCCATGTGGCTATAGATCAAAGACTAATAAATGATTCATCAGTAGGACTTTAAGTATGCACATTACCACCTTAAGATCGTTCAAAGCCTAGACTTAATTTACAAATGAGACTATGTTTTTGATATAAGACTTAAGCTTCCGGGACCTGTGGAATGCGCACAATCGGAATAAGGTGTTTTGCTGACCACTGTTCAGCAGTCACGGGACTAAGGCATACCTCGAGGGATAGTTACCCCGGAAGAGTGATCCTTTTAAGAGATTTTTACGGATTGATTTTAAGAAAACAGTGTCAAGATTATGAATTTGGGTATCTCAGTGGATTTAGAAGTGAGTGTAGCCAGACGGGGTAGAGCATCCCAGAACAAAAAATATTTTATGCACCCCTGGGTGTTCCCCTCCACCCCACCCTATCTAAACAAAATGCTAAATATAACGCGCTATTGATCTGTTTCGATCCAGAAGTCAAAAGACTATCACTTTGGTTGCTTTGCAAGGTGGAAGTGAGTATTTCAACGAAGAAATGTACGAATTTCGCAAATTTTCACTAATGGTATCTGTGGTTGTGAAAGTACCATAACAGCTTGGGCACGGGTGTTCATTTTTGCTCTAAGACGAGGTACGTGGTTTTCTCTGAAATGTTTGCAATTTCTCTCACGATTCTTAGGTGAATTTTACATAAATTTTTTAATGGTAATTGATCTTTAGAATGTAAGAAGACTCTAACATGAATGCAAACAAACACTAAACGCTTAGGTGAGTATAAAAGCCTTCAACAGAAAAATTCCGAAAAAAGCAGCTCTCCTCAGCCACTCTCCTCACAAGGTCATCTAGCATTCCATACTGCATCTCATTGCGCAAAGGTTTGGAATTTCACACCCTTAAGTTAAAAAAAAGCCCGAAAATGCAAGAGGAAAAAACAAAGTAAAAATAATGATTTGACACCTGATAAGCAAACATCTGGAAAAGGCCCAGATAACGTCATTGTGGCAGCGGGACGAAGTGACGCAGTATGAACGACTTCTACTTTCGTCGAGTTCGAAGCACGTTTTCGTTGCTAATATCAGCCTTTGTCACTTTCTAACTCCGTAGTTAACAATTTTAGGGCAGCTTAAATTTGCATGACAACAGTGCAGTTTGTGTGATAGCTTCTACACCTCACGGAGGTTAAAATATTCTCAATTTTTTTTTTCCCATCAGTTTTCCTTCTCTATTCATAGTTCTCAGTCATTTTAGCCTTCCTATCCTGGAAAGTGAAGAGGAATATCCGTTGACAATACCAGTTTGGCGAACGCAAGAACAGTAAAGAAATTTCCGTACTGGATGGCCGTGTATTGGCGCAGGTAAGGACAAACTAGAAATAAGGAAATATTAGGATCGTAACCTTGACTAATCTGAGTGCGATGTTGCAACTTTTTGATCAAGGAAAGCAAGCAGGATTTTTCAGCGAGGCGAGAAAAAGAGTCTTAGATAACTTCTTTCAGACTGATCATGGCCATGCCAAACTGTTTTATCGTAACTTATTGTCGGCTTTATCATCATTTTTTTTTCTTTTTTTTTCAGATAGAGGAGGTCGTACGTACCCTAAAGCATCTACGCATAGGTTTCGCCATTTTAAGGGTTTGATCTAATTCCAATCTCTCTCAATTTTCCGCCTGGGCTATTACTTCGATATAACTATAAGGATCCATCGAGATTATTGAAAATTTACCAATTAAAGAATTTCTAAATAGCTCAAGAACATCGCTGAACCCGAATTCGCAGAGAAAAAGTTGCGTGTGAGCAGACATAGCACGAGTAATACTTTTCTGTTTTTGAACGACATTCCCAAGATTTTTTTGTTTACTCCACCGAAAAGTAAAAATTTTACAACCGATAATAGAAAGAAAATTTTTTTTGATTTACAAGGAATCTGAAGGTTGGTTTCAGTCTCAGTTACGACTTATGTCATTAACAGATATCAAGTCTTGCTTTAACAACGGGAAGTCTTATAAAGTGGCCACGAAAATATATCACTTTTAATTTCATTGCTTTCACTCATTTTTCATTTCGTTCTTTTTGTTTTTGCTTACGATACTACCATGCCGGCTGAAAGTATGAAAACCAACGGTTTGTTTCGAAGCTTGTCTCCACACTTAAAACAGTTTTATAATTAGACAAAGTTTGAACTTTAAAAGATCAAAGTACGACCCTTAAAGTTTCCATTTAGATAAAACATAGGTTTGCCGTTGAAAGATAGGGAAGGTTTCTTTAAACTTCTATTTTCTTTCTTTATTTCTCTTAAGAGCACGATATTCTTCCAAGAGTTCAAGATTTTCCTATAGACAGTACATTATTATTGGGGCTCAAAATTCAGTTTAAAAAAAAAGCATTCACTGAAACATTTGCCCATTCATTAGACTTTTCAGAGCCGCTTACGTAATCTTGGGAAAAGACAAAACAAAAGACCTCATTCCTTGAACTTCGTGGATAATTTGTCTAAATAAAGCGCAAAACCTTTTTCAGCTGTTCCATTCTTTTGTCTTTTTCTTATAACACATGTGCTGATGTAAGGCAAAGATGACAAGGCAGTATTTGGAAGCCGACGTTATGCATCATGTGACATAAGCTGAAACCCGCCTGTTGACTGGCACTGAGTACCTTTTGTCAGGAGAGATTAAAGGGCCTCAGCTGCCCAAAATAGGCCTTTTCTTACGATAATATAGTCTTTAAGAAGAATTTTATATTTGGAAATATCTAAACAGAGGAAATATCTTCATACAGAGTTGTAAACAAACAAGAATAATTACTTAGAATAATCTCGATCAACTGACCCCTGTCGAATCGCTTCACACTTCTGACGTCAACAGTATTTCCCAGACTCCCTTTCCGCACGAGTATATTTTTTTTTCGTGCTTTAGTGCCCACTAACAGAATAGTGAGTTATCGAGTCTGTAAGCGATGTAAATCACAACGAAAGTCCCTATTTTGTTTTCCTTTTCTTGGGAAAGTCACAGAGATCAGTTCCTTGGGATTTTCGCCCCATTCAGGTTCAGCTTTGGTGAATAATACCGCCACTCGTTGCCCAGGATGGGTGACAGTGTTACTGCACGACATAGAGCAATACCGGATGATAAAGTAAGTGTTTTTCGAATTTTTCGTCCCTGATCGTGGGTTAACTTACTTAGATGTAATTATTCGTCCATTTTTTTAGTTGAAAAGATCATATTTGGCTTATATGGGTAAATCTAGCAACTTTCCTGAACTGTAATCTTGCTGAAGGATCATTAGCGCAGGAACAATAAACCCCGAGTGTTTACTTCAAGAAGATCGATCAATAGAATTATTTATTGAAATCCTGGGTTAGGAACGACTTTTATCGAGACTGTCTCGACCACAAAATGAGACCTTTATTACAAAAGTTTGTCTCCAAGTAAGCGACACAGTTTTCATCTCCCACACATAATACACACACGTGTAAACGATGACTTCAGTATAATGAAAATGTTGGCAATTTTTGATACAAAAGTATTTTGAGATTCTATAGGAGTTGTCACTACGCAAAGATTGTCTCTTTAACAATTCACTGACAAAGAAAAATCGGTTAGTTGGTGACCTTCAATCTTAATTTGTTTAGGGGAGTTCTTTAAAGCAATTTTATGGGACGCAGTCCCTGGTGTTTGTCAAATTGTTCAGTCATATAGATGAGCTTATGATTCGTGGCAAATTGCTTCATTTGTTCGACTACGTTCACAAGGACAAATAATAACTATATGTTAAAGAAACTGGAATTTTTCGTACGTGTTCATGATCATGTTCGAGACAGGAAAATCTTAGCGACCCTGTTAAGTGCGCGCCAATTCTTCCGTCGAAATAAAAGACAGAGACAAATGTCAAAACAGAGTTTGACTATTAGTATTTTGTGGTGCGTGTTTTTATATTTTTGACAGCTCTCAGATCAAAATTACACGACATGTAGTAGCTAGATGTCGCCCCTTTTATTAAATTTGAATATACACCATTTCTGTTCTAATGACAATGAAATATAGCATCAACGACTGCATAATTTTAGGCATGAAGGTCGAGAAGTCTTCAATTGGATTGAAAACTTATGTAATGTTTGCCATTAGTATTCGATCAGTTTATCCTTGTGATGCTCGTGTTGAAGCCTTAAAAAGGAAGTATTCTATGATTGGGAGCTAAATTCTAGATCTTTTATATATTGTTTACAAACAAAATTATAAGCAATAAAGTAGGTTATACCTAAAATGCTCGCTGTTTTGTGATGGTTTCTAATTTTTATCAAAACCAACGAGTATATCTTCTATAATTTTTCTTGCTTCCGTTTCTTAGGAGGTTTTTTATATTTCCATGTCACAAATTTAGAAGCAAATTCACCTAACAAGTCTGATTTTTTAAAATTGTAAAGACCATCTGAATTTTAAATTAATTCATTTACCCCTTAAGCAATTATTTTTTGTAGTTAAATTTGTGTATTGTTTTGGTAATGTTGAATGCATTGGGTAGCTAATGAGACCTATTTTATTGAATTCATGATCACGTATTACAGCACCAAGTGATTTTCAAATTTGTTCATTCTTAATAATAAAAATTTTCTTGAATGAGCAGTTTTTATTTTGATGTTAAGGCAGTTAGGTTTCATCATAATGAAGATTATCCTCTTCTGACTTTGTTTAAACTTGCCAAATAGTCTAGAAATACAGGTCTCTGCATGGTGTAGGCAAATTTTTTAAAATACTTTTGTTTTTCCCTCAATGACCTTTGCACCCAATTTTTTCTGTTCTTTAGCATTTTGTTTTATTGACATGACTGTTTCTCTGATGAAGAAAAAGAACAAAGAAAACTGTGTCTCTCTGTGCTCTTGGTAATATTGAGCTGTCAGATGCACTACTGTAGAAAGACTAGTTGTGACAAAATTGGATCTGTGTTATGTCTGTGATCAGGTTTCATCTGTGGCAGTTAAATATGTTACACACTAAGATGTGACTTTTATTTGGATTTTGATTATGGATAGAGTCTTTTATTCTCAGAATTTAATAAACCACAAGCTCAAGAGGGCTTTTAAAGCAAACTGAGATTTAACTTTTGCAGTTTAAGATATGCCAAATTTGTGAAAACATATTCTTGAATGGAGCTCCAGATCTTGGCATTGCTGGTATGCTTCCAGTCAAGTCTCAAGTGCTTCTTTGGAGACAAATAAATTGATAAGATATGAAAAATCCTTGGAAGAACTACTTTTAGTGAGACAGAGTTTACTCAGTGCATTACATTTTATATGTAGAGATTGCAGGGAAACTCTTTTCGGGTACTTATATTCATGGAGGCTGAATTGCACATTTGGATAGCCATTATTTTTTTCTCAGTTTAAAGATCATTTTAAAAGAAATATGTATATGAAATTATAAATGCAGAAAACCAAACGGCTCAAAGTTATGTCCTTGGAAAGTTGTGTTTCTGGAACAGTTTTTGCAGAAAAAATGCAAACATGATACATTTACTGTTCTGCAGTAGTCTTCCAAAGGACAATCTTGTTGACAGGTGGATCAAATAAAACCTTGTAATCTGCAATGTGATATCCTCTTTGATCATGACAGCAGAGAGGGCTTTAGACACTGGAGTCTCCAACAGGTTTCGAAATTAACTGGTGCATGAGCTAACAATAATGTGCCAACACTCAACACTATGCGAGTCCACTCTTGCAATTATTTTTGTCACACTCACACTTAAAAAACTGACAGAAAGTTGCTGTTATGGGCTCCATTGCTATGCAGAGGTGCAATTGTTGTGAACTGCATCTTCTTGATTTTATTAGAATCTTTCTCAATTAATGTACATTCAGTCAATTGTTAGATGTGAAAATGTGATCAAGATTTGAGTAATATTTTGTCCGTTGTGATAGATGTGAATTTGCAGGAAAATTTACAATCAAGCCCTCAGAATTATACCAAAATAGCACAGGGCACGTAACCCTTTACACCCTAACATGGGTATTCATATTCTCCATACAGTTCTCTGTACATTTAGAAGGTGCCGACAAGGAGAATTTGTCTGACAATCACAAGTCTCTTTAATTGGTGATCATTTCCTTTATTCTCATGACATTTATAGGTGATTCAGTGGTGATATTGTAAAGAGAAATTAGATGTTAGTCACTCTTGGGGTTTAAAGGGTTAACACAAGTGCACTGGACCCTGGTCAAGAATTCTGGGTTTGAGACCTGGCTCAGTCATTGCATTTTGTTCTTGGGTAAAACTTTACTCTCCTAGTGCTTCTCTCCACCTAGGAGTACAAACTCATACCATCAAACTGTGAGGGAAAGTTTGGGAAAATGTTGGGAGGTAACCTGCACCATCTTTACCTCAACACGGATCACCCATATTTGCACTATCATTTTATGGTTTAAAGAACAAATCGATTTTAAACTAATCCAACTTGGATTTTTGAATCCTGAAGGGCAAACATACTTCTCAAACTCTGCTCACAGATTTTGTGATTCTTGTCATATTTTTAGATTTAAGACACAGAAAACCCTCCTGATTCAAGAGTCCTCTTATTCTAAGCAACTTCTTTTCTGTTTTACTTTTCCATCAGATATGTTTGCGGTTGATCCTGGTATCTGGCAAGACACATGAATTTTTATTTTCACCCAGTGACACAGCATATTATATAACACAACACGTCTATGAAAACTGGCCTGAAGGTTTGTTGTTGTTTGTAGGTCCTAATACTTCATTTGCATTCTGTCTAAGGAAAAAGCCTCCAGCCATAGCTTCTTTAAATTTTTGCTACCAGTGGGGTTTTTTTTTCAATTGTCAGAGCCTTTTCTCTATTAGGATGTGGAAACTCTAACTGAAAAAGAACACTAGGTTGTTTAGAGGCATCTTTTTGCACAAACTATTTATTTACATGTTTGTAAACTTTTCGAGTCATGCAACAAGTGTAGATTCAAGTAGAAACTACAACAAATAGTATTTATGGTGATGACTGCTTGATAGATATATTAGAATTCTAATAATTTACTTGTGCTTGTCGGATTTCAATTTTTCTATTAGTTGAAAATTCAGACTGTTCCCATACCAGTATTTGTTCTTAATATGTATTAAGTTTGTATACAGAAAATATTAGTGAAATCCAATGTACCTTATATAACTGATTTGAGGTACAACATGAAAAAAGAACACCATGAATATTAAGAAAAATGATCAGAGTTTGTATATCGAGTAGAGTCAAGAACCAATGTTCATAATTTCTTTGATTTTGTAAGGTTGGAAAGACGAAGCGGTCAGTTCCCATAATATTCTTAAACTTATTTATCATGGACGGTTTTTACACGGAAATGTGTCTTTAGGAGGTAGGTTTTTGGACTCTTTTTAAATGGTTACAGTACTGCAAATAGGAAATAATCTGAAGAAGTAAGGAAAAGAGATGTTGCTATCTATATTACATAGGAGTTGAAGAGCATGGATTGAAGCTATGCTAAATACAAAGTTTGTGCAACTCATTCCCCTCTTTAGAGTACCTACTTAGGTAGATTGTTGCATATGGCCACTTTAGTAAGAAGAAGAAAACTATGACTTTGTACCTATTTTGTACCTTATTTGGAGGAAAATTGATAAATTTATAAGGGGTTTTTTTATCAATGATAAATTCAGTAAAGCAGAACAAAAGTTAAACCAAACAAAAGGACATTTAAAATATGCGTAAAAAACATCTCTTTATTCATTGAAACTTTGTTTTGCATCACTGCTTTAGAATCATTGTTGGTACCAACCACTTTTTCATTTAAAAGTTATTTTTCTCCAAAATGAAGCATGAAACGACAAAACAAACCATAGGATATCTTTGTTTTAAATTGACGTCCACGTGCAGAGATTTCCATCATTTATTTTATGGAAAAAGATGTGAAGTTATGTAACTTTCTGCACAAAAGTATCTGTGTTATGATTTGAGATTTGTTAAGTGGATTAAAAACATGAGTAGATGAAGCTCATAAAAAATTGAATTCAAAGTAATTGGGCCATACACATTTCTCCCACTGATTTTATTTCATGACAGCACTTAGCCTTGAGCCCGGAAAGCGCAGCGTGATGCACCTTGTCGCAAGGGAAAACTTACCTGAACCTGCTACACAAGGTAACTCCATCCTCAATTTTAGTGGTAATTTAAGTAACATCAGTCACGAGAAGTTTGGGGGAAATAAAACGTTTTCAGAGTCCTTTATGTTGAAGACAAAATTTATTAACAGAACTCCAAAGTCATTCTACCGGGTTTATTAATGTTGTGCAGTCTTTCTGTCAAAAGGATACTTGGAGTCTATAGTACAACATGTGGGCAATGGAACAAACATAAATTTAAGTCAAACAGCGTTATCATTAGAAGGCCTGTAGGCGGTGGAAACCAGCCAGCCCTCATACCATTTTGTACTGTCTATTTTGTGAATTGTGATCAAAGACAGGAAAAAATTTTGTTTTGAACTGATTCTAACATGAATGTCTGGCTAAAACATTTACTCAAATATGTCCCAGAATGCTGGAAATCACATCTGAAGTGTTTCAATTTCAAATTTTTTAAGGGGAGCATGCCCTTGGTCTCTCTCTGCAACATGTCATGCTTGTTAACGCAAGCATAATTTAATTCAGCCATCCCCCTCAGTTCAGATCATACATGCGTTACATTTTCAAATGACAACCCTGAGTCAAAGATAAGAAGAGTGGAATCGTTTTTTGAGAAGAAAATTGCTTTCAATAGGAAATATTCAAATAGCAGTTGATTAGTATTAAAAATAAGTTCAAAGAGGTAACAGTTGGTCAAAAATAAGAATGGTGAAAGTGAGAGAAGAAGAACATACTTTTCAATGATGAACTGAAAAAATTAGACTGAATAAATATCTTACTGTCCTTTACACTTTCACTCCTAAGATCTAATTATTAATCATCTCCAATGTTTTCCAAACATTTCCTTTAATTTTCACTCTAAGAGTTTGGGTTTTAAATCATATAACATCTAGTAATTTATGTGGGTGTGTGTGCGTGACCTTTTTGTCAAAAAATTAATATTTCCAGTCACTCTTGGAAATAACAGAGTGGTCACTCATTATAAGCACAGGAGTTTTTTCATGTATTTACACAGGCAAACATATCAATAGAGTTTCAATTGATGCATAGATGGGGTAGCAATAGTTTATAGTTAGTTTTTTAGTTACTCCTCTTGGTGCATCTTTGTCCAGAGAATGCCATTGATATCTGTCAGATGCCATTTCGACAAGATGCCCCCATGTCCATCTGGTGTCTCTCATTTCCCTTCCTCCAGTTCTCCTCCAGGTTTCCTCTCTTTTGTAAGCTTTTGGAGAATGATTTATATGCCAATACTTTTATTGTTTCATTTCCTTTACTAGACTTTGACATAACTTTTATCTCTTCAACAGGTCAAAGAAATCGTGAGAAAACAAGTGAACAAAGCTGTTGTTGTACAATTGTTTGACTTTTAGTTTTACTGTTTAGATGCTGAAGAGGTGATCTACTCCATATGTTCACTTCAATAGACTTGCCATTAAAATTTTTTAGAGTGTAACTCGACCATAATTTAGATAATCAGTGTGTACATGCATGTAATTATATTTGTGATTTAAGAAAAAAACTCAAAACACTTTTATGAGCAATTTCAATATAGTGTCAAAAGTCATCTTGGATTGTATTAGGTCTGCCTCACTTTACTCTGTGACCATCCTAAAAACTCTTGTTACTCTTTTAACAATCCTAATTCAAAATTATAAATAATAGCCCCTTGATTGCCTAAGTTTTCCTGTATTTCTGGCTCAGTTGTTCAAAGGGCAGATAACGTTATTCAACAGATAAATTTCTTTCCAGTGATTGAATATGTGTTGACAAAACACACCGCACAATACACCAGGTACAGATATATCCAATGGATAGGGTTATTCACCTTTCCAACAATGAAGGCCTGGTAGTCTGCTTCAAGTTCTCATTGGCCACTTATGATTTTCTTATTTGTCCCCATCAGTCATTGCAATTTTGTAGCTTTGGCTTTTGGGACACTGGATCAAAAAGTGCTCAATTAGTTAATTTAAATAGGTCAAATGAGAGAAGTCATCAAAGGCATGAGTAATAGTTGTGTTAGTTATGGAAGATATTTTCTTCCTTTTTTACCATAATTTATTATGATCAATGATCACTCATAAGCTAAGAAATAATGGTTTTTTTAGTAAATATTTTTTTTAATTTCATGTTCTGGTCAACACATTGCTCTAATTGTCATTTAAAGTAAACTCTTTAGATTTTCACTTGTTATAATCTGTTTTTCAATTGTAAGTCACTACTATATTGGCATATACATCTTTTGCTGCTGTGACATGTCTCAATCCCTTGTGACAAGTCATGTTTTTCTCGGCAAGAGTCTCAATTAGGCCTCATCTATGTTATGTTGGAAAATGGAATAGTAATTCTATTTCCAAGGTCAGGCCAGCTGTCATCTGCTCACCAAAAGCAGAACACTCTTCAAAGCAAATAAATTTGGAAACAGGAGACAACATTTTCCAAGCTCTTCAAGAAGAAACACTTGCCTGCAAAACCAAGAATGCAGGCAAGTGTTTCTTTTGGTAGTTTTTATTGCATTTTCAATAAAGCAAACTTGCTTCTCCTTGAAGAGGTATAGTGTTGCTTTCAAATTTACCTAAGGCTGAGCAAACATCACTCATATTAATATAATTTCAAAGCTTTCTTCATTGCAGCAAAAGTACTGCATAAGAAATCAATTTTTATGCATATAGATCAAGAAATTCTCAAAGGTTAAAAAAATGTGCTCTACAAATGTACTGATTTTTCTAACTTCTGCCAGAGACAAGATGCATTCAACAATGTTAAAAGGGTGTGCCCAAAATTTATGGTGAGAGGTGATGGTTGGGTACTTATAGGCAACACCATGTTAACCATTTTTGCTGTTGTGATTCTTGTCACATATAGCAATTTTTAAGCTCAACAAACCCACTATACTCTGCCATTAGGCATCTTTTACCTAATAACTTTACACGGAGTTGTAATTGCCATGTGGCACTTAAAGACACGAGAAGTTTTAGGAGCAATGCAAATGTGTAAATCATACTCGAGAGATATAGCATGACTTTTTACTTATCAAAATGTTGTTAGGATCAAATTTCTCTTTCAAGAGTATTTCATAATGTCATTTAATAGCTTCCACTATGCCTTATTTTTTACATTGGTGTCACTGAAAAAGGCAATCCAATGAGTTGACTTAACATTTTGATCAATTTACATTACTTCCATTATTTTATGTTAAAGAGGGACACTGTTAGAAATTTTTATGTTAAGTTTGCCATCTTCTGAATTTAAAGAGATGTTAATTCAAATTGTTCCTTGGTATAGCAGAAGCTAAAGTATGCTTTAGATACCATGTTGGGATTTTGGTGCTGTTCATTACGATCACAACCATTTCTACCACTAAGAGACTTCTACATTTTTTCATTATTATTTCTTAGTTGCTTAACCACTGCAGTTTCAGTGAAGGTTTGATTTTAATTAGCTATGTGCAAGGAATTTCAGAACCCTCTGTATTATTCCCCTTTTCAGATTTTCTTGTCACCTTTGAACTCCCAGAGGTAATTACTAAGTTGAAATATACTTAAGATATGTTTTCAAACAAAATGGAGCTTGGTAATATTCTATTCAAGGTCTCAGAACTAGCTAACAAAAAAAAAGTGTTATTTTCAGTTGGGATAATCTGTAGGGTATATCAGGTAAAAGTGTGCTTTCATTCTTGGTGACTGTTTTTGCCTATTGAGCATAAATAACTTAAATTTTTTTATAAAAAAAAATAGATTTTATTTTCTCACATGTTTACCTCACCTTATGTAAATATATTAAATAAACTGCTGAATAAAAGGTCTTACTGCGTGTACACAGCCTTGTACTTTTAATTGGAAGATGTACAAATTAAACAACATTTATTCTGGAAATCTACCTATTTATCTGAACCCTTGACCCCCAAGATCTGATTTATTTAGTAACTCTTACTATTGCCTGCCATACAATTTTAAAGATGTTAGCTCAAAGAATTTGGGATTGGATCAACTACTAATCCTCTAATTGATATTTTTCTTTACTCTCACCTCTTGTCAGCTTGATATTGTTAGGAGAAATTCAGTCTTGGTCACTCATGTAAGTTAATGGCAAACCAGTAACTTGTTCTTGGAGCCTATGTTACAGATCTTTAGCAAAAGGGGTGTGCAAGACCCTCTCTCAAATGGCTGATGAGGGAAACAGAAACTTTGGAAACAAAGTTGAATAAGAACATGGTCCAGTTAGTAAGTAGCTAAAATTCTCATGGAGCGTAACAGTCTTTATTTGCTCACCTGCCCACTTCATTCAATCATACCGAAATTCCATGGCAAACTGGACAAGTTCTCCTGGTTCTCATCTACTTGCCCACTGAAATACTGATAAAGATTTCCCAGATCTATTGATTCATCATCGCTCATTGTGCCAGTAGGCGCATAAGGCTGTCACATTGTCTGCCCAAACCCCCCTGTTGCCTGCCACCACCTTGGCCCAGCTCCTCCACCCTGCCTAGCCTCTCTCTCTTCTGATAGTCCTTCTCCAAGAAGTCTTTGGTCTCCCTCTCGCCCTTGAACCTTCCAGTGTCCACCCCAATGCTGTAGAACAATCATTCACACCCTCTCCTGGGTATGTGTCCTAAACAGTTCCAACTTCTTTGCACCTTGTCACTAATTTCATTGATCCCTGCCCTTTCAACTAGTCTATTCTCTTGTTAGTCATTCTATGCTGCCATCTAATCCTCAGTATTCACCATAGGTATTGGCATTGGAAACTGTTCAGTTTTTTTTCATTTTTTTTTTTCACAACCATATAGCAGGACTGGTCGGACTGAAGTCTTGAATAGTCATATCTTGGTTCCCCTTCCTATTCCTCTGGTTGCCCACACCTTTCATAGCCTCTGGAATGCACCTTGTGCCCTCTGCAGTCTGTTCCTGATATCTTTACTGCCTCCACCTTCCTTGTCCACAATAGCTCTAAGATACACAAACTCCTTGACATCTTCCACTTCTTCACCAGTCACCACAGTGTTCTCCCTGTTCAGAGCAAACTCAGTCCTCAGTGACTTGCACTTTCTTGCATTTAGTTTAAGGCCTACTCCAGCTGCTTCCTCCATCAAACTCCCACTCTTCTCACCAAAGTCATTAAACTTAAATGGAAGTAGTGTGATGTCGTCTGCAAAATCGATATCCAACATTGTTGTTAAATTCCATTGCATCCCTCTTCTCTTGTCTGCTGTTGTCTTCCTCATGATTCAATCCATGGCCAGTAAGAATAAGAATCCTGACATCACACATTCATTCATTGAATCTTTATTAAGTCATAAGATAAATAATCACATATCCTATGTTACAACATTAAAAGAAGGTATATATATAAATTACAGAGAAATGGTTCCTGCTTCTTTACTCCCCACTTAATCTTGAACCGGTCTGATGTCTGGCATCCGTCAATCATTGCCCATTCAAACCCTTCATATATGCTTACTATCACTCTCACCATCTTGTGCAGAATTCCATAGCTACTCATGATGTTCCACAAGCTTTCTCTTTCTCTTTTTTTCTCTGTGTACCAAATCAAAGGCTTTTCCAGAGTCCACAAAGTGCATGGAAATCTATTGATTACTGTTTATAATCACCAAGATGATTTCTGATAGTTATTCAAAAGAGAGCCTCAGAAAAACAGGTGAAAATTAGAAAACAACAAAAATTGGATATCCAGAATCCTCCAAACCTTTTGTAACAACAGAGAAAAACTTAACATTCACTCACTGTTACTTTCACTGCCATGCACACTAAAAGGTAATTAGACACATAATAAACTTCTGTTCTCCAGCCAAGTAGCCCTCTGAAGGGAAGCTTACCCTGGTTTACAAGGTATGAAGTGACAGAGGATTACTACTACCACTACCACTACCACTACCACTACCACTACCACTACTACCCTTACAAAACATGCCAATCCATCGAAAGGTTACCCTCAGTATTTCATTGTCCTACCCTGGCAATTTGGTGGTATCCAATTATTTTATACTCCTGAGAGAGAGAGAGAAAGAGAGAGAGAGAGGTACTGAAAGTGAAGTGTTTAGTTCAAGACAAGCCAGGTATTGAACACAAAGATCACATCCAGGAGTCCTGTGCACTTGCTAGGAGGGCATCATGTCCCACACAAACACAATGAAATTTCAAAATTTGTTGTTGCTTTTATTTTCTTGTCATCTGCGTGCATCCTCATTAACATACATATCTGATTTACACTTCTACTTTAACATGTAACTTAGACTATCTGATGATGAAGTAACAGTTACCATCTACCATTATTTCTAAAATAGAACTTACTTTATTTAAATCACTTTTATTTGAATATATTAATCACTAATTACTGTTTTATGAGATTTTGAGATGACATGACAACACAGATAATTACAATTTATTTGAAGCACTATCATTAAATTCATTAGCTTGCTTCATAGACATAACCTGGGAAAGCAGACACCTTTCTGTTCCAGACAATTTAAATAACTACCTGAGTGCAAAATATTCTTGATAACTTGAAACTTGCCTATATTTGAGATAATTTCTTGAAGGATCAAAAGAAATACAAACCATCCGCTTTGTGTGATTGATAACTTACTAAAATATTGTTTTCAATGTATTCAGTCTTTTGGGACAAAAGTCAAGACATTTTTGAGTTATTTTACAGAAAAAAAGTTGATTTAAACAGGAATACGTCTCTTTCATAGACAGACTCAACATGATTTTTTATTCTATCTTAAACCCTGAGAAGAGATTCATATGCAGTGAACTACATTTTTAAGCAAACAGTTCTTGCTGATAAAATGAGGATGTAATCTTGATATGCAAAATACTTCTCTTTACCAATTTACAAGGAAATCTATAGCAGCTAGAAATGAAAATTTATCAATCAAATCTAAGGCAGTTCAAAGGTCGACCAATCTTTATGGGTAAGTTTTTCAACATTCTTTTCAAACTCCAGATTTCCTAGCTCACTGAATCTTTTTAATTTTCTGTCATTGTTAAAACATGATCTTTTTTTTTACCTAGACACCTGAGTCTATATCAATATCTGGCAAGATTAACAAAATTCAGATTGCACCAGTAATATATCTTTTTTCCTTCACAAAACCTAATCTCAATCATCCTACTGCCTGTAACCAGGCCCTTCATCTAAGAGTTGTGTGAGAGACAAAGGCTTTTATCACTTACTTTTCATTTCTTGTCCATCTTTACTTTAAGCCTCTAAGTCTCCAGTAATATTTCTAATTGAAGAGCATGTTTGCAAGCTAATCATAACCTTCCTTCTTAACCCTTCAACTCCCATAAGTGATCGAGAGAAAAAATTCTCCTAACAAAATCAACACAAAATCAAACAGACAAGTGATGAGAACAAAGTGAAAAAAATTCAATCAGGAAAATTATTAGTAAATCCTCTACCAAATTCTCATTACTAATTTCATAGGAACTGTATGGCAGGAAGCAAGGAGGATTTTCAATAAGATCTTGGGAATGAAAGGCTAAATTTTACCACCTCAATGAGTTTCCCAGAGCCTTTCCCCAAGTTCACCCTTACATCTGCTATTGAAAAGGTCGAAAAGGAAGGAAATATATGCGAACATGAATTGGACATTTTGTATGCATCAGTATCGTCAAAATGAAAACCGAGATAAGGAAATGTTCATCAACCATTCGACGCCTCCATATATTCAACATCCGATTTTAATTTTAAGTAAAATAGAAATAAATGTTAAAAACTAAACATCACCAGACTATTCACAGCAACCTGAACTTTCTCTCTGAGTAACTCTAGATAAATTCACTCCCTCAGTGGCAGAGAAATCACTTTTTGCTTTGGTTTGTTCCAATTCGTTCAGTCTCTTGACGGCTGCATGGAAGGCATTGTCCACATTCGTCGAGTCTTTTGCGCTTGTTTCGTAGTAAGGAATTCCACCGATCTCCTGACAAAAGTTATGCGCTTCTTCTTGCGTCACAACCCTCCCGTCAACGTCAATTTTATTTCCCAAAAGAATAAACGGAAAGGTGTCCTTGTCTTTCACATCAGCGTAATACAGAAATTCCTTCCGCCACATTGCTAAATTTTTGAAGCTTTGAACATCGTCAACGGCGTAAACAAGCAAACACAAGTCTGATCCCCGATAAAAAGGCGTCCTTAAGCTTTTAAACCTTTCTTGGCCAGCTGTATCCCAGATCTGTAAGGTGTAAGACTGTCCTTCGACATTCACATCTTTATTCAAGAACTCCACTCCAATTGTGTGGAAGGATTGCGTGTCGAACTTGCCGCTTACAAATCGGTTCATCAGCGAAGACTTTCCAACACCGCCATCCCCGAGCAGAACAACTTTTAGAAACGTTGACTTGCTAGACATTCTGATTCGCCGTAGCGTACAAATTAACAAATCATACCGGGAGAAGAGACAAGAACAACTTATGTACCTCTGATTGCCTTAGTTCCTTCAAATTAGCTGAGCATCACGTGATAGGGCAAAGAGTGGGACACTTCGGTTCGAAGTGAGTGATGGGTAACTCTGTTTCAGGTTCAAAATAACAAGTTACTTTTGAGGAACATGAGCTACACGCCTAACAATTTTTGTTTTCGCAAGGTGAAAAGTCAAATTTTGAGTGGAAAGTAAAGGAATTCTTGTCTTAACAGTAATATCATCAGAATAGCTTTCTAAAAATTGCTAGTAAGTCAGAAAAACAAGTTAGCCTGATATCCAAACAATATCCAGGCAAATTTGGATGCCTCCTCAATGCCTAGCATGATAAAACTTCCATTTACAAAGTTCGAGATAATTTAAAATTCAATGTAAATTCAGATTTTTTATCTTTATATTGGATCTGAAACTATATTCCACAAAACAACAAAATGAAATATCTGAAACGTTATTTCAATAATTATTTTTGGGAGGATAATGTTGTATTTGGAAAGATAGAGTGATTTCTGGAGTGCTCCAGTGGTGCTTGGTTATGCAAAAGACTTCTCTCACACTGGAATTAAGTGTAGCTATTGTACAAAAATGCCAAAAACGAATTAAATGACTCATTTCAGGCTTAATACTCAAATAAGCAAGGAAACAGAGAGAATTTCTTCAAGGGAAAATGGAGCTGCATTTATTAAATTATTTTTGGCAAATTTTACACTTGATTTAAGCTATAAAACACAAAGTAATATAAACATTGCAGTTACTACATGACCACCAAATGAAGTGTGCCAAGTGGGAAACTTTTATTGTAAATTAAGTTACCAAATGACTAGCCTACAGGACAGATGTAATTTTTTTGCATCTTTCAGGTTCACAGAGGCAGGCAAAAGGCAAGGAGAGCAAAAAAATAACACATGTATGCATACTATTGTTCAAGCTCTTCCCCTTGAGCATAACCTGCATTTTATGTTCACTTCACAATTACCTCCAATCTCCTGAAAAGCACAAAAAAAAATCACACTTGTTCTCCAGGCTACCAAATCACTGATCAACAGTACAATGTTCACAAAGCATTCTTCAACATAGCACTTGATGCACTGTTGTACTGAATCCAAAGATGTAAGTCATGAGGTATGGGTGGACTAGGTGCATTCCATCCAGTCAGTTGGTGAACTAGTTCCTCAGGTGAAATAAATTTTTCTCTCTTATTTCCTTGAACTACTGTATTCTTTGTTAGTGCAACTGCATAAACAAAGCCATCCTCTCCTGTGAATTGCTGCTCTAAATAGAAAGCACTCTCATCCCATGCTATGACTCTTGTTTTCAGAAATACTTTTTGAAAAAGTTCAAGCGATCGCCGATAACGCACACTAGCAGTAGCAATTGTCACACCACACCTACTCTTTCTCATTACACGCATCATTCCACTTGAAATCCACAAATTAATTCTTCCAAAGTCACATTCACGGAGATACCTGAAGTAGACAAAGGCATTAATTTTTTCAAGCAAGAGCTAAATTTTACACCATAGCTAATCAAGAGTTGGTAACAATTCTTTACGACACTTTGCTGGTAATCATGTTCCTGTTACTCTCTTTTGATTACCTTACACTGCAAGGAAATTATGTTGGAGGAAGGTCATAGGCTAGCCTATATTTGTCAAAAATAGAGGTCATTCACAATTTAAGAACAAAATCCTAACTGTTCCCAAATGCCAATAAAATGCTGGCGTATGACCACCCTAGCAGCAGAAGTACCCTTAGTCCCCATAATTCTGTGTTTAAAAGTAAATGATTTCTCTTACAGCTTTCACTTGAAAAAAAACTTAATGCAGAACACAGAAGAGCATTTACATGAAATCTTTCCTGCTTCTGTACTACCATGTTACTTCAACATCCCTTGTCATTTCATTTTCATGTTGAAAGACAAAGTACAATTTTGCAAGCTACAGGCAGTATTTTAGAAAATCACCAACAAATTTTTTACAAGAAATAACATCCCAGCCAGCATTCTCACTAATTCTTAAAATTTTCAGTCACATAAATTTCATTTCCAGTGCTGCCATTTTGAGAATTTGTCGAACACTCCTGATAATTTATTAAAGTAAGAGAAAGTTAGGTTGTGTCAAGGACATCAGTGCAATACAAACGATAGGAATACATGTACCTAGAAAGTCATATTTTTTTAACACACAAAGAAAGTGAAAGAAAAGACAGCTAACATGAATAAAAAGCGAAAGGATCGTCAGTGTTCCAGAAGAAGAAAAAAATGGTAACTGGTTTCGAAAAGATATGCGAGAAAAGGAATGAGACCTTAATGTAATTATAAAGAGCGCAGAACCTCAAAAAATACTAAAATCGTTAATTTAAGATAAAGCGTGCTGCTTCCCCGTCAGAGAACTAAAAAAATTAGTTTGAATCAAGTTCCTGTTTCAAGAAAATATGGGTTTTTGAATAAATACAATGACATATTATTTATTCATGATCGAAGACATGATGTTTCTTTTTTGAAACACACTTCCAAATATTCCCCTGAAAACTGTTCATTCATCATGGTTACATATCTCACCTAGCATTGTTCATGTGAAGATTCAGATCAATATCCGACGGAAGGACGATGAAAGTCGTCTCAAATACTTCCAAGAAATCAGGGGTCGAAGCTCTACTAAAAATAATCCTTCTCAAAACAATCCACGTTACGCGTAGACTCCAATTCACGTCAAAAAACATATAAAGAAGGGGAACTATGAAGGCATATACTCCTAGCAGTCTCCTTAGAAGCACTGCTGTCACAATAATAGCCAGAAAAACCAAAATTAGATTCTTCACTCGCCCCATAACTGCCCACTCCACAGACCGAGCAGTTCTCAGATCGCTTTCAGTGGAAAGGATATTAGCCTCGTTTTCAATAAAACAAACTTCTCCTCCCTCTCCCTCGTCCCTGCTCTTCCTTAGAGAAACGCGGCAGCCAAAGGTCGGGCATGTGCGAAGGTATCAATTCTAGCCGGCTGCAGGCAAATATTTCCCAGCGCAAAATTTCAATTTTTCCAGAACTGTCTTTTTGTACAAGAGATGGTCTTTTGCTCTTGAACAAGCACAATTACCTTTTTTTTTTCATAATTTGAGTGTGCAGATTATCCTTTTAGATAACAAAAGTTAAAAAAAAAAAATAACCTGAAGAAATATGGGTATGGTCAAAAGTAAAAGTATGCGAGTAACATGTTTCTCAAGAAAGCAAATTAATACCTAAATCATTTATTACTTTGTTCCATACACTCAAGACTTTCTACCGATCAAGCATTGTTTCAGGTGTTACTTCAAAAACCTATGCTTCCAGCTACCACAAAATGTTCTGTGAAATCATGGGTAAATAATACCAGTACAGGCATAAATGGGTAAGATTGGCCCATCATATCTCCTTCCTGAATACATTGACTTTTTTATTGCAGTTCTCTAGAGACAGATTGATAGGCTTCAATCAAAAGATTAACAAAAAGTGTTTGACAAACTTTATCTCTGAAGAATTGCCTTAAGCCATTAACAAATCAGTTTTTGTTGAAATATATTGATAACAAAGAAAATGACCGGAGCAACCTAAGTGCTTGGCAAGTCTTGTTTATGCCTCAGCTTTCACTTCAAGGCTGAGCCAGTAATAAACTAGCTTGAACATCTCTCGTTGTCCAAATACAGCACATCCAACCTTGATTTTCTTCTTGAACCTGGTTCTTATCAGATGATTTCAAACTTTCTGTTTTTTCTTTCCAACGGCAAAAAACATCCAATCCTATGGTGACACTTCTAAATTTTGAGCATCCTTGTGTTCTTCAACTGCAGTCTGTACACAAATAAATCAAATGAACCCTTTCACTCTTTAAATCTCATTAGTAATTCTCCTTACTGTCTACCATACAATTCTTATGATGTTAGTTTGGAGAATGTGCTTTTGGATCAACTAATTATCCCCTATTTGATGTTTTTTTTTTTTTAAATTCTGATCACTTGTCTGCTTAACATTGACAGGAGAAATTTGGTATTGGTCACCCATGGTAGTTAACAGGTGTACAACATAGTGTAGATGCAAGTTAACCCTTTAACTCCCAAGATCTGATTGTTAATTCTCCCCTGTACCTGCCAGACATTTCCTTGTAAATTAGTTATGAGAACTTGGTGCTAGATCATGAAAGCAGATTCTAACTGATAAGTTTGAATAATCCCATTACCTGTTTGCTGAAGAATGTATGGATATTGTAGGGAAAAGTTTTATGCTGATCACTTCTGGGAGTGAAAGGGTTACTGTGTTGTGTTCTTGGGTATAACTCTACTTTCACAGTGCTTTTCTCCACCTTGGAGACTTCTTATTTTTTACTTGGTAAGAATAAGTACTATCAATGTTTCAAAAAACTTAATGTAGAGTTGCTTTCACTAATGAGAGTTGAACAAGCCCCAGTATTAAGGGAGCCTTGGAAAAGGCTTGCCTTACAACTTTAACACACAACACATGGTAAATGATCAAGTTAACGCACTGATAACCTTACCTCAAATGTAGCAAGCATGTGTTCACACATTGCAGTGAGTTCTGATAGACCTCTTCTCAAAACATCTACAGCAGGAATACCTAAAACCATAGCAAATGTGGTAATGACAGATCAGGAATAATGAGGCTGATCATCTTACTAATGTAATGACATTGTGACAGTGTGGTTTAGGACTCAATGTGAAGGCTGGAGGTCAAAGATTCAAATACCCCTGTCTACCAGTACACAACTGGATTTGTCGTCAGGATTCCTGCTTGGGATTCTCAAAGATAAAATTTAGATTCACACTCTGCCATGATCATATCCTACGTTACACTTTGTAAATTTTGTTTAAATTGGGTTAACTATCTCAAAAAATACAGAGGTTCTAAATGCAGTAACATGTAAAAAAAGGTCTATTTTCTACTTTTGTCTTTACAACACCCAGTAACTGTGACAAAATACTGTTAGAAATATGCCAGCATAATTACCTGGCTATAAAGAAGTGGCGCATGTAGGCACATGCAATTGACCTTATCACAATGAGCGCACCACTAATGATTATGTAACGAGAGGCACATTCAGGATGTAGTCAGTTGTTTCTTTGGTCTTTTGAACATGTAACTGCTCGGTTTATGTTGAAGTAATAAATAGACTTTTTAACCCAAACTTATCGTTACAGTTACCATTTGTTTGGATTCGGAGATTGATCCTGTTCTCTGATGGATGTGGAATGCTGTACCCACAAAACACTACATCAGGGCTTTACATAAAGGAAAAAGCGAAACATCAATCTTCAAAAAATTTTTTTATTTAATTCTTCAGTAATAATTGTAAAGTATAAGTATAAGCAGATGAGAGAACCGTAGTGAAACTTTTAAGAAAACGAAAAAAAATGAAAAACAAACGCAACTTCTGAGACAAGACTTCTGAGTGGCGACAATAACTGGTTTTGTACCAAACCAACCTTAAGCTGGACGCTTAACGATCACTATCTCCCCACCTCCCTCACTCCTGCAAGGCGTTCGCAAGAAGCCTTAAAAGCGACTCGAAAAAGGCACAAACTGCACCGTCCAATAATTTTATCCCATCAGAGAGCGTCACCATAATTTTTTTCCCTCTCGTAACAAGCTTAAATAACATTAAAAGTCGCCCTACTTTTTCGCGATGATGTATCTCAAAGAATTCCCCAGCGTATGGTCTTCTCCGTGCAAAACAAATGTGACACATGTTTCATCCTCTCCACTGTCTAGGGGCATCTAAAACAGGACCAACTCACCAGCTTACTACGATTTTACATATATGTGATCACAAGTATTTCCGAGCTTTATTTTTCTTAGAATCAATACCTACCACTTCTAATCGGCGTAACTGTCCGCCTATCTCAGGATCGGCTCCTTTATCGTCGGCCGCCATGTTGAAATATTTCATAACCCGAGGACAGCGGGAAAACAAGGGTGGTTTGAATACTTCGTGTATTTGACACCATATACCTATCAATGACGTCATTCAATAGGTAAATGGCGTAGATTCTTTTTGAAGCATTTCAACGAAAGGAAACTTCAATTTTCACCCAAAACGAAAGGTAAGCTGGGCAATGAAAGATTGAAGTTATTAATAGTTTCTTCAGCTTTATTTTGTGATTTTTTAAAATCGTTTTATCTTTTTCTCTCCCACATTTCTCAATGTGTAGGGAGTAACTTTTGGGTCTTGAAGCATTTTTTACAGGCATTGTCTGTGCTGCACTGCATTCAGTTTAGAATTGCGGTTTAAGTAGAGGTTTATGAACTGCTAATTCTCTGTTTCTGTAGTTATCAGCAATCATTAAACAGTGCAGAACTATAATTGGTATTAAGACCTTTATAAGAATCTGGATAAAGGATAAGAATCTGCAACAACATGCCATCCCAATTATGTTTCTAGTTCCGTCTAGGTTCAGGGCTTGTAAATGCTTCAAGCTTTTTAATTAATTATGATATGAATTCGCATAGCTAAAGTAGATATTCCTCAGTGTATACCATTACAAACCTTCCAAAACAGTCAATTACAAGCTAACTGTATCACTTCCAAAAATATCTGTTTCCTCACCTAGGTTTGGTTTGAACTTAGACTTGGAAAGATCTTAAAATGATACTTCCAAGATTTCGATACCAATTCTCCCCAATTTCTATTTGTCATTTCTCAGAATTTAAGCTATAGGAAAGTAAGAATATGGTGGTAATGGATCAATTTTCCTGGGATGATATTTTTTTTCCTTCTTGTCACCTTTCTGGTGGACAAGGCATTGATCTGGTAAGGACAAATTACTTGTTTGTCATATCCAGGTAGGAAAAGGATTATATGTTGGCATATAAGATATATAAGACTCTCCTACCCCTCCCCCAGAATTAAGAATAATGCCTCAGGGGGTGGCTACACTTATATAAAAATAAGTTTATCTCAATTTGATATTGGTTTTTATTGTTAAGATACACACAGTCTGACTGGTCTTAGGTTATATCATGGCTATCCATAGATGCTTCAATTTCTTAATGTTTCTAAGTATCAAAATTCCAGCAGGGATTTTTGCATACTTTTCAGAAAAGAGCACTTTGGTTAACCTCACACAAAATAAAAAATTGAATAGGCCAATTTTACAGTTGTGTACTTAGTTGTCAAGCCTTTTATTTGGAGTAAGGCTGAAGTTGACCTTGTTGTGATAGAGACCAGTATCTAGTTAGCATGATAACAAAGTAATTTGCATTTGAAAAGCAGCAAGGTTTGTATCATAACAAAGTCACCCTTAGCCTCATTCCTGTTCAAAGGCTTGGCAACCAAGCACACAACTGTAAAATGGACTATTAAAGAACTGGGCTGGGTTGTTCAAAGCTGGGTTTAGTTAACCCAGGGTTAGTGTGAAATCAGATTTCAGTTCTGGAAGCTTTAAAAGAAAATTCAGTATAATTCTTTTTGTCAACAACTTGATGATTGGATGCTCCATATAGAAAAGAGAAAATGATCCCAAAAAGGCTATCAAACAAAGAAGTATAGAAACCCAGATTAAAATTTAACCCTGGGTTAGCGCTAATCAGCTTTCAAAAAACTGGCCCGGGTTGTTCAAAGCTGGGTTAAGGTAACCCAGGGTTAGTGTGAAATTTGATTTCCGGTCTGAAAGCTTTAAGAGGAAATTCAGTTCAAATCTTTTTGCCTGCAATTTGATCATTGGATGTTCTAAAAAGAATAATGAAAATTTTCCATAAAAGACTTTTGGACAAAGGAATAAAGAAACCTGAATTAAAATTTAACCCTGGGTTAGGGCTAATCGGCCTTTGAACAACTGGGCCCTGGGCTCTGTACTTCAGTGAAAAGTAACCACATTTAGTGTAATTTGGAATGAACAAGCTTGCATACATTTTTCAAAGACTACACATCGCACTCACTTAGACTGGTACATTTTGTAGCCTTTGAAAACCTTACTTGTGCTTTTTTATCAAAATTTCTCTAGAAGTCATTTGATTACCTACACAAATTATTGAAATTAAGCATAGATCTCCTATGATCTGTTTGGTTCTATAGCACTGGTATTCCCCTAACATGTCACATGTCATGTGAAAGTCTCATGTTTGATGGGCAAAAGCATTGAAACACACAAAAAGTTTCTCACCACATGATAAGCATTCTCTGTTTGACAAAAAAGAAGCTAATATGTAAATAATAATATGTGTTTATTTCACGTTTGATAAATACCTTTTGGAGTTATCTGTTGGAGTACTGTTTTTATACTTATAATGGATAAAATCACCTTTGTTTACAACTAGTCAAATCATCAATAGATGAGTTAAGATATATTGTCTTTGGAAAATCTCGGTGGTTTAATTTCAACAACTTCTTTTCTAAAATGTTTCCAAAGTCAGGTATACAATGTATTTAATAGATGATTTATCAAACTTAAGGTACATTTAATGAAAAAATTGTACTCTTACATCCAGAATATTCTGATTTTTGAAGCTTAATTTTAATTGCTTTTTAGATTATAGAAGAGCCATGCCAATCTTGTACAGTGTTGTAGCAAGAGGCACAACAGTGTTAGCCAAGTTTGCCTCTTGTGCTGGAAACTTTGCAGAGGTTACAGAACAAATTTTGAGTCGAATTCCGCCAGAGAATTCAAAACTTACTTACACCCAGGGAAAGTAAGTGTCAACAAGACATTAGTAATTTTATCAAAGCAATGTTGCAAGCTTCATGATATAAATCAAATTAGAACCAAACACTTGACCTCTCCTAGAAATTGCAAGCCAATTTGCTATTCTTTTTGTTTTAATTAGCCTTTCAAGCCAGCCTTGACATCATGTTTAAAAAAAAAAAACAATGGAATTTTCATGCAAAAGCGAGGCCAAAAGGGCTAATTTGTCTGCACTTAAAATAATGAAAATCTTTTTTTACAATTACTAATTAAAAGAGATCCTTAACCTGACATTGGGTTCACTCATTATTATTTCTACATTTAATTGTTTTTTGTTATGAATTTGTGTGCAAGAATTTGGTAATTATATCAAGCAATATTCCCAAATTGGTGTGTTTGTTTCTTCTGAAAACTTGAATAATTGACAATATGGAAATGATTTAAAAGAATATCACCATAATGAAACAACTGGGCAGGGACCTTCAACCGTTTTACTCCCAAGATCTCATTAGCAATTCTCCTTACTCTCTGCCATAAAATACTCATGATATCAATTTGGAGGATTTAGTGGTGGATCAACTTTTAGTTCCCTAATTGAGTTTTGTTCTTTATTCTCATCACTTGAACTCTTGGTATTGTATTGGTAATGTAAGGAGAAATTCTCTCTTGGTCACTCATGGGAATCAAAGGGTCAATGAGGACCACTAGGCTTAAGAGCATGTTTTGCCTAAATTGAGTTTTGATAGTATTTGATTTTTAAATTTTGTTATATCATCCTCTTAAATCATTGTGAATTCATTTGGTATTTCAATCTTACAGCTACCTGTTTCACTACATATCAGAGGACAGAGTGGTCTATTTGTGCATTACAGATGATGTAAGTTAACAAAAATAATTTGTGTAAAATTTAACAATCTTTGAATTTCTACATTGCTTCAACTTTAGCCCAAGTTAGCATCTGAGAGGTCCACTAAATGGTTTGTTTATTCTGTCTTTGAATTCAGGATTTTGAAAGGTCCAAAGCATTTCTTTACCTGACAGAGATTAAGAAACGGTGAGCAAGTACTGCCTCTCATGCTTCATTTACCATAGCTTCCAGTATTACTGTATTATTGTTATGGATTAGTGATTTCTCAAGTTTGTCATCACTGTAGTTATGGTGAACTTGTTTGTTTTGTTACAGTTTTCAAAGTGCATATCATGGCCGTGCGCAAACAGCACTGCCTTATGCTATGAACAGTGAATTTTCAAGAGTCCTTTCAGCTGAAATGGTAGGTATATTGTTCAATCCATCTATTTTCAGCCTTAAAGATACACACATTTTTTCCATAAAGATATTTTTATTCCAATTGACCCTTCCCATTGCCTCTCTGTGAAATCACCCCTTATTAAATATATTTCTTATCTGAGCATCTTCTCTTACAGAAAAGGTTTTCTGATACTGAACATCAGGCTGATAACCTGTCAAAAGTGCAAGGAGAACTTGATGAACTTAGAGGAATCATGGTGAAAAATATTGGTAAGGGCTGCATGAAAGAGAAGAAGAAAAAACATTTTTTACTGTGTAGATTTTGATGAAATACCAAAATTTCTCCTGGTAAGTTTATGGTGCACACAGTGAACAAACCATTTGTGTCAGCCTACAGTTGTGAAGAAAACCTTGTCCTTATGGTAACCAGGTTTCTCAACATGGCAGTTTTACTTTTCACAAAGGAAGTTTTTCAATTAACAAATTTAACGAGGGTTGATTCAAACTTTCTTTAAGAGAAAAAGATTTTAGGTTATGAGGACATGTGGACATGTTTTATTTTTATGTCAGAAATTGAAGTTGCTTTACTTACAAATGATCTCTGCATTCTTTTTTTTTCTAAAATGTGTGTTAAGATCATCTTTGATTTAAATAAACAAGAGAAAAATGTCCAAGGATATAGTGCTTATCCATGGGCAGTCAGTCATCTTAATACTGATAATATTTTCTTGATTTTGGAAACAGACACCATCGCACAAAGAGGAGAACGTTTGGAACTCTTGATTGATAAGGCAGAAGACCTTAATACCACAGTGAGTTCTCAATAATTATTTAGTTAATTGCGCTGTAACATCGTTGCTTGAATAAGTGTCCCATTTACTGATCTTCCTCTTTCCTAGTCCCTCACTTTCAAGAAATCAAGCAAAGGCCTGGCCAGAGCCATGTGGTGGAAGAATGTCAAAATTACTATAATACTTGTGGTTGTTATTATTGTAAGTATATGGAAGTTGATTCAGTATCAATATTCTCCATACTTTTCTCAATATATTTCCTTTGGTACTGGCAAGGAGAAATTCTTAAACAATGAAAGCTTCTTAGTTTGGTGATCATTTTCTTTAGTCTCATGATCTTAATGAATGATTCAGCAGCATTACTGAAAGGAGAAATTGGATGCTGGTCACTCTTAGTGCTCAACCCTTTAACTCCCAGATCAAATTTGTAGTAATGTTAGTTCAGAGAATTTAGTATTGGATCAACTAATCTTCCCCAAATTGATAGTATTCTTATATTCTCATCACTTATATGGTTGATATTGTATTGATACTTTAAGGAGAAATTCTGTCTTGGTCACTCATGGGAGTTGAAGGGTTAAGCTGTCTCCACTTTTTACTCTCTGTTCCAATCTCCCTCTACTTAAAAGACTCTCACATTTTACTGTTTTTTTTTTTTTTTTTTTTTTTTTTTTTTTACCCCTTCCTCTCCCTACCCTAGTATGTCAAATAGAGTAGATGGAGAGAGTTTTAATTTATATTTTTGAAATGATAGATTTTAAAAATTTTTACCATTTTTTCTTTTTTTTTTTTTTTGCACAGTTGGTTCTCTACTTTATCATATCAGCAGCCTGTGGAGGACTTGACTGGGGTGACTGTGTTCACAAAAACAAGGACAATCAATAATACTGGTAGTCACTTAGCTCCAAACACATCATGATTTTACCAAACTCAGATATAGGTAGGAATCTGAAGCAACTATGAAGTAATCTCAAATTGCTTTGTTAACAAGATTTTGTTAAGATATGTACATGAAAGTTAACATACAAATCCCAAGTCTCTGGAAATTCCACCAGAGAAGTCTCTGAATTTGTCAAATAGGTTCTTGTTACTTCACTTCACCATCTGTTGATTAAAAATGACCAGCCCCATTTTTGGGTTTGAAAATTTTGTAGCTAGAAAATTGTCATTGAGCAATTTTACAGATATGAAGCTTGTTTGTTTTGTTGCCTTAATTCAGATTATGTGATGTTGTAGAAAGAAGGGCTCTTTCATCCCTGTTAAAAAATTAAATCGCATTCTCCCAAACAATAATAATTTGTGAACAGATCATTATGTAAATTTGGTCTGCTTGGGGTAACAAAACAATCAAATCAACAAAAACGTTTCTTGGCTCCTCAACTATTTGAGTGAATAAGTCTGTTCCTATGGTTGAGAAATGCTATGAGTACTTTCATGATTTAGCTTCCCCTCCCCCACCTGATGAAAATGAGATAAATTGGCCCTTGACCAAAAATGTAGACTTCCAACGCAAATTGTAATGAATTACTTCAATAATTATTCTTTCCAGGGCAGTTTTAGTCAGTTACTAGATAGGATCAAAGACTGAGTTGATGTAAAACAAACGTTTTGGTTACTTTTAATTTAACAGTACAAAGCAGTTACTAGAAATGTTATTAATAATATCATAACTATAGTTACAACATTTGTAAACAAGTTTGATCAAAAGAAAAGAAAGGGAAAGGTTTTTTTACTCAACCGTCTGTTATCTTTTTTTCTTATGTCTGAAGCTGTTCTCAATACATTTAGTTTTCGGATCACTTACAAGAGTACATTTTCAAGTTTTCCATTCTGTTAGTTGTGTTTGCTTTTGTGTAGAACCACTACATAAAAGGCCAATAATTATTTCTCTCTGTTTTTTTTATTCTTCAATATTTAATAAGTTGTCAAGACCTTGATATAAATGCTTTTGTGTTCGAGTAACTTGTCTTATGGGGTGGAAAAGGCCGCTGTAAATTAAGGCTGCTACTGTGCGTTGTATTTTGTATTTAGTTGGTCAGAGAAAGTTCAAGGACATTGTGTTCTTTCCATCCAATTTTTACCCTTTGACTCCTAAGTGTGACCAGCACCTAATTTTTCCTTAAAATAACACAAATCGCGCATTAAGGTCACGAGGATGGAGGAAATGATACTTAGAAAAAGGTTTACAGATAGGAAACCGTACATTTATCCACCGTTGTCGCTTCTTCGAACTGAGCTACATCCTGATGGTAATACAAATAAGCGGACATCACAATTTACTTCCTTGCGGATTCACTTTAAACTTATTAGAAAGTAAATTTGGTCTTTACCAGATGGAGAATGAAGTCTTCGAATCTGTCGGTCGGTCCATCTTCAATTTTCGATTCGTTATCTTGCGCTCGGATTCATCTGCCAGCGCCAGAACAAAAGAGAGTAGGTAGTAGTCCTTCCTGGCAACTAGATGGAATCAGATTCTCTGAATAAACGCCTCTTCATACCTTCAACAATTATGGACTCGGGACTCACTGAATCACCGACTGGAGTGAAGAACTAGTTTTAGTAAAAAATGAGTTCACCTCCTTTTGGCCCTACTTAGTGCATCTGGAATAGCTTCTTGAATCCTTCAAGATTGCCTATAGCTTCTCAGCCAATATCCTATGAGATTCAGATTCGCCAAAAACTACGAAAAGAATCTGAGACCTCACGTGTTGTCACTGCAGATTAAGATTAACATTGGGTGCTGAGGAAATTGATTGTTTCAGTGTCAGCCACTTTCTTCGCAGCTCTTCGCACTCATCTCCCTTCATACCCAAATCAGATCTTACTGTCAGTTTTCTTGGACTGACGACTTCATTAATGATCATTAGACGATGTCTAGTTGTCCCCCAAAGTTTCACATCAAGCATTATACGTACCGGAGAGTGAGGATGCTGATGATTTTTGGGCGGAGGTGTCCATCCGTATTTTCCATCCGTCTGTCCCATGAAAGCCCCCCATGGACCCTCCCAACTGGACAGCAGAATCTTTAACAAGGTTTTTCCCTGACAACATAGTTGTTGAGGATCTAGTTGTATTCTATGTCTTGGGCAATAAGCACTTGATAACAGTATCAGAATTCAGGTGAATCTTAAGTACAATATGTTCTATGACTTTCATTTCTGCACAGCTAATAGTTCATCTTGTTGTTGTATCAAAGGTAACAAACTGTCAAGAAAACCATTGACAGTTCTTGAATTCTTGTTTATTTCTCCTTGAGTTAAAGATACTTTATCATCGAAAAATTTCAGCAAAGCAGTGTGAAGTATGTAATGGCCTCTTGGTGATATAGGTTTGGTTCCACTCAATGGTCTGAGAAGAAACAAGTTCCGTTAGAAGTAAGAATAACATTTGTCTCATCAAGTTGGATATATATTTTATACCCTGGATCGAGCATTCACTTAGATAGTAGCTTATTATTAGTGAACAAAGACAGTCGATGTTATAGGAGCCGGAGTAACTTTTTGCCAAGACTTTTTAACAGCGGAGGTTGGCTTCTTGCGATCAACGTGGAATCCTGATCGTCTTTTAGCCTCCGCCGACGTCGCAGCATTGAGCTTGCCATAGGTCCCTGAAGACAGCGAAACTATTTGGTCAGATATTTTAACAGGCGAGATTAGCTTCACGCGCTCGACGCGGAATCCTGATTGTCTTTTAGGCTCCACCGACATTGCAGCCTGTGACCTTGTTCCACTGCCTTTTTTAGGGACTGGTTTACGAATATCCGGCCCGTTGAACTCACGGTATATTCCTTGAGGTTTCTCTTTTTTCATTGAACCAACGGTGGCAGTACGTCGAGCTCGAGAAGGACGCCGTTTTGCGGAATCTTTCGTCGATGCTCCTGAGGGGTGATTTAGTTTCAAGTGGTTTCTTTCGAATAGACTCAGGTTTTTTTCCAAATGGACTCCTTTAATCTTCACTGTCGCCGAACTATTTTCAGTAATCGTAGCCTTCATAATCTCCTTGCCAGATTCCTCGCTGAGTTTGCTCGCTCTTCGGAATCGTACTCTCCTAGGTGCGTGCAGTGGCCGAGCTTTCGAACTTACAACTCGGATCGTTTGTTTCCTCGTTTTTGGATTAAGTATCTTCGTGGTGGAGTACAAAGAAGACATTTCCTCGTAGAGATCTCAGCCTGCAATAACAACAATTCGGTCAGTGGACTATCTGGTGCCACCTCTTAAAAGGTTTTTCCCTGACATAAATTTCCTAAAATACGCCGTTCTACGCGGTAACACAAATTTCCAGGGCTGTGATGCTTGTTAAAGAGAGTGGAAAACATCCTGCAACAAAAAAAAGTCCCTTTGACAATGAATTATCAAACCAAAACGCCCTAAACTAGTAATAACAGGAAACGGAACAACAGAAAACCGGAAGTAGAGAGAAATTTCTCAGAATTCGTTACCGAGGCTTCCGGTTAAAAAATTTGGTCCTCCAATGCGAGAAAATTCCCTAAACTTTTCACTTTCTTTGTATTTAACATGTGAGGAGACATGAGGGAGCCAGGACCGTTCTCCCGTTCGGGGGCACTTTCCTTGAAGACCTGTACAGTTTCTTAGAACTCCGCTTGCCACTTTTCCTGTGAAGAGTATGCGAAGACGGACAAACCTGGTCATTTCAAAACACAGATTCTCGATAACGGGCTAGAAAAAAACCCGCCAAAGGAATAAAACTTGAAGATTCCACTTTATGTGATGCACAACCAGGCTGAAATTTCGCACAAGAACAAAGGATAAAATTCGCCCTGAAAACTCTGAGCTCATATTTAAACTGCCCCTCGCGTTGCATTCCCATATATACGTCGCGTAAGCGAGGAACTAATCGATGCTTTCCCCAATTTTCAATTTTAAGTCGAATTTCAAGACCGTCTCGTGTCTGAATAGCTTTACTCATCTCACTTTTAGTTCTGTGTTACTGCCGTTATACTTATTCGGTGGAGGAGCCAGTTTCTTAGATCAATTTTTTAATGTGATAATTTTGTCATGAACAAAGATGCATTTCAATAATTATGATCAGACAAGTACAAAGATATTGACGTTGTTTTTCTTGAATAAATACAGTGGCTGCATTCAACTGATCATAAATTTATCATTCTAGAATCCTTTCATGAGCTGTGAGCTACATTGAGTTTTCCTTAACCATTAGGTTTTTCCCCCAATTTCCGCCATTAAGGGATTTCAAATTTCCTATTACGATAAATAACACTGATCACATATTGAAATAACCAATCAAAAAATTACCTGGCGAGTAAAGAAGATTAACACAATGTGCCTTGATGTTAAAATCCGCTTGATTCGACTGTAATTCTTCTCTTCAAAGTGACCATGATATATATATATATATGCATTTTTATATATATCCTAGCGACTGGAAAATGAAAGAGGAGTGGCGAGTGTTTCCAATGGCACGAACGGAAACTATGAATTGAATATTGTTCATGTAAATGCCTCTCAGCGAAAGGACAGTTTTTGCACTTTTATTGATCTTTACATGATATATCACCCCGATAAACTTTTTTCCTGAACCACTTGAGAGTTCATGGGTCACTCCGTGAGGGGGATTTTATTCACTTTATGGATCGGTAAAGAGGATTTTATGTCAATGGAGTGCGAATCTAAACGGTTCCCATCCATTTTCCAGTAAATACTCACGCATACTTTTCAGCCCAAAATTTTATCTTGTTGTTGTATCAAAGGTAAGAAACCCTCAATAAAATCATTGACAATCCTTGAATTCTGCGCTATCTCTCCTTGAGTTAATATAGGAAGCCGCGAAAGTCAGGGCTTTTTTTGTCAAGCATCGTCATAAACCCAACCAAGTCACAATAGGGTGAAATTCCGGTTTTTAAACCC